ATAAAAAATATCTTTATTTGTGTTCCGAAGATCTTATGGGTTTGTAACGACATGGGGGGGGGAGTAATTACTGACCGAAAATCATCAGAGTGAACTCTCCCTTTAAGGCCCTTGCACACTGAGTCCAAAATTCTCATCTGAACTTTTCGCACGTTAAAAAATAAATACGACGTCACGTTTTTTTGCACTCGTTGCAAGCATTTTGAGAAGTGTTTTGACAATGGTGTTTGGACTCGGTGTGCAAGGATCTTTAGAAAGAAATAGACTGCCTAACGCGTAAATCGACCAATCACAGTTCATGGAATCGGAAATCTCGGAAATCGATAATGGACCAAAAAATAACTGAACAAAACTTAAAGGAATAGTTCACCCAAAAATGAGAATTATTCCATTATAATTTTCTCACCCTCAAGTCATCCTAGGTGTATAAGACTTTCTTCTTTCAGTAGATATTGGAGCTAAATGAAATAATACCCAAGCCTCCAGGGGGTTAATAACTGCCTTCTGAAGTAAAGCTCAAGTGAAGCACTGGGGACTGTAAAAAAATCCATATTTAAAATTTTATGAACTATAATCACTGACTTATGATTGGGTTAGAGGTCACTCTTCCGCTGGAACTCGACTCTCTCGTGAACGCGCGTACGACCATTGCCAGAAGCCAGTGATTATCGTTTACAAAATTTTTAAATATGGATTTTTTTTTACACTCCCCAGTGCTTCGCTTAAGAAAGTCTTTATTAACCCCCTGGAGTCGTAAGGATTTTTTTTTTTTTTTTTTTTTTTTTTTTTTTGATGGATGGATGGATGGATGGTTTCGCTTTTTGGAGCTTCAGAAACTCTGGCACTATTCACTTCCACTATAAAGAGCCAGGATATTTTTAATATAACTCTGATTGTGCCAGTGTTTACACTCTTCGGGAAGCAGCCTATAAATGATTTATAGTTGTTTCTCCGTGTTAAGCTGGAATGGAAGACAGTATTTAAACTTCAAAAAGATTACACACTTCAACTTTGAGAACAATAGCTGTCAATTGGAATTCCACAGCATGATATTAAAACCAGTGTGCAACTGTGCATGCAACTGGAGAAGTTGGTAAATTAAAACTTTTGTTAGCCTTTTTAGAGTGTTTTCTGTGTGCCTTTTGTACATTTGTTTGTATATTTTATATTTGCTTGTTTTGTGCATGTTTATTTGGTGTTTTCAGTTGGTGTATGTGTGTGTGTGTGTGTGTGTAAGTAGGCTATGTCCTTTTTTGCACCATAGAGGCGAAAAACTGCAGCCCACACTGAGTCTACTATGAGAGCAGCCATCTGGGCATTAGCATAATGTATTCCTGCTCAAACTGGAGTAAAGACAAACTCCAGCCCTCTCTATTAAAACTATAGCTAGTCACCATGGCGATACGCCCCCATGCTGCACTTCTGACCTCACCAAATGTGCTGTTGCGCCATCTGCTGGAGCAGATGCATGCATCACATTAAGACTTCTGTGTTATTTCATCAACTTTCTCTTAAAATGTGCTTGTGTAAAATATACAAGTCATTTCTGTTGATTCAGTTGCCAACAGCGTGTAGTAAAAAATATGTTACCACCAAAAAAAAAAATCAAGAATTTCCAACCATCTATCAATCCATTCATCCAGCCTTCCATTCATTGAACATTTCCAGAATGTATAGTCCAACAGTCTGTCATCTAATTTGGAATTCAAAAACAAAATTTAGTAGGCTAAATATAAAAAAAAGCGATCTAATCATTTAAAACAAGGTGACGTAAACTCACAAATAAATATATATTATACATTTGGTAGTCTCAGACCTAGGAGTTATCTTAAGTCCTCTGATATTTTGAGCTGTGGTGCTCATGTGGGAAATATGGGTTTGAGTCCGGCTGTTCTGTTAATAAACCCTCTTGTTTTATTTGTATCAACAGGCTTCCGAAACGTTGGTTCTACGAAGCGGCGACTTCCTCGTACGGGACTCCCTGTCGACCGTGGGCGACTATGTGCTCACGTGTCGCTGGCAGCAGGAAGTGATCCACTGTCGGATCAGCAAAGTCCTGGTCAAAAGCGGCCAAACCAAAATCCAGTACATGCTGGAGCATGAGGGCTTCGACTCTGTCCCCACACTGGTCAGGCACCATGCTGGCACGAGCCGCCCCGTGTGCCCGCACACCGGAGCCCAACTGCTGTTTCCGGTCAACCGAACGCTGCCGCTGAGGTACCTGGAGGCGACGTTTGCTTTAGCTGGTGGAAGACCAGGATCTGCACATTCACCATCAGCCCAGAGGGGGGCGCACATCAAGAGGCGCAGTGTTACTATGACTGATGGACTGACCACAGAGAAGATCATTCCTCACAGGTAGACCTTCACAGTCATCTTCGCTACTAGTATATGGCTACTCATAGTGCCTTGTTTTTTGTTTTGTTTTGCTTTGGACCATTCATTTAGTGTTTTTAGTGACCACCAGGGGCCCGTTTCAATAAGGAGGTTCAACCAACTCTGAGTTAAAGCTTGAACTCAGAGTTGACTTACCCTGAGATGGGAAACTCTGAGTTTTCGGTTTCAGAACAGCTGAAATGAGTTAGTTCAATCAACTCTGAGTTGACTGACTCTGAGTTAAGCGCGTGCACCACAGCTATAAAAAGCCATTATCAATGGAGCGCAGATATTACGAGTCACCATGGCAACAGCGCCAGACAAAAAGAGGTGTTGGGTATAATTAATTACCAAGTAATCTAAATATTGTAATTTAATTAAAGGGATTACTCTTAATTCTTCTTTAATTTAAAATAAAATATGATGCAATTACATTAAATAGGCTACTGCATAAACTATAGAACAATTCAGTATAAAACAATAGTGCATTTAGCATACATTTTTAAAAGGTATATTTTTATATAACCTTCTCCCTCTACACACTTTGATCAATTCAAGAATAATTCATGCAATTGTATATTGTTAATTTGAAAGCATTAAAAGTGCAGTTTCTTGTCTCTCCTCCTTGTATTAATCAAGTGGTTGAGGTTGATATAGGATTTAGAAATATGTAGACCAATACTTTCTAGAGATAGTAATTATTACATTAATCTAACTACACCGTTGAAGATGTCATTTGTTGTTAATAATTCATAACTATTTTAGAGTAACTGTTATAATATCAGAGGTGAAACTGGAAGAATGTTATTCAACCTAAAGTAGTCTACTATTACTTTGATACATTTTTACTTAAGTAAAAGTAAAAATACCAGTCTAAAAAATCTACTCAAGTAAAAAGTAGTTAATTTAAAACATGAGTAAAAGTTGCTGAGTAACTTGTTTAACAGCGGGGGTGGGGTGGGGTGGGGGGACTCCCCCATGTGGGGTTGTAACGTATGAGAGTTTCAGAGTATGAGAACCGTCTCAGAAAATATCACGGTTTATGGTATTAAACAATTGTTAAATATATAAACTGCATTATTAAATTACGGTTATTATTTTCATCAGTTAAAATGACAGTTAAATAAATTAAACATTTGTTCAATAAAACATTATATCAACTAACTTAAATAATTGATTATGATTATGATTGACATCTTATTTTTTATCATGAATAACTTATTAAATTTTATTACAATTTTTTCAATGATTTAATAGAAATATATTATCCAAAACAGTGGTAATCAAATAAAAGTTTAGCAAATGTTTTAATCCTTTTATTTTTTGGCAAAGTGCTGCAAAACAGATTTAGTCAATTAAACCATGGACAAACAATATATATATTCCTTAAAGAATGTGTAAATACATTTTAGTATTATTGTTGGTGTTTAAACAGCACTTCCTCTTTAAAAAAGGGGAGGAGACCGCAAGAAACTCTGGGTTTACCGAAGAAAACCTGCTCCCGACCAGGTTAGGTTCACAGAGTAAGTTACCATGGTAACTGACTCTGAGTATAAGTTACCTCTCTTTCAGAAACGGGCTTGACTTACTCTGCTTTCTCGGGTTTGATATACCCCCCTTTCTGAAACGGAAAACCCAGAGTTTCCCTCATTTCAGGGTTAACATACTCAGAGTTTTCACTTAACCTCCTTTCTGAAACAGGCCCCAGGAGTTAAATTGTTTCAGAGTAACAAAATAACATTTGTTTTGTTTTGTTTTTTTGTTTTGTTTTGGACCATATTCATTTTGTTTTTAGAAACAACCAGGAGTTAAATTGTTCAGAGTACCAAAATAACGGTTTTGTTTTGTTTTGTTTTGTTTGTTTTGTTTTGGACCATATTTATTTTGCGTTTTAGTGACCACCAGGAGTTAAATTGTTTCAGAGTACCAAAAAAACGTTTTGTTTTGGACCATATTTATTTTGCGTTTTTAGTGACCACCAGGAGTTAAATTGTTTCAGAGTATCAAAATAACTTTTGATAAAGTTTAGTTTTATAAATAAATAAATGAATAAAGTTTTGTTTTGTATATTTATTTTGCGTTTTTAGTGACCACCAGGAGTTAAATTGTTTCAGAGTACCAAAATAACTTTTGATAAAGTTTAGTTTTATAAATAAATAAATAAATAAAGTTTTGTTTTGTTTTGCGTTTTTAGTGACCACCAGGAGTTAAATTGTTTCAGAGTACCAAAATAACTTTTTTTGTATATATATATATATATATATATAAACATGCTCCATGTTTCAACCCAGGATATTTGTATATTTATATTTGTCAACAATAGTCGCAGAAACACTGCGCCACTCTGTAGATTCTGGACAGTCGGAGGTGAAGGAAATCACAGAGAATCGCGTAGTGTATGATAGGCATAAGGTTTTCCCAAAATTATCTCTAAAATACCCATTGAAGTTTGTGCTTCATAAGCCTAGTTTCCTAATCTTGAATATTAAGTTTCATTCTTGGCGTTCAGGTATCTCAGGTCTGAGATCAGGCATTGGTGTGTGCCCAGTGTTTTAACAGTCCATATACACATGTGCCATAGATGCAGGAGTGATATGCTCATGTAGGATGTCTTGTATTATCAGTGCCGCCCAGTCTGCAGAGCCAGATGAGCCTCAGACAGTCGAGCCAGAGGTGAAACCAGCGGAGGGCAGCAGCTGGTGTGTGTGTATCTTTATGTGTGTGTTCACAGCTGGCACAGACCCCCCTCCCTCCCATTCACTCCTCCTCACTCAGTTTTCCAAACAGACGTGGCCACATGGAAACCCTTCACTTGCTTCTGTGCATGCCATCTCTAGTATCACAATAGCACCGAATGTGTGTAGTTTAGTACGCTTGTAGCTGTGGTATGTGGTTTACCAAAATTAAATGCCAAAATGCTATATACCTAAACCTTTGGTTTGAATTGTTTTGACTTAAGGTGTGAGGAATTTAAAAGCATGTTTGTCCTTTCCAGCCCCTCTACGGTGCACCATAAGGATGCGATGAGGAACTGTGCCATGAGCATGGATCAGATCCAAGAGTACCGCTGCCCGCTGTCTCCTGTGGGCGAAAGCCCTCTGTCCCCTGCCTACAGCTCCAGTGAGTACACACAGTCCATGCGCAGACCTGAAGATTTCATCACATTGATACTGTGTACAAACTGCCAACCCATAAAAACGTGTTTTGTTGGTATAAATTAATGTAGATAGGTTGGTCCAGTGATGTTAAATAATATTTTTGAGTTTTACAAAACCGCTTAATTTAGAAGTTAACATTTTTTGTGAGTGTAGCACTGTTTAAAGTGTCCATAATATGCTCATTTGTGCATTTATAATTTAATTTAATATATGCTAGAATACATGTAATTGATTTCAAGTAAAAAAAACACATTATTTGTTATTTGTTAATTATCAACAGCTGTAATCTTCTATCTATTGTAACTATGGCATTGATATTGAAAGTCCATACAATGTTTTTTTTTGCCCTCAAAGCGGGGGTCTTCTTGACATCGCAAAATCACCCAAATATTCTTAGAGGGATGACTAGCAACAAATGTATTACATGCTGATGTTGCTAATTAACTGAAATAATGGCAGGAATAAAATTACGGACCTTTAAGATCGTAATATAAAAACTGACATAAGCTGGTTGTAGTAGTTTACATGCACAGATTGTAACAGCTATGTTACAGGGCAGGTTAAATAATAAAAATGCATAATAGGTTCGCTTTAAGGGTTATTTAACCCAGTGTTGTTTTATTTGTCTCTCTAGTTTCCCGCCACAGGCATGGCTCAGGTGGGCGTGTCCTCGCCGTGATCCCGCCCTCTCCAGTGATGCGACGCTCCAGCGATCCACATCTCTCACCGTCCTCCTCCAATAACAACCTCCCCTGCTCGGACATGCCCCCTAGCACACACTCCACACCTGCCCACGGGTACTCATCCGAGAGTTCGGAGCAGGGCGGCAGCTACTGCGAGCTGAGACCCGGACAAGCCCCCAGTACTCCCTGCAAGAGCTACGTGGAGAGGCTGAGAGTGGAGGAGGGCCGAACCCCAGGCCCTGGAGCCCCAGACGGGGTGGAGGGCTTCATGCTCCCCCTGGTGGAGACCAGCTCCTCCTTCATGCCAGGGAAATACCAGTCCACTCTTCTGCCAGCTGAGAATAAACCACTGGAGATGAGTGTGTTGAAGAGGGTGAAGGAGCTGCTGGCGGAGGTGGATCCCAAAACAGCCGCCAAGCACATCACCATGGCCGACTGCATGGTAAAACACACAAATAAATACACTGACACTCCTTATACATTAATATGCATTTGTTTGGTTTTACATTTACATTTTAATAATTGAGTAGTTTATTTTTTTTAACCATTTCTATCTTAGAATATTTTATCAAAATTCTGGATAAATGGTTCAGTTGTTCGTTCACAAAAGTATAACTTGGATAAAAATGCATACCCATTTTTATTTTTTGTGACTTCTTTTTTATTATATTTTTAAATGTATAGCTATATTCAACTAACTGTAAATAACTGTATGAATAAGTGTGAATAAGACTGACCAAGATTGTATTGTTCTTCCATTGGTTCCAGCCACTCTAAAAGTGCAATATCCATTTGATATGATGATGATGTAACTGGGGTAGATGGTTACAATCACACTTAAAAAAAAAAAAAAAAATAAATAAATTTAAAAGCAGTAAGAGCAGTTGACAAGGTCTTCCTTTGAAAAACAGACAGTGTACCCATGTATACAAACTTTAATGTTAGATGCGATTAATCATGATTCATTGATTTGACAGAACTAATATAAATGTGTTATTATAATACTACTTAAGTTATAATAATAATGCATTATTTTTTCATTATATAGAATTATATTATATTTGAATTGGGGCTGGGCAAAAGATTAATCGCGATTAATTGCGATTAATCACATCCAAAATAAAAGTTTGTGTTTAAATAATATATGTGTGTCTGTGTATAATTATTTTGTGTTTATATAAATACACACACATGCATGTACATATTTAAGAAAAATGTGTTATTGATATATCAAATATGTATATTTATATATAATATTAATTATGTATAAATATGTATAAAGTATATACATGCAAATATTTCTTAAATATATACATGCGTGTGTGTGTGTATTTATATATACAAAATAATTATACACACTACACACACACATATTATTTAAACACAAACTTTTATTTTGGATGCGATTAGTCGCGATTAATCGTTGCCCAGCCCTAGTTTGAATTCAAACAGTCAGTGAAGCTGTACATGTAGAGATATAATAAGCAGATCACTTTTTTCAGATCTGGTCACATGATCCTATGGACCAGGCTCTGGTTTCAACTTCATTTTTTGTTTTGGTTTTGACATGATTATCACCCTTAACCACATAAATTACTATAATTGACTTATTGACACCTGATTAATACTGCAAATTGTTGTTTATTATCAAATAAATCATTTTTCACAAGTATTTATTTTGAGGGCCAAGTTCCCTCTACACATTAATTTTCCAAACGCAACATTATGTGCGGCGCATCTGATAAAATCCTGACCGCGACCCAAACCTTTCATCCGCTTGTGCTCTCGGTGCTGCCTGCCATTAACATCTAAACCTCCAGGGTTAATAAACTCTTTCCACACCGCTGTGTACCACATTCATCAAGCGACGAGTTCACGGCTAATTAAATGTCTTCTGTTCTCTGACTGTGAATATATTAGGATGGAAATAAAGGGGTGGGGTTGAATATATTGCTCTTGTAACTGTGTGTCCATCGGCAGGTTGCTAGGATACTGGGCGTTACCAAGGAGATGCAGAGGATGATGGGAGTGAGCTCAGGCCTGGAGTTGCTGACTCTTCCTCATGGACACCAGCTGAGACTGGATCTGCTGGAGAGGTTAGGAAACACACACACACACACACACACACACACACACACACACATAGACTTCAGTTGAATAGCACAGAGATTGGTAATCAGCTATTTTAAATTGAAATGATATTTCCCAACATTACTGATTTGCTGTTGTTTTAAATAAATGCAACCTCGGTGATTCTCGTATCGCTGCAGCTGAAGTGTGTCAGTGTTAGGAGTGATCAGCTGTATCTATGGTCTCTTGATCTCTAGGTTTTACACCATGTCTATAATGATGGCGGTGGACTTGTTGGGCTGTACGGGCAGCACAGAGGAGAGAGCCGCGCTCCTGTATAAAACCATCCAGCTGGCGGCTGAACTCAAGAGCAACATGGGCAACATGTACGGGTTCGCTGCGGTCATGAGAGCCCTGGAGCTGCCGCAGGTCAGAACACACACCTGTCCTCAGAAACTCGACTCTAGTCTAGTCACACTTGAATCGGCGCATTGAGCATGGAAGTCAATATGGTACTGACAGAAAGCGGTTCTAATTTTCGGTTCTCTGGTGGTTGTTTAGATCTCACGGCTGGAGCAGACGTGGATGACCCTGAGACAGAGACACACAGAAGGGGCCATCCTCTATGAGAAGAAGCTCAAGCCATTCCTCAAGGCCATGAATGATGGGAAAGGTAAAGTAGAGCGTCACTCAATTCACAACGACAAAATAATATATTAGCGTTCAGTAATGATAATGTCATTACTTATCTGAGAAATTACTTATCTGATAATATCATTACTGAAACTGAGACCAGTATTAAATAATTACCAAAAAAATAGAAAGAATTACATTGACAATATAGCATTATTCTTAATATTAATGGAATTAATATTTATTTAAATTCATATTAATGTAATCGGTATATAATTTTTATTTATTTATAAACTTTACTGAATTTAAATTCATGTTTAGATTTATTTGAAATTTTTGAGATTATAAAATAAATTAAATTAATAACATATTAAATGTGTTGGATGTATATTATTTAATATGCTCACCTCGGGTCATTTTGACCCAAAAATCATTTTCTTTCGATTTTGTGTTCATCGGAGTGGTGCGAGACCTTGCCAGTTTTGTCACACTTGAAATTGGAATGCGCACACACACACACACACACACAAATGAAGGGATGAGACCATTGACCATCCCAAGTGTAGAACACACTCATACAACTAGAAATCCCATGTAATGTTTTTTTTTTTTTTTTTTTTTTTACAAATTATAAAACTCAATCAGTGAGGATGCAGACCACACACAGATAAGAAGTGGTTAGATTTGAACACATTTACAATGCTGAACAACCCCTTGCAGTTTCAACATGAACCTCTAGTGGCTCTCAAACCCCGCTTTGTAATCCCTGACATAATGAATGAGGGTTTCTATATATATATTTGATTATAATAAATGATTGTGTGTCTGTTTCAGAGAGCTGTGTCCTCTCCAACACCTCTTTTCCTCACGTGGTGCCGGTGTTGTCCCTGCTGGAGCGCGGTGTGGCGGCCGGCGAGGCGCTGGAGTCGTGGGAGAGTGTGGAGTCTGGTGTGGACGTGGTCATGAGTCACCTGGAGGCGGCGCGCACCATCGCTCACCACGGGGGACTGTACCGCACCAACACTGAGAGCAAACTACAGGGTAAATCCTCACCCGTGCCTAGAAACATTTTTAGAAATACTTGTTTAGTGTTTTTTTTTCTTTTCTTTTTTTTTTTTGCAGAGGGTCTAGGAGAAAAAAAATAATTATTTCGTAGATGTGATTTCCTGCATTCTGGTGCATTTTAGGCCTATACCACTACGAGAAACCAGTCAATACCAATTGTCTGAAAAGACTATTAATTTAAGTTACACATTCTACATTGATTAAAAAAATAATCAAAATATGTTTTTAATGGTAGTATTATTTTATACAGAAATAAATTATTTATAATTTAGATGAGAATAAAGTTAGTGTTCATTAAGGAAAACAAATATATTGATCTGAAATATAGCACATTCATTTTAAATTCAGTCAGGTTCAATTACCAAACATAAAATCTTCATTTAATTTAAAGCAAATTATAAATTTAAAATATATGGGTTAGAGCCGTTGCAATCCTTGATGAATAAAAGTATTGATTAATTTTTTATTTATTTCCCCCCAAAAAATAAAATGAATCTTCTTACAGACCCCAAACTTTTGAACACTGAACAGTAGTCAAAGTCAAAGTTTATTTATATAGCACTTTTTAAAAACAAGTGTTTAACAAAGTGCTGTACACATACATACTTATGCAAACAAACCAACATGACCAAGATACAAGAAATAAAAAAATAAAAAAGTGCTTTTAAAAAAGTACTATATAAATGAACTTTGACTTTGAACACTGAACAGTAGTGTTTAATGTTACAAAACCTTTCTATTTCAGATAAATTCGTCAATCCTGAAATAAAAATGTAAATAACTGTTTTCAACATAGATAATATTATTATCTAATAACTGTATTAGAATGATATCTGAAGGATCATGTGACACTGAAGACTGGAGTAATGATGCTGAAAATTCAGCTTTGATCACAGGAACACATTAACAACTGTTCTAAATTGTAATAATATTTCACAATATTCATATTTTTATGTAAATGCATGCATGCATTCAACTAAATGCAGCCTTGGTGAGCAGAAGAGACTTCTTTTAAAAACATTAAAAATCTCACTGTGTGTCTGTGTGTGTGTGTGTGTGTGTGTGTGTGTGCGTGCGCGCCTTGTGCTTGACTCTTGCATTGTCAATACAAGACCAAAAATGTATGCACCTCTTGATGGAAATAAATGTTGTGCTGTTATTTCCATCAATAGGTGCATATATTTTTGTTCAAGATCTTGTATTGACAATGCAAGAATCAATCCTGGAATATGGTCATGATGCGTCTTCCTACATGGTTGTTTAACAAATGAAAAGTTAGAAGAACTGTTGCCAAACATAACATTCTATATGTGTCACATATTGTGATTTGCTGTGCACTAGCATATAGTATTGTTTTCATTTTGTTTATGTGGTGGTCACATTCTCTCTCTCTCTCTCTCTCTCGCTCTCTCTCTTTCTCCCTCTACTCACAGATTTCCAGGAGCGGAAGGAGGTTCTGGAAATCTTCTGTACAGAGTTTCAGATGAGGCTTTTATGGGGCAGTCGTGGCTCGGAAGGAAGTCAGGCCGAGCGCTATGAGAAGTTTGACAAGGTCCTCACCGCTCTGTCCCACAAGCTAGAACCTCCTGTACGACACAGTGAATTATAGCACCCCCACACCCACAAAATGGTATGTTTCCTGACCTATCTGCCACTCCTACTCCTGGACTGGACCATTTTGCTTTTTTGGGGGGAGGGAGGGGGGAGCGATGGAGAACATGACAATGTGATTTGCAAAACAATGCACAATAGGGGACAGGCTTTATGCGAGCATGATAGCGCCCCCTAAAGAACACAGACGTGAACGACACGGCAAGGGAATGAAATAAAAATCTAAAGCCAAAATCTCTTCTTCAGTGACGGTGACCAAGGGCACTTCCTTTTCAAAAAGAGAGAATGTGATGAAGTTGACTTTAACCCAATGGGTCTGAATCCTGTTTTATGTGAATCCACGAATTTGTTCCCATCAGCTTGTCAACGAAGAGCAAAGATGTCTTGCAGAGGTGACGCGTCTCCGTACCGGAGATGAGACTGCACTGACGATACACAGTCACCATTTATTGCTGGAATAGACTGAACACACACTCACTTGTCACATGTCTGAATGTAAGTTGCCAAATCATTCATTCAAACAGATATCTGCTGGATAAAGAGTCTTATCTTTGACTTTTATTTTCGGTACTGTCGTGGCTTTATTGGTCGAAATGGAGTTGACAGTTACTGTGAGGAATTGAGTGTCTAACAGATGCTCACATTCACACTTTCCAAGTTTATTTTTGTCATATCAAAGGGGTCATATCAATGTTTCCTTAGTGTTTGGAATAGGGTTCATTTCGTAACTTAAGACCGCCCACTTTACACATCAACATTACAAATTGCATATTGAGTGAGCATTCAGACTTTACTCCTAAACATAAGGAGAACAACTAATACTAGAGGTAAAACTGTGAAAGTGGTCGAATCCACCACATATCGAAGTGTTTTTAGGTTGTGTGTAGCACCTACAGCTTTGCAGATCCTTCTTAATGTTGGAACTGGGTCATTTCCAGTGTAAACTGGTCTAAACCGTTACATGTGGCGGAAATAACTATATTTCCCATTTCAAATATGAAGAAAGACAATTGCATAAAGTCTTAAAGGCACAGGGGCACATAAACAGCCTGTTTAATTATCAACCAAAAAGAGAGAGGAAATATTCATGAAAAAATAAATTATCAATGGTTGTGGGGTTCATTATAAATGGACATAATGAAAAATTTAAATAGCAAAAATCATGATCTGACCCCTTTAATATCTTCCATGACTGACCATGCTAGTCAATATGGCCATAGCAATGTGTTTTTAGCTGTTTTTTTAGATGCATTATGTATATTCTCAATGAGACTAGATCACAATGAATGTCATTTTGTAGTAAATTATTTAAGAGACCCATATAACAAAATGTTACAGACCAACTCCATGTCCAGATCATGTTAGCAAGTACATTCATTCAAGCATTCAATGTAATGTTATGGCAATAAGGTAAATCACAACCCGCTATATGGAGGCTCATTGTGTTGAAATGCTAATGCATATTGCTCATATTTAGGATGAGGAGTTTTCCCAACAGATATCAATTATACCTCATAGTGTGTGCTATATATTGAGGTGCGGCGATCTATTACTTGATCATATGATTTCCAATTCCGCATAAAAAAAATAAATAAAAAAAATCCCATAGACTTCAATGAGGGATTTGAGAGATATTTTGATTTGTTGCCACCTAGCAACCACATAGAAACCACCCTAGCATAGGCATAGCAACATTGTGGCATCCTGCTGGCGAGTTTTGTATGAGCAAGTACCACTATTTTCATTGAGTTTTATGCAGACAAAGTTTGAAAGAGTTAAATAACAGTAACAATTTCATTAACCCTCACTAGTCCAATACTGTTTTCATATTCTGGTAAATTTAGCCAAACAAAATCCAAAGTCACATACATATACCTCTGTCAGAAGTGTAAATGCTCTACCCTTATTTCTGGGTAGGCTACCATAAAAAGTTCAGCGTAGCCTATCTGGTTCTAACGCGATCTATTGTGTATCATATACAGGCTGCTATACTTCACACCCAGTCTATCAATGCATACTTCCAGGGAATTTTCTGATGGTGTTTTTTCAGGTATCTTAATAAATGCACATCTGAAAGTAGACGACGCTGTCTGACACAGATAGAGGAGCATTGTGGGATGAAAAGTGTGTAAAAAGTATGCAATTTCACTTTTAGCCAGAAGAGGGCTCTGTTTAGTAAGCTAAAAACAGTACATGGAAGTAAGTTTTGAACCTTTTGAAAGTTTTTTTTTAATAAGGCCTGCTGGTCTAGGACTGTAACTTGTGTTTGGTTTCTCTACTGTAAAGGTAAATGTGTAACTATTTCGTTTTGTAAATAGTTACCCCTAAACGGTCGATGATAGACGAGTTGGACGAGGTCACGTGATTGCATCCTTTTATTATGTGCTGTACATACTGGTATGTCATATGTTTTGCACTCGTTTTTTCAAAAAAATAAAATACAGTAAGCTTGTGTTGTTTGTGATTTATTTCCTCCAAGGATTATTTAAAATCGTATTTGATTTTAACCTACGCTGAAATTCATGATGCCTAAGATTAGTGTAGTAGGGTATTATTTTCATTGGTCTAATGTTAACTTACAAAAAAGTACGTTTATATCTATCTATCTATCTATCTATCTATCTATCTATCTATCTATCTATCTATCTATCTATCTATCTATCTATCTATCTATCTATCTATCTATCTATCTATCTATCTATCTGCTGTGATCTTTAGATACATTCATTTACTGTGCTAAAATTACGTATTTAAATGTATATTTTAAAATTATATTAGTGTTGTACACTTCTGGGTCAAAGTGAACAGAATTGAAACAGTGCAGTTCTACAAAGTGAGCACAAGGTGGCAGCAGTGTCAAGATAGTCTCCAGTCAGCCGTATTGACGTCAGCATCCTCAACTCCCTGCACTTGACCCTACCTAATAACACACACACACACATTTTAATGTGTGTTTGATGCAGACACAAGACCAAATGTGTAGTAACTAAATATAACCTATTATCATTTATGTCATAATATGTTGGTGACTTGCTTTAAATAGCTGTTCTACAACTGCGCAGAATCAAATTTAACCATCTGAATGTAGTTTCTATTCATAAAACTTGTGAAAAAGAGTGAACAGAATATGCATATGGTTTCTTTACCTGTGTGTGGGTGTGCGTGTTTATATGATTTATGAGGAACTTTGTATAATCACATCACATGGGTACTACACTGTTATTACAACGTAAACTTAGTTTACAAGGACATTTCCTGAGTCCTCGTAATTAAAAAAACACATACAAAAAACACTTATATTAAATATGTAAAAATACTGAAAGTTTTCTGTGATTTCTGTTAGGGGATAGAATATACAGTTTGTACAGTATAAAAACGCCTGTGTAAATTCCTGCACCAATGTGTGTGTGTGTGTGTGTGTATGTGTGAATGCACTGCAACAGAGCATGCGTAGATGCTTTGAGTTGTCGTGCATCAGGCTATAAAGTGACTTCACCAAGACAAGATGGTGGCTACGGAGGGGAGGTTGCAGCGAACCCATGATGCAATCTCTCAGTGTGTGTGTGTGTGTGTGTGTGATGTCCTCAGCACAGCTGTGTCAGTCAGAGAAAGGTCCACCAGGCACTGCTGGTAAAGCGGGCACTCTGACAGACACAGGGACATGAAGCACTGAATGCCCACTCAGCACACACACACACACACACGCCGAGCTGCCCGTCACACACCACTGTGTTCAAAATATTGGGGAAATGCAGATTCAAATCTTTTATCGAAGGCCGCAGTGGTCTGTGAACTCAAACGACAAGCCACACAATAGCATAAATACACAATCTGCTCTGAAAGAGAACAGGACCTTATCAAAGCTAGCATATGGAATATTATACAATATATTAAGAACCAACTTTTTTGGTGTTTTTGTGAAGATTGTCAAGATTTCAAATTAGATTTCATGTGCACGTGACTAAAACTGGTGCTAAAATGTAATATTTATTTTAGTAACAGAAAAAGTTGATCACTTTACCTGTGAACATTGAGTAAAATATGAATAGAATATTTTTATTAAGGATTAATACAAATTCATTCTTTATAAAAAAATATATACACAATAAATATATATATATATATATATATGTGCGTATATATATATATATATACACATATAGTTGATCATCTTTACCAAATAATACTATTAAAAACATATTTAATATTTAATATATATATGGTAAACAAAAAACAAAAAATGACGAGCTTTTATGTATTAAGTGTTTAATTTGTTTAATTTTAGTATATGTTATTAATACATTCATATATTTTTATTAATTCTTATTATATGAATATATTTGATAATATATTAATTTTAATTATATATTTATGTGTGTGTCGAGTGTGTGTGTGTCACATGTGTTTTTGCGTCTCTGCAAGCAAAACAGAATATTTAAAACAAAAAAATAAATGGAAGTTCAAGGTGAACCTGTCGTTCTACTGCAGTATTATAGTATGTGACTTTCTATTTGTTTTTCAATCTTGTGAAAATGCCTTTTGTGTGCCTGTGGGCTATTTCTGGGTGAAGTGTTTTCCAACACAACAGGGTTCTGGGCTTGACATGACTGCTCGGAAAATGCCTCAGATTGTGTTAAAGCAGCTGGGTAACGCTGTGACATGCAGCATCTCATTCTTTCCAGCCTATTTTGATTATATTTGTGTCATTATGTTTGTTGAATTTATTTCACTCTTTCTCTCTATTTTGTTGTGGATTTATTTACAGACGGATCTGTTGGTGACAGCAGAGGAACAGCCTGCCATGTGCTGAATGGATAAGTACATGTAAAGTGACTGGATTACATGTCTTGGTGCTTTAACACTTTGTCATCTAAATCTAAAGCTCATGCCGCATCCACAATTACACACAATCACACACACACATGCACACACACACACACATACACACCACTGAACTCATGTCACTGTCAGTCATGACTTATGTGCAGCCTGCAAAGTTAACACCTGTGCTTTTAAAGAAAACACAACAGAAGCCAGGATTTCTAAACATGTCTGCCATCAGTTTGGTTAATCAGGGTTATATGTTAACAACATATGTAGTGAAGTGTACACATACCAGTCTGATAGTCCAAATTCAATCTGATAAATAGTATTTTTTGGAAGTCAGTCCGAAGTGTCCCCTCATGTGACTCTCTGTGGCCCCGGGGCCCCCCTTGCCCCTCACATTAGCACATGAATGGCCGGCTGCAAAGGGCCAGTTCATCCTCGGACGCCAACAGAAGGCAGGAGATTTGCAATTCAATCTGCTCGTAGTCGGGACAGACCTGTCAGCAGTGTGACAGAGGCGAGGGGGGGACCGCCACATCACTGCACCATACATCACGCTCGCCTGAGGAGACCGAGGGGACACTGTGGAAACATTTAAGTCACATTAAAAATAATCATTATAATCAATGAGCAATGTGACTTTTGTGATGGTTACAGTACATCAGGTAGGCCTGATCTGACAATGGAAACCTCCCATTTTTCTGGCAAATTTGTAAATTTGCAAACAGTAAGAATTAATGTTTAGCATTTAAATACACACAGTGTGTGTGTGTGTGTGTGTGTGTGTGTGTGTATATATATATATATATATATATATATATATAATACAGTAAGAGCATAGTTAAAAGTAAGGTTTAATATAATGTTTTTCAAATCCGCAATTTAATATAATTTACATTAGCCTACATATTTTAGATATTTTTAGACATGTTTTTAAAAAATGTTTCAAGGTAAACTTTCAATCAATGCATTTATTCGTTCTTCATAATGTGTAATACAGCAAATACCCAAAGGAAAACCAAGGCTTGTCTCTGAAACATCACGAACGAACCGTTCACTCCGGTTCACTCCGAATAGGATCCTCAAAGGAAGATGTCATTTCCGGTGAACGTGTGCGATTCTTTCCGGGTTGTGCAGCCAGCAACATGGCAGCGCCCTTAGGTCTGCATCTGGAGTTTGGGTTAGTATTTATTGCTTTCTTTATTCTTCATTACATTTCCTCGTGTTCCAATGGTCACATTAGTGCACGTAATGCATGATACTTTTTCAAAACAATTAGACAGAAGCTTTAGAGATTAAACCTGGCCGGAAAAGCCTGTTATTCGTTTAGCTGTTTAGCTCCAGTGATGACACTTAATAGAAATAATAAATTCATATTATTTATGCTCTTGGAGCAGCGCGTGCTGAGGGAGTTGTCGGAGCTGTCAATCATGCGCTTCAAACCTACTAGATAAATAATCTGATTCACTCGCTTAAATTAACAAAATAATAATCGATGTTGATGTAAATTCTGTGGGAAACGTTTTATTCTTAATAGAAATTTTGAGCTTGGGTTTGAGACACATTTTTAAAGTTTTTTTTTTTTCAGAATGAGTTTTTTGACAGTACTCAAGTAGCACCAGTGTCTTTTATCATATTATGATATTTCCATTTTAGTGGTGGATTATAGCTGTTCGTCTGTTGGAGAAATGCGTACTTTTCCTACTCGTTTAACTTATTATTTTTTTAATTATAAAAGGTTGTACTGTACTGAAAATAGTAACCTAAAAATGTGCTTCATATGGCAACATCTACATTAATTGATTTAATTTAAATTAAAAAAATGCTATTTAACGTGACTATGTCAACCTAAATATATTAGGTTACACAAAACTAAATTTGAGTGTAAGTGTACTTTTTAGTATTTCTGAGGTTTGGAATGGCATGATAGTGGACTGCTCGCTACATACTCAAGTGAACATATTGTAAAAGCAGAATGTGAAACAGGTTGTCCAGCAATAAACATTTCAAACAGTAGAACTTTGACCGAATGCAACATTTTTCAGCACCCCATGAATTAGCCAGGATTTAATTTGACATGCTCTCCCTTTCCGTCACTCTGATGCAATCGATGTTCTCAGTCTCACAACATTATTACATTTTGCATATCACTACATTGTGCAGTTCAGTGATTGCTGTTTAGTTATAATCTTGTAAATGATGGTTGTGTTGTTTTGACAAATATCCTAGGCCATCAGAATATTCTATCCATGCTGAAACGTTGCATACTGTGCATAGTACACATCTTGTATATATTACAGAAACCAATTGTATTATGGCAGTATGCTATTCCGAACACAGTAAGGGAGAGCATCTCAAAAAAATATTGGGCAGAATTCATCGGCCTTTAAGTCGCCACAGAGTCCTATGTGACTGTCTATGGACAGAGGTGGTGTTTGTGAGTGGCCTTTCTGGGGCTGGCACACAGGCTGGCTTCTCTCTGTACCGCTAGGGTACGGGCATCTCGCCAGGCTGGGCGATCTGGAGGACAACTGGGCATTCTCCAGGAGATGTGAGGTCCCTTTATTGGGTCTGCACCTGCTACATGAGTCCTATTCTGACTTCATGTCCCTGTCTTTTTTTTTTTTTTTTTTTTTCACTGGCATGCACCTTCTCTCGATCTTGCACAGATCTCTGTCACTTACTGAGTTTGCGTTTATTAAACACTGCTAATTAAACTGTACAGTATACTGAGATGTCTTCTTTGGAGTAGATTTGTTGGTCTGTGCAAATTCATTAGAATAGGCTCTATGCACAACTTACTTCCGCATTCTGTTTGAACAGGTCTCATCGCTTCCGTTCCAGGTCTTTTGTATGTGCTTCATGAAATTTTTTGCAGTTTTACTCAAGATAACTTAAAAGGAGCGAGCAAAGATTAGCATAACCAATGTCCCTCACATATGCAGATTGATATTTAAACTTTTTATATTTTTTCTTCTTCACAGAAACGTTTAGATATTTAAATGGAATAAAACGCCAATACAAAGTGAACTAGTTAGGTTAGCTGATTACCATAAAAATCCATAGATATCGTAGTCAGTTCTTACGGCCGTTAACACTTTCTCTGACAAGCGGATGCGATGAGACCCGTTTTCCGGTTTGGTCACGTGACGCTCCGCATAAAGCCTATTAGTCTAGGTGTTATAAGTTATGTAAATTTCTTTACAAAAACGGAAATAACCACATCCATACCTGAAAAATCTTCAAGAGTTTTAAAGGTAGACAATTTTTTTCATAAACACTTTTTGTTCTACTGGTTGAAACTCCTGATAGCAATCAATAATAGAAGTGGTCTATATGTTAAAAAACTGACATGTATCGTCTGTGGAAGTCTCAGGAACAAAAAATGTTTGTTAAATCATTGCATTTGGTCCGAGCTGTTCGGATTTATGTTTCTATGTCAACACCATTAGCGGTGAAATGAAACTGCAACAGTCAGTTGGTACAAGTAAGAGCGCTTAATCAGATTGGGTTTCTTATTCGTCATGGATTAGTTTTAGTTTAGTAAAAGCTGCATGGAGGATATTGTTAAATGATTTTGGAAATGGGAGAACCTTCACTGCATATTATAATTGTTAAAAGCTGTACCTGTAAGAGTACAGCATTGTATCAGCATTATATGCACTGTATTTTTCCTGTTTTAGAGGTGGAGCTGAACTTCTGTTTAATGGAGTCAAGAATCATCATGTGGCACTCCCTAGCCAATCAGATCCCTGTGAGTATGAAAAGATTGACCTCTTCTGTTGTGTTTGTGGAGTTTGCTAATGCAAGTATCACTTTTACTATTAAACCCCTAACTCTAAGTATCAAAAGCATAGTTCACCCAAAAATGAAAGTCCTGTCATCATTTACTTGCTTTCATGCTCATTTCACTTGCTTGTATGACTCTATTCTGTGAAATGATTCGACCGTTTTTGTCCATGTAATGAATGGCAATGGGGTCTTAAATATTGTCAAAAATCACTGAGACATTTTCAAAATATCTTCTTTTGTGTTCCACAGAAGAAAGAAAATAAATTATTTAATTTTTCATTGAAATTAATTTTACGAAATGACATGGGGGTATGTAATTTTTGGGTGACTGTATCTTTGGCCTTCAGCTTGTAACCTGCCCTCCCTGCACCATTTATGTTAGTGACCTAAATCTCAAATATAAATATAACTTGAGGAGAGTAAAGCTACCACCAAGAACACCCCAGCAACCATAGAAATGTACTAAAAAACATTCAGAATACCTCAACTGCATAACAACACAAGTTTTGCACGGTCAAACTCTTAAATATTGTCTTGAATATCAAGTTTGTTACTATTTTCTTAAAGAGTAAAGTTTTTACTGAAGTATTCTTTTACATCTAATGTATGAAAGATAAAGCACAGATAATGCTCAGATGTTCTGATGGTTGGGTAATATTAAGAGACTTCTATCAGACTTCAAATGTTTTTCACCTTTTCAAACCAGTGATTTACCATTCTCAGCGCTGATGACTTAATTAGGTCCAAATATCTGTACCCTTTCTCTCCCCACACCAGAGTTTCGGATATAGGATTCACTTATTGGCCTTATGCCCTTATTGAACGAATGGATGCCTTTTTTTCCTCTGGTACTCCTATAGTAGAAAGCCACACAAATCATACCAAATTATGTGCTTCTTTCTCCACATCTATTTCCTTTATTCTGCCGCCCCTCTGCCTGATGCCCTTTTCCCATTCGCCTCCTTTCCTCCCCTGACCTCTTAGAGCCTTGGTTCACACGCTTCCCTGGACACCTTTTCTTCTAGCCAGTCCTGCTTTCACTCTGACATTGGGCCAATGGCAAACAAGTGCCGGCCTGCCATCACAAATCGAGGTGCCCACCCCCCGTCCCCTCCACCCCTCCCTCAGCGACAATGGAGCTGAGCCCCTTCTCCATACATCCCACCTCCCCCTCAACCACCAACATCTGTGAGCCTCCCTGTGCCCAGCCATTCTTCCCCTAACTGCTCCATTATTGGGCCCCTTTCACTTGTAAATGCAGCCAGTGATACTGTTGATGGATCTTTTATGCCTAGTGCTGGGGTCACAGGAAAGGTATGGAGAATGGAGGGCCAGTAAAGGAGGGAGGGACAATTGTTACAAAGCACTAAGTCCTTTTTGTGTGCAGTCATTTTTTGGGATGCCTGACAGTACAAATGCCCCACTCCTACAAACACCTTGCATTCCTACGGCTTCCTGGTGGGACGTTTGGGTGAAAGCGGTGGGATATTTGGTTGTGGGGGAGTGCTTGTATTGCCCCCTGGATTTAAGCAGTGAGTGGGTAACATGTTCTCTGCCATCTCTGGCTTGGAAAGCAAGTCGTTTGAGAGTCATTAGTGGAAAAGATGGATTGGTAAAGCAAGACCTTATATCCCATGCACATGCTCAGAAGTTCCTGGATTTGCAGTTAACGTTTGGGATTGGGAAAGTGATTAGTAGATGAGGGTTCCATCTACAGAGTGAATTTCATCCAACTATGTTCCTTTGAGCCTACCATGTGGTTTTCCACACAAATTTAGTTAGTGGGTTATGAACCCTTTCTTTCCCTCAACTGGTATTCACAAAGTTAAGTTGTTGTCAATGAGTTGTTTAAAGTCAACCTGGTAACTCAATGATGAGTCAAGGATTTGCAGAGATTTTTGTGGTGAACTGTTACTTTTCCTGTCTCATGGACGGTGTTCGTCCTTCACTTGAGGTCTGAGTTATATTGAACAGGACTAGAACTTTTGGCCAAGTATGTCAGTATTTTGCATGGCTTTCCCAGCTCCGAGGTCGAGAACACTGTGCACTTTGGTGGCCTTGCCAAACAAGAGAAGGGTCAAGCTCCATGGCACCGGAGTATCCACGACAACCTGTCCACAAAAGTGGACGACAGCAGGGAATGTGGCCACCAAGACCTTGCAGGGGCCTAGGGGATGACCTTGGAGCACATTTGAAGCCCATAGTCTGTATATGTGTTTGGGCATGATTTGAGTACATCACGGATGGCTGGCTACGATTGCTAAGTCTGACACTGATGCTCTACGCTAATCCTGCCTACATTTTCTGTCCGCTGGTCTCCAGACCTTTCTGAGTGATTGATGAGTAGTGCAGAGCCCCCCGCTGCCGGACACACACACACACACACACACACGATTGTCATAGAAACACCAACCCTCATATCCTGAGCAAGATGAATGACTTAATTCCCTCCCACCCAAAGATAGTGGTGATAATGATGATTGTCATGAAAAGAGAAAGGAAACGGAGAGAGTTAGCCAGCCACTATGCTACACAGACACCGCCACCCTCCCACGCAGGCTTTATCCCAGCATGCACCTGTCTGCGATGACGCATACTTCCCCCCTCCTAGTCCTGTTTTGCCTCTGTATCTTCTTACCTCACCACGACCTATACAGTCCTTTTCGTCTGCCATTCTTCCCTTACCCGTACAAAAGAGGGCTAAGAAACATGGGGCATCTTGTTGACCCCTCACTCTTTACCCTTGGCTCACATAAACCACCCTTTGTACGACGCAGGAGACTTTTGCTTTGGTTTTGTTTTTTCGAGTTCTCCCAATCAAAGGAGTGATGTGGCTGAAAGTGATCACGTCTGTTTTTCGCCCCTGCTTTTGGTACTAGTCAATATTCATTGCGGTAGCTTAGCACTGAGGCAAGCATCACTCTTCTTTATAGGTTCAGTATTGTGGGCTAGCCGAGCTGCAAGGTACAACGATCGTTACACAACTGAAGAGGCTGACAGCGATCCAATTAACCTGAAACAGCCTCTGTTGCTCGACCCCTTCCTCTCGCTGAGAAGCACGCCACGCGCTTACAAGCGCACACACTTGCACGCATTGGTGCTGACATCTCTGAAAGCTTCAGTTCTGGTGGAAACTTGCCCAGTCAAGAGTATTGTATAGACCCTCGCTCCTGCACCCACTTGCCCTCTGCTTTCGTCCTCTTGCTAATTTGTCCTGGTCTAATTATACATGTTTGCATAGCCAGTTAGCTATAGACTATGTCTCCTGGTCATCGTGTCCTCAAACTCACCAAGGTATTCCCAACCCCCCTCACAGGTTCTCTGCTTCAAGTAACCATTGCCCACCTGAGACCTTATATATCCCTCCCAGCTGCTTGAATTGAGATGCGTGTCAGTTAAGCATCTACTGTTAAATGTTGCCAAACTCAGTTCCTTTATCGGATTTATAGTCGAGATCTATGCTGACACACATATGAACACATTGAAGTCTTGTTTCATTCTATTTATATCCAAAGATTACGGTAAGTTATCAAGGTTATGTGTCCAGGGATCAGCAGCAGTATGGCGATTCTACCCATGTGTTACGATAGGGTGGGAAGTGCAGTAGTTATTTTAGATGTTTTTAAAAGCTCCGTCTCTGATGTCACATTTCCAATAAGTGCAATGGCTTTTCATACAGACAAACTAGCAATATTCTTCAAAATACAGACAACGTGCTTGCCCAGCCTTATGTCAACCACAGCCACACTCGCAAACAATAAATTCAAACTCCTCCCCAGAATGAAAACATCTCTCTCTTTTCCTTCTTTCTCTCCCCGTCTTCCTCACTCTTTCTCCGTCTTTGTCTCCACCACCCCTCCGAGCAGGAAACTGGTATGTTCCAGAATGGACGCTGATGATACAATGTTGATGTTGGACATACTGACTTCTCCGCCATGTTGGGTAGCGGAGCTTCATTGCTCACACACACACACACGATTATTAAAACAATTATCATCCATCATCACGCGCTTGTATTATCACAGAACACACAAATGTTGAAGACTAAACTTTATTGCCCTTCAATTAGTGGAATAATAGCCAATAGCTTTGATTCTGTATTATTTGCATAGCTTCAGTAGAAAACAAAATGTGATTGTTTTACAACACCCACCAAAACATTTGAAGTAAAATTTTTGGCATACAGGTATTCACAAAACATAGTCTTACAAATATCGGCTTCTAGCACATTTTGTTTTCGTGGGGGGTGTGCAGACATCCTAGATTTAATTTGAATTCACATTGGCGCCCTGGGTTTATATCCATCAATCATCAACCTCACACCCCCCCTCGTAGATATACAGCTTTTCGGTCCTAACCTTCTGGATTTTAAACCTACCTATTCCAGTCACGTTTACCTGGTCGGTGCTTTCAGGCTGATACGGCTACAGTTAATGGTGTCTCTGTGTTTCTGAATTTGAATTTAATCGGCATCACTGCTGTATTTTCAATGGTGCGCTCAAAGATGACAGTGGTTGAGTCTATTCTTGATATACCTCCCCCACCTTGAATTCGAGGCTCTGTCGCGTCACATCGACCGTGGGGCTGGCTCACTGAACTCTGACCTGTGAACTTTGACCTCTGTGGTACTCTTACAGGGGACATGAAGCAGCTGCTGGCGTGGATCCGAGGGAACATGCTGAAGGAGCGCCCAGAGCTCTTTATGCAGGGCGACACTGTGTAAGTACACACACTTCGCAGATGCACAGTAAATACGTTACCGATGCAGGATGATGCTCAGACAAATACACACGCGCACTGTAGACACACACTCGTCATAAATGCAGTGCTACGTGTTCGCTGCAGATTCTCCGTGAGGTCAAGGAGGTCGAATCACACCACATTCCCTTTTGTGATAAAATACTTTTTTGAATGCATCAGGAATAAGAAATTATACCTTGCTTCCTCAGCCTTGGAAAAACTAAACTGGGTGGATTTTTATTTTTTGAAATTGTGATATAAGAGGTTTATAGAGAGAATCGTCGTAAATGGCCTTTATTGCCGTTATCAGCATGGACTGCTACCTGAAAATACCTCTGATACAGAGCCGTCTTCAATGCCGTATAAACCTCACCGTTGACTATTTAGCCGTGAGGGGCAACCCCTTCACCTACATTAGCACCTCGTACTTCAAATATAAAATAAAATATAAAATTCCTTATGATTATTACAATATTTTGTATTAATGGTTGATTATGGGTTTTTGTAATTATAAATATTTTACTAATCTTTGTGAGAGGATGTTCTATGCATAGTCTTCATTGTATTTCATCTTGCCTGTGTATGTTTGCATGAGAGAAGCTCGTTCATTTAATGAACTGCGGATGCAAGGGTCCTAGATAACCGCAGCAGTGGCGATATTCATTGTGTACATACAGGCTGCGTATTATTATCAGAGAGCTGCTTTACTGTCATGTTTTTGTGTAGCTCACATCACTTACATGAGCTCTTCTTTTTGACACACACAGTAGACCTGGGATTCTCGTATTGATTAACGACGCAGACTGGGAACTAATGGTAAGATGGTGTGTGTTTGCTTGTGCGTGTGTGTGTACATTTCCTCAATCACTCCTTCCACTCTCTGTTTTAATGACATGCTCATTTTAGGTCCAGTATCAGCTTCTCTTCATTCATCTAATGCACATAAAGGTTGTGGTGGGTTGTTCTTTCAGGAAAACATGTATTGGCATCAGACCGTAATTTAAAGTAACAATCAATTGAAAAAAGTCAATGTCTCAACAACTGTCAATGACAAAACCTGCAAATCAAGTGTTGATGTAAAGCTGCAACACTTTCTAATGAATTCTACAATTTACAATACATACTTTTTTCTGGGTATACATTAGATCTTCAGTGTAGAATTTTTTCAAGATGATATTTATGAGCCAAATGTTTTTTTCTTTTTCTTTTTTTTTCTTTCTTGCATGTGCATCCATATCCCTTGCAGGGTGAACTGGAATACCAGCTTCAGGACCAGGATAACGTTGTGTTTATCTCTACTCTTCATGGAGGTTAACTGACTCTGATATAAATGCCACACCCATACAGAAGCCCCTCCACCCTTCTAAAAGGTCAAATATCAGACGATCCATCAACAACGCCATCGGTGGCCGATTTCAATTCCTAGGCCGGGCTTTTCGACCAATCGGGTGAAAAAGACTTTATTTTGGTTTTAATTCCAATAAAACGTAACATCACCGGGAATCTGGCTGCCGAGGGAAATTCACTGTCCCGTACCTTACTGGAGCGTGGCGGGGTTACGATGGGGAGCAATGGCTCATTAGGAAGGTCACTCTGTCTAGCCAGTGTCCAGATGGATTCTCTGGAGACATGGTGGACCGCTTGCCCCATATCAAAAGGCTCTGTTATAATTTTCATTCATTTTATGTTTGATGCCTTTATAGCTTGTATGTTTTTTATGTAAGTCCATATTATTATTTTTTTTATCTGAATAAATATTGTGTAAATTTTGCCACAATATATTTTTCTTTGCACTAATTTGATTTTAAATTTGCTAGTGTTAGTATACATTAATGTTTTATATTTGTCATAAGCTTATAAGGTTGATTATTTGATATTAAATATTTATGTGAGGGCAAGAGATTTTATTGCATTCCTAAACTTAGACTGCTGCAGTAAAGTAGTCCTAATTCTACGTCTAAATATTAATAAGTTTTGGGACGACCTATTCTTTTAGCATATAACATCGTACGGATAAAATGGCACTTTTCTAGTCAAATGAGGTATTATCTTTTATGTTTGATTTAGGTATTCTTCCTTTATATAGAATATTCATTAGAATAAACTTAGGATGATGGCGGGAGGTCGAGCACAAATCTCTTTTGGCTGAAGACTCGATTTGCAACGGAAACCCAAATGATAATAGTAACACTATAATACTGATGCTAATGATGTCGAGGGAGAAATGCGTGATGTCAGTATTGAAGTGTGTGTGTGGGGTGGGGTGGGGGAATACAGGGGTAAACATGCTTCTCCTGCAGTGTGACCTGTTGGGAGGCCACGAGTCTCTTTTTTTAAAAAGACACTTCCTACAGATTTAAAAGTCGCCTTATAGGCTGTGCGATCCACACTTTCGCTTATTTTTCAAGACGTTATTTATAAAGATGAATAGACATTACTAATTTTATGTGCTTAGGCCTACTGTTTATGTGTTTTGGTTTTTAACATAAACGGACAAAAATATTATATTTTTAAATAAATATAGCCTAGCCTACCATATTATTATTATAAATTTATATTTTTTTCTTAATTCTAGTTGGCCAATTCAGTGAAATTAGTTTGAAAAAAAAAGGTAAGGCTATATTCGCTAATAGCAAGTAACGTTACATTCTTAAAATTTTTAGTCTAAAATACTATTAGTGTAGCCTGGTGCGAAGTGAACATAAGATGATAGAGATTTAACGCATATTTTATAGCCTACTTAGCTCTATTAATTGCATATTGGCTATCAATGTATCTTCAGACTGTTTTAATATTTTACCGTCGTTTTTTAGTATTCTTTTATTATTTTCATTCAAGAATGGATTTAACCCACTTGATTAAGCACCTATTAAGCGCCTGTTCTTAACAATAGGCTACAAATATGGAATCATTTCCAAAAATAATACTAACTTTACATCAAACACAAGCTATACGAATATGTAACCTTATGTAAAAAAGCAATCTTAAAACAACGTCAAAGTAACGATTTGAATTAGGCCTGCCTAGCTTAATAAATTAATGGTTTAGCCTATAATTGATAGACGATGTGATTAAGCTTACACCGATTTTACAAAATGGAGCACGGCCATTTTCCTCTATTGAAGAAAAAAAATATCGTTAAATATCGTAGCCAAAAGTATAAAATATATTGTTATATGCCATTTGAAAATGAAAACAACGCAGAAATTGTCATTTTAGGCCTATAGCCTATTCCGAATTAGCCCTATTCTGTCGGACTCGGCTAGCAACATTTTAGCCTTTATTTTAAAATTAATATTAGTCTTTCACAAATTAAAAATCGTGATTTCTCTATCATTTAATCTATAATTACGGTGTCTCGTATTCATACCAAATAAACCATTTGTGTCTTGACACTTTTGTAGCCTACGTCTAGACCTGAAACTAAATGCTACAAGTAAACAGCCAACTTAATGTTTACTACCTCTCCCTTGAATCACCAGTCCATCAGAATATGATTGTATTAATACATTAATTAGCATTCAGCCCTAATCTTTGGAGGCCCGTGCTTCCATCGGACCTGGTTTAGTCAACGGTTGCACGTCGCAATTAGCCGTTAGAAGTGCGCCATCGGCAGGCAAGGTAATAGCATTTTTCAAAAACGTCTCAACAGCGACAGGAAAAAAAAACACCACCGACATTTCTGAAGACATAGCCAAGGCATAGGCCTACTGTTTTATTTTATTTAGAATGTATTAGCAGTAAACTGAAATCTAGAACATTTTGAAATCAGCAAGGGGTAAAATTGGCTACTTTGAGCAGATTATGTAACTTTTTATGAATTAATTTCTCTCTAGTCAAGATAGGCCTCCCCTGCATAACCCTGTAAAAGTGGCCTCAATCATTTAAAAACGCTAAATAATTATATTTCGTAAATGCGTGTACCAAAACGTGTGTCTGGATTGTATAGCATTCGCATCAGTCGTCATGTGATTAAACTTCTGTTGTTGTTAAATTACGCTGATATTAGCTATTCAAGGCTTGCCTAATTCAAAGAACTCGTGGGGCCACAAAAGATAAAGTTTATGGTCAAACAAAAGCGTAAATTGATAGCCAAGTGCACATTTGTTTCTAATTAATTTTAAAGCATTTATTTTAGCTTCTCAACCACACGTGGTGCAGGTGCAAAGGTTTAATTCGCCCTCAAGTCGATGCTTCCGAATCAAACTAAATCCCGTTGGGCCTTTGCACATTTTGGTATTATGTTTTTAGTTGTCAAAAACGTCACTGAAACTACTTTGTAGTGTAATTAGCAGTTTATTGATTCAGCAAGTGGAACGTAGTTACCAATACAATCAATTGACTGTCTGAAATGGAATATCAAATTAAGGCAAAACAACTATTTACCGACAACTGCCCGCTGTTAAACTGCATTTAGACTAAAATGATTAAAGAATTCATTTTCAAATTAATTTTTGTGTTAGTCCTGGAAAATCAGGCAGATGCCAACACAAACACACACACTTATTTTGCCTGGCACTGTCTCTTACAGGCCTTGTTGAAAAACACATTTACTGTAAAATACAACATTAAATAGGCCTAAAGGCAGTTGCCGAACCAAAACATTATCTGGAGTGATGCAAGTATGAGGCCGAAAATGAATTCAGTAAATGGCGTTTTAGTTAAGTCCGTTTGATGGAAAAGTCCATCACCATGCAGCTTTGGGTAAAAGATGGCAGTCTGCAGTGAATGAGAAACACAAGCATGCTCACTGCATTTTCCCACCATGCTGTTATAATCAGCGTGACTTTTTATTCACTTACCATTCACAATGAGAACAGCATAAATGCTACCACGAACAAAACAAGTCTTACAGTCAACGAATTTCGTTTAGGAAGTTGTTTAAAAATGCCATAACTTGAACAACATAAAAATAATTACAGTTGTTCTATATAGGCCTACAGCCTTTTTCGTTTCAACGAAAATAAACAATATTAAATTTCCCAGACGAGTATGATCAAGGATGCGAAAGCAAAACCAAAGTGTTTTGGATAATTATTTTAATGTATTGAATTTTCTAAGGAACATTAATTCAAAGTTATGTGATTCAAGTAAAATAATCGTCCCGTATAATGAGCGTCTATACCTTTACCTAAACTTTACGAAAATTATATTTAGTGTGGCTATAGAATCAGACAGGGCCTATATGTCCTCCAGAACGAAGATGTTGAATCTCCAGCAACAGATGTCCAGGCACAATTCTTGGATTTCAATTATATTTGACAAGAATTGCGTTTGGACAATCAATCTCTGGGACCCTTTGAAAGGAATAATTTGGTCACAACACACATTCAACAAAAAAAAAACCGAAATGAGAATATATATTCCACGTGTAAACCAAAATACTATCTCTCGTGTCCCTGTGGCTGTTGGGCCTAGTAGATTTTCACACAAAATATCATTCTAGTGTAAGCCTGTTTAAAACACGTTCGTTCCGCATTTCCCATCCTTTGAATGAGCCAACCTCAAAAGGCAAAAGTAGCCTATATTCGGGTTGTTTGTTGTAACGAAATAAAAAGACAAACTGGCGATAGTTTATATACGTACATTTTACCTCAGGATTAACGAACGATTTCAATTTCTATTTTCTTAATTTTAAAAAAGTTGCAATTGATCTTTCATCTCAGAAATATAATAAAGTCGGATTCTAACCTACAAACAACAAACTTTATTTTAATTTAATCCACAGTTAAATTTTAAACTTCGAACGCATCCTATCTTCCTTTTAGAAACATATCATTTACGAGGGTTAAAAGTTTGACGCTCTTTCAGGGTGCTTGTTAAAAAAAATTGTAGCCAATAAATCACACAAAATGCAAAACCTCAGATCACCGCATAAGAACCAGAAACACTTTTGAAGAAAAAAAAAAGAAATCAGCTAAGAAAGTCAGCTAAGGAGCTGTTTTGTAAAGTCCTTGTAACCGATGCAGCTCTTCGCCATTTCTGCACCTGTAAGGGCGCACATCCTTGTAGTTCCACCTCTCGACATCAAGCAATATCATCATCTGATATTGGCAAAGACCGAAAAAAAACTATCAAAAAACATTTCCAGTCGAGCCATTTCGATACTTGTGCTGCCCGTGGTGTGATGATGTTATAGCAAAGCCTCTTCTTACAACGCAATGGTGATGAAAATGTGAGGAAGCCTCTGTCCTGTGCGCGTGAGCGCTGTATCCTCACTAACGCAAGCGGAGAAAATGGTCAAATGCAAGAAGGAGGGATGCGTTGGGTCGCTCGAAGAGTCCGCACGCCCTCAGCCATGCCTTGATGGGACGGTTCTTATGGAATGGCACAGACTATCACGTTCCTATGAAGGCTTTTCGCAGGCTCTCGTAACAATACCGGTGTTGCCACGACGAACGGCGAGAGGGAGTGGGGATGATCTTCGCTTGGTACTGAATTTGAATAACACCATGGGGTGATAAATGTCCATTGTGCTGTAGAAGTAATGAATCTCCACTGTCTTCTATTGCACACAAGCCAGCAGCTGCGAGCGAGGGACCAGCAGCCTCTTAAAGACACAACAGCCCCATTTTCTCCTCAACAGTGATCACAATCCATACACTGTTTATTCTGTTTACACACACTGCATGACGTTTGTTTTCTGGACACCTTTATGGGTGAGGAAAGCTAGTACAACGCTGTAACCAGGCACTTACGTAAAATACACTTGATCATTTTAAAACAATAGGCCTAAATGTCTTAGGCTATATAGTAAAAACGATAAAATAAAAATCGCCTAGGCTATAATAATAATATTGTTGTTATTATTATTATTATTATTTCTATAATACGTAAGTTTAAATATTTTTTTTTTTACTGGACTAAAATAAAACTAGGACAAGCTAGCCTGTCGTAATAAATGTTGTCAATTGTAGTTTTTAAGTTAGCAAAAACACGATTTTTCTTGCCACTACCAATAATTATAAATATCTCCACGTAGCTAGGCTATAAATATGATAAGCCTATAGCCAAGCTTGAGAGGTGAAATCACTGCTTATTTTGGGTAACAAAAATAGCCATTTGACGACCAGGGTTTTTTTTTTTTTTTTTTTTTTTTTTTTTTTTCCTAATCCAAGTGTATTTGCTTGTTGTCTATATCTTTTAATAAACACCATCCACATAAGGGGCCTAATGGTTTTATGGTATATAGGCTACACAGTCAAAATGCATAATGATTTCTATAGGACTTAACATGTTAGCGTTTTTTTATACTTCCAACTCCTTAAACGTTCTCTTATGACGATAGATATACACCTATACACTGCTTTACCTCAGACAGCGCGAGAACACATCGCTTTTTAGCGTTCTAGTGTTTTTTTCTAATGTATTTGATAAGCAGGTGTTTCTAGTGAGGTAGACCTACCTGAATAAGAAATATTGAAGGTTATTTACAACTTCTACCACTCAGCCTACAATAATAAACCTTCACATTTCAGCAAAGTAGGCTAGCCTAGTACTGAGATTTCCACAACAATCTAGAGAGCGCTCAACCCGTCAGCGTGACAAGCGCGAGCTCAGCTGAAGGATCCCCTCGCTGTCTTTTTCTCCTAATAAATCATGGTCTAACTCCCGCCTCCTGGGCACTGCTCCTCCCTCTTAAAGTGAAACTATTTTATCCTTTCATCTGTCTCTCTGAAGTAAGCGAGTTAACCTCCTCTTCAGTTCCGCGGGGTGTCTTGCCCGCGTGCAATCCATTGCTCATTTGGCGCTAAAAGAGTCTTTCCCGCTGCCGCCTTTTCACAGGCGCTTCACGAGCGTCAATCCTGAGTGCCTATACTTGAAAGGGTTAACCGCTATCCACAGATATAATACTCATTTAATAGAAGCATTAATGGAACCCCATTGGCGTTTAGACGTAATTTATGGCTTTTGTGTGGTTTAAAGAAGATGTTTATGCTTTTGATTACATTTTAAAGAGAGAAAGTCTGACGCACTTACTATTAGCTACTTGAGATTTTTAAAGAACGCTTTATGCGAAAAAGGTTAGGTCTATATGGAAAACATGTCTTTAATGATTGCATATTTTTTAAAAATAGTGATAAAGTATATTTACAAGCTGCTAAATCATCAAATGTGATTAAAATGAGAAATTAATGAAAACGAAATTAAGTAGGCTACTTAAAACTGAATCCATAAAATGATCCCATGGGGAAAGGTTCTTCACACCAAAAAGAAAAAAAGAAGGTTCTTTAGCAACAGCAGTTATTTAGATTTGTATTGTCCTGAAGAACCCATCTGAAATGGTTCTTTGTGTTAGAGTTTAGGGTTCTTTATTCCTGCCTTTTTGTTTTTCAAATTTGTAACCGTCAACGCACCTCATTACTCCGAGCTCAGCCATTCAATTACATAGACTGTCAACACACTCTCAACGGGTAAATAATTTCTTTCCTAAAATGTCTATAAATGTTAACTTTACATTTTTCTACTGGTTTCCTAAAAATAATGTATTTTTTATTTTTAGTTTAACAGAACATGTAAGTCTGAGCAGCTCTGTTCAAGGATAATTTTCCTTCTCCACAAAGTAGCCCAATAGAGATATTGAATTTATGATCCATATTGTTATATTTCTTTAGCTGCATAAACACCACAAAAAAACAAAAACATTAAAGCTATCCCATAACTCATATCACTTTTTCCTTATAACATAGTAAAAGGCTCGCTTACTGTCCATGTTTGCTAATTTTGGCCATTTCATAAACATAATTGTTTTTACAAAAATGGAAGAGACCCTTAACACTAAATTCAATTTTGTATTTCAGTTGCTGTTGTGTACCATAACCTCATCATCTGCAGGAGAGAAACTGCCACTCACACACTTAATGATGGAAATAAAGACATCATAGTGGATTGTGGAGAACTTGGTCTGTATCTATATATCATGTTCAATGTCAACTTTTATTTATGAATGTATTCAGCAAATAACGTATTAGAGCACTGTAATTTTCTCTACAATTTGGCATGTCAATAAAAATGTAAAAATACTAATTGACACAACATGCACAACCCAAATAGAGGCAACACGATAAGACCAGGCAGATATGAGCAAAACATCTTACTTAATAATATACTAAACAATATTAATAATATGAAGACTACTAAACTATTGACTATTGTTTAAAAAGTTAATTATAACTCCATTAAGCTCCTATTGCACTTTCAAAGTGTTCTTATTTTTTTAGAACCTATCTAAGCTGTTTATAATCTATCTATCTATCTATCTATCTATCTATTAGACATTGGAATATATACATATATATATATATATATATATATATAATTTATTTTTTATTTTTTTAAATAAAGTAGTAATAGTAAAATAAAGTACTGGTTTTACACCAGTAAGTTGTTATCACTGTTGGGTGTAACTAATTACTAAGTACTAAGTAATTAGTTACTGTAATTTAATTATTTTCCCTTGAAAATGTAAAGTAAGGGATTACTCTTCATTTATCTGCAATTTAATTACAGTTACTTCTGATTGAGGTAAATACTGTGTATAGATCAATCCGATCTCACGATTCGTATGCATTTTATGAGGTGTCTAAATCGTATAACCGCACTCGTACAAATTCGTATGAATTATTGTAAAATATGTATGAAAAAAAGTGTGAAATGTCATGAGTTCAGACATAAAACAATAGTGGGTTTAACATCAAAATGTATTGTCTGATGTTAAAAAGTATGTTTTTATAATGTAACCTTCACCGTGGTCAGTTTAAAGATAATTCATGCAATTTTATAGTATTTATTTGAAAGAATTAAAACAGATTCATGTCTATCCTTGTATTATTCAGCTGGTTGAGATTGTTATGGGATATTGAAAGTAATTAGTAATTAAATTAAATACTTTTTAGAGAGAGTAATTAGTATAATAATCTAATTACACTGTTGAAGAGGTAATTAGTAACTTGTAATTAATTACTTTTTTAGAGTAACTTACCCAACATGGTTGTTATGTTCTGGGTCTTTATTAAAAAAAAAAACATATGGTCAATTATGATGTGTTTTTACATTGCTTTAACTCATCAAAATAAGTTCATATAAAGTTAGATTAGATTCAACTCACTGTTTTAAAGTCAGTTTAATGTAATTTACTGTAAGTTACTTACATTGATTTAAAAGTTGATTGTACTTAAAAAATTTAAGGCAGCGACCTTTTTTTTTACAGTGAGCTTATTTGCATTGTTGTACTCAACAAATTTGAAACTCAGATGCAACAAACCTCTAGCAGGGAGAAAAGTACACAAAACTCAAGTTGCCCAGTGGGCCAGCTGGGCAGGATATTGTCAAGTCATGCACATCAGGACAGTGGGAAACGTTGATTTGTTTTGGCACTGTGCTTTCCCCATTCACAGATAAATGTTTAACCCAGAAGCTGAAAGGAGCAGTGGGGGAGAGGAGTCCAGATCCACAGGACAGGCAATGAAACTACCCCTCAGAGGAAAGGAGGAGGACGGGGAACAATGGACCAGGGGGAATTCTGAAATAAGCCTGACCAGATGAAAATATCTCAAGCGCGCTATATACGCTAAGCAGGACAGGGTGGATCAATGTACACCTCCGACCATCTGTGGAAAGATGCTCATAGAGGATTATGAGCTATACAGAAACTTTATGTATCGACTGTAAATTACCATAAACGACCATTTGTTTGCTTTCATTCTGTTATTGACATTTTTTTACTTGTGTTTATTTATTGGAAGGCCTAATTCAGCCACACAACATGCAGAAGTGGTCTAAATAAACCATAACTGTAAATCCCACCTAAAGTGACTGTGTCTGATGATTAAATGCTTTGTGTTTCTCTTTTGTGCTGGGAATTATGATTGCTGTACATTGCAGATTTGGTATTTGGGTGTGTGCTAATGTGTTTTATCTGGATGAGTGAAATTGAAGGTGTCACAAGTTATGTGTGTCTAAAAAGGCTCAATGTTGTTTCCAATAAAACAATATTCTTTGCACCCTTATTATTGCAGTTTATATTTCATTGCTTGCCATTGGCTTTATTCCATCACAACTGCATTATAGATTTTCTTCACATAAGTGCAATCTATAAATAGTATAGAGAATCTGCCTGGGCTGGATATATTATAGAACAAAACGATGCGAACAACAGCCCCAAGATATCTTCTACATTGACCATCTTTTTGCCATTTATGATTTCACGAGAAACATCAGTTCCTCAATATAGATTCACAGTGGTTTTTTGTTGTTGTTTGTTTTATTTTGTGAAAAGCCTGTAAAACACTGAGTGATGTTTTCAATGTTAGATGAATAATAGTTAATTGAAAATATGCTGTAATGTGCTATAATAAGCTGTTGTCACTTTATGTTATTTACTTGATTATTAGTGTTTCGTTAGGGAGTGTCATTATCATTGCTCACACTTTTACTGTAACTTGTGTTACAGATATGAAAGAAAAAGGGATGCATCACATCAAACACTTTTCAAAGTAATTAGACCTGTATTAAATCCCATAGGCTTACATTAAAACATGGACCTATCCATATCTATATCACAATCCCTATGTGGGATATTGAGTCTCATCCCAAGACGTCAGTTATATCTTTTTAGGGTACCCTTGACCGTCGGTTAGAGGACGTTATCGGATCCTAACCATACCCTAGACCTAAACCTACCCCTAAACCTACCCCGTAACCCAACCGACGTTAAAGGTAAAGCGTCAGTTGAATGACGGCCCGGGATCGTCATGTAAACGACGTTTAAGGGTACCCTAAAAAGGCGGATGTTGACGTATGGTCAAAAGACGTCCCAAGACGTCAGTTATAAGACTTCTTGGGATGAGACTGTGTTAATTGAGTACATGCGTCCGATATATCAGAGTGTTAAATATTTGATGACATCATCAAATATAATGACATTATTAAGTGTGTGAATTAATTTCTGGCACTCCTCTGGTTTCCAGCATTCCAGACGCTTCTTGTTAACTTCCGGAACCCTGTGATTACTTGGCAAACTGGGGCGGGGGGTGTGTATACAGTCTCTTGCTCTCGCTTTCTCACTTTCTCTTGTCCCCCAGCCCCCCCTCACTAAGAGAGCACAGATTCTTTCACTGTGGTTGGCTGGTTGCCAGGCAACACGGACAGTAAGTGAAGCGGCGGTGACTTAGGTTAAAGAGGCTACTGGGAAATTCATTCCTTGTTGTAGGTTTCATAGAGCCTCAGTGTTTAAAGTACACACATCCACTCCAACAGCACTCTTAACAAAGCCACCAACACAAAACACTACAACAACAAGAGATTCTGGCTTTTCAAAATGATTTCAGTTCCGCTCTAATTGGTTTGTTAGAGTTCGTAGTAATGCATTGTCCATTCAAAGAAGTCAAGAAGACTTCACAGGAGCCTTCACGACGAGAGCGCTTTTATTTTGAAATGAACACCGCTGGATAGTTTGTTTGAAGGAGCTGACTGCAACTCTTGAAAAAGGACTTAATTAGGCCATAATGCCATTTGCCAGCTGTTAAATCATAGAGAAAGTAATAAAGCAATAGAGAATATGGCACTGTTTGCAGTACGCAAATGCACTTGGTCTCGCCATTAGGCAAATTGCACTATAGTCTGTGCATATGTTGTCTACAGAAGCCAAGAAAACCTTTCTGTAGTTACTGATAGAAGTTTCAGGAACAAAATTATAATAAATCACTCACACTTATGCTGTTCAAAACCTTTCATTCTTGTGATCAACAACAACAAAAAAAGATGTTTTGAATGATGTTCATGCTGCTCTGTTCCTGAAACCATGCAGTGACTGTCAAATATCCCCTGGCGGTAGATCTTAAAGGGACACTTCACCCATTTGCATTAAGCTTTGTATCTTTAGAAACCCAGTAATATTTTTGAATGGTAATGGTTTATTCCCTTATTTTCCCCTAAGATGGGAGAAATAAGGATTTAAGTGTTTTACTTCCTGCTTATTATGACGTAAAAAGACTATAGTCTCTACATTTTGTATACAAACATTACCTCCTCATTATTCTAGGGTGTGGGACCCACTCACACTACAGACCTATTACAGATCAGTGGGTGCGACTTCACTTGCAGAAACTGAAATCAATTTCAGCCATCTTGTTTGGATGCTAAGCTAACAAGTGCTGTGGAGATAGTAAGTTATGATAATGACAGAAGAAACTAAACATGATATGGAAGAGGATTTTGAAATTCTGTTGCTCGAATCTGATGTTCGTGGCTATCTTTCTTTACGAGTCGCAGTATAGTGAAGAGCAGCGGAGGCTGACGGAGGAATCGGAGGCGGCTGCCTGTTGCGGTCGAGGAGCCCGAACTGGCTTGAGCTGTGCGGACTGCTGGTGCATGTGCTCTCGGCCGATGGGGCCTGAACTGGCTCGGACTGAGGCGGACTGCTGGTGACCATGCTCTCGCGTGCGCTACGGACACAGATAGAGTCTGTCTGCTGCAGAGAATTTCAACGATGACAATTTCTCCTGAAGGAAATCTCTGAATCAGACGAGCACACGGACGTTTTTGTTCTGATAGTGATGTGAACCATCCTAGTTTCGCCTGACTGAACAACCCGGTCTCATCCCAAGACGTCATATAACTGACGTTTTGGGACGTCTTTTGACCATACGTCAATATTCGCCTTTTTAGGGCCCCCTTAAACGTCGGTAGATGAGGTTATGGGATCCTGACTCTACCCCATACCTAAACCTAACCCTAAACCTAACCCGTCACCTTACTGACGTTAAAGGTAAAGCGTCAGTTGTATGACGGCCCGGGATCGTCATCTACCAACGTTTAAGGGGGCCCTAAAAAGGCGGATATTGACGTATGGTCAAAAGACGTCCCAAAACGTCAGTTATATGACTTTTTGGGATGAGACTGTGTTAGACTGAACATCCAGATCTCATGCAGTAATTCACCAATTCACCATATAGAAATAAATACAAACGAGGAGTAATTCACTAATGAGTTTGGTAGTTTAGCGTTAACAGGGTTCGTTGTTGTGGAAAGAAGGAAGTGGGAACCGGCAAACATTTAAACATTTTAAGGGGCCAGCAGCCCCTCACAACAGAAAATCAGGCCTGTTTCTCTCTCGATCTGCCGTCGTCGCTCCTCCTTTCTGCTTCTGCTTCCTTGTGAGAGATGCGAGACCGGTGCGTCTCACCGGTGTCTTTCATTATCACTCACGCCACTGGCCTCCCGCCATCCTCACGTCCCTCACCCTCGATCGTCCTGCTCGCTACAGCCAACTAACTAGAAATTTTGTGTGAAATGAATTTCAAACTCCGGTGGCAGCTAAAGTTAGCCTTGTAGACGGAAGAGTGAATTCTCTAATGTTTGAGCTGTTCATGGATTAGTGGGAGTGGCTTGCAGAGCTCAGCTGTGCAATGTGGTGCATTGTGGGAGTATTACATAAAAAATGTGTAAGACTCAGTTATTTTTTCGATCAAGAGGGCACCAAATTAAAAAAAATCTTTTACATTTCGACTACATACATGATCCACTTTCAATAAAGATTAATGTTGAAATGGGTGAAATGCTCCTTCAAGTCTTGATGAAACGAAAGTAGGCCTATCACAAAATATATTTTCTTCTTGTGACGTGCATTCGAGTGTAACAAATTATCAAAAAAGAAGGACCTATTTTTGGCATTTTGATTAAACATTATGAGGTCAAAACCTATTTTAAAAATGAAGCAAGGATGACATGCATTTACATAATGGATACATTTTCATTTCTAAAAAATTATTTAAAGCCACAAGAAAATAAAATAAATCAAAAATCAAGCTTCACAGATGTGATTAGGCATTGTCATTGTATGAAAAGATCTGTGTAAAAATATGGTATATGAGTTGAGGAATGAGTAGAGAATGAGTAAATAATAAAAAAATAAATTATTAAAATAAAATAATGAAAAGAACGATGGTCAAGGCCTTTTGTCAAATATCAAGCCCGGAGGCAGACCAGCGGTGCCCATCACCCAGTACATCTCGTGCAATATCACGAGAATAATATCAACAATAATAAAGATTATTGTTAGGTGTGTCTCTATTCAGCAAAGTTTAACACTTCAAAATGAAAAAGCAGTGGTTTTCAGAAGCGTGTTAAGCAATGTGTCTGCTTAAAAAGGTGTCACTGAATCCCACTCTACTGATGGAACAAAATCACTACACTGCAATAGATTTACAGAGGCAATTTCGTCTAAGTGCTTTGGTCATCTCGCAGTATTGGCCAAATGGGAACATATGAGGTACCCAATGGTCTGATTACCAGTCAATTTATCTATACTATCAACACATCCCCAGTAGCTCTCCTTCTTTAAGATGTATCTTTTTGCAGAATCAGCCACAAAGACAGAAAATAATTGAAATGCACAGTAACTTCACTAGACTGGTGATATTATTAGTCAGACTACTTTTTGAGCTTCAGAAAGTGGTGGGTATGTTCAAAATATCATTCCACTGTTCTTCATGTATATTTCATTTAGAAAACCCCTATTTTGATCATTTTTAGGCTGTGTTCAAAATGATATACTCTCTAGGTACTTTTTTTGAGCAAGTAATTACACCGCAACCGCTAAAAAATGACATTCTATATAATAGGAAAGTGTGTCGTATGAGTGTAATGCCATTATTGTCATGTGACTTACAGTGTTGCTTCACTGCCATTCACAAATGCTCTCCTGTGGCCTCATGGGATACTAGTGTCCAATGGATGCACACTTCAGAATCTCTTTTGAAGTAGTAAGTTTTGTACTTTTCACCTATAGTTTTATGAATACTGTGAATTCAGACATGCTGTTTTTTCGCCTATACAGTAAGGAAGAATGCATTTTCATATGCAGACAAATATTTCATTGTCTAAAGATGATCCTGCCTCCGAAATCACAACACATTCTCACACACCAACTCGTCACATATGGACGCTTGGTCAGGACCCCTTGGCGTCAATAATTGACGCACTGGGTATAGTTTGGCATAATTTTTCAATGTGCGGTGTAGTCCGATAGACTTCAATAGATCTCTGAACCGTAGCCCGTAGCGTTGAAATTTGACGTCTTGGGTAAGCTCAACGCAATGGTCTGCTGTGAATGGGTCAAGAGTCGAGACTTCAATAAATAAAAATAAAAAGGAATAGGCTACAACACTACAATACTACGGACTACCCTGCACGTTGAAAAATGACGCCAAAGGTATACCCAGTGCGTCAAAGAGTGACGCCAAGGGTTCCTGACCAAGTGTCCATATGTGGCGAGTTGGAGTGTGAGAATGTGAAAAACAATGTGACAAAAAAAAAGTATGTCCGAATTCATAGTACTACATGTTGTAACCGGATGACCTACTTCTTCTGGAGAGATTCTGAAGTGTGCGAATGATGGACACTTTACTATCCCATGAGGCCACGGGAGAGCTTTTATGAATGACAGTGAAGTGACGTAACTGACGCTGGTAGGTCACATGATAATAACAACATTGTGAATGTAGTGCGTCCTGATCACATTCATACTACACGCACTCATACTATATGCCTATAGAACATACGTTTTTAGCGACCATGAAGTATTTAATTATTTAAAATAAGTCAACAAAAAAATTAGCAATTATCAAATTACCACGTTTTGTGACAAACAAATTTGGGAAAATGTGCGTGTGGCGACATTTCTGCAAAATGATAAAACAGATGAACATCTGCCAGTCTGCCAACATGTTATATTGTACTTTTTGCAGCAGTTTGGAAATGAGATTATGCTCAATCACATTTAAAAATAACATACAACCTACACTAAACCCTAAAAAAACACATTTGCTGAGGCAACCATGCCATTTTAGCTGCCTCTCCAAGTCTTTGAGCTCTTTAATTGTGACTCACGTTCCATGGGACTCGTACCTGAATGCGCGGCTTTGCAAGTGCACTGCAGTACGAGGTGAGCTACAGAGCAAGTTTACAACATCAGAAAAGCCACACGTAGGCTATACAGCTGGTTATGTGATGTAAACATGTATTCGTTTTCAAATCACGCACTTGTGTTTTGAGGTCATCCCATAGTATCCCATTGTGCAAAAACTCGCAATAAATTGCAGTCAATTGTTTGCAAAAAAATGTAGGTAGAAGTGTGTTCTCCCAATGGCATTAAACACTGTTCCAGTAAGCACTGTGCGTGTAGTCCATTGTGAACACAGCCGGTCTTTCTACAAACCAAGCTTCCCAAAAAAAGCTTTCAGTGTGTTGGGCTGTCACTTCACGACTGCTGAGTAAGTCTGTGCGATTGAGCTGAGCGTGGGACTGTGAGTGACAGTTATTGAGCCGATGAGCGTGAGACGTCTGTATGGGAACATGTTATTGATTATCGCAATGCTGGACGAAGTTTGAGGCTTTCCCATAGTGTTGCAGCTGCCCTTTAAGGGATTTTGACTGACCCAGTGAAGAAAGAGTCTGCCGAAATGCTGGGACCAGTGGGCCCCCCCACTTTGCATGCCACATGGCTTCGTATATCCATAGGCTCATGGCAGACCCCCCACTAGTTATTGGATAAAGTGGCTTAATCAAAGTTGTCCAGGGGAAAATGGCCCCCTCCTTCTCTGAATAAATGTTTGGGCCCAGGCTAGTCGTCTTGTGTGCCCTCAACCCCCCGCCACACCCTGGTGCCCTGCTCCTCAGACCTTTGACCCAGCAGTGAAAAGTTAGTTGAGATGTTGGTGAACTCTCTCAGGGTCGGCTGTGCGGAAGGCGCTGGGAAAGTGCCCTCCGAGGGCCAGGGGTTGGAGGGGTAGGCGTGGGTACCGTGAAACGACACTCCCTTTGACCCGAGTCTCCGGACCAAGCCTGAGCATGCCGCTAATTTAATTGTTACAGGCAATGCGGCTGGCCAATGATAGAAGGGACACTCGAAATGAGTTTGGCTGGATGTCAGCCGTATTCCGTTTGCTCTCTCTCAGCGCCTCTATCTCTTTGTTCTCTGCGGGCTGTTTTCTTTTCTGATTACACCCTCCAAGGTTCTGCTCTTCTGCGGCATCTGGTCATTGAGCTTCTCTCTTTCACTTGATCTCTCTGTAAGGAGCATCTCAGCAAGACAAGGACTCAATAGTGTGGATGGCCAGTGATCAATTTCGCATTCCTTTGTAGATGAATAAATTTTGTAAGTGATTTGGTTAAAATCTATCTATCATTTTAGCTACACATAATACTGAAAAAATAGCTCTTCTAATGTCAAACCGATTGAGACACGTCATATTAAAATTCCCTTTGGTTCATTTGTGAAACAAGCTCAACACATCCCTCTTGTGGTTGTTCACTGTAGGAAAACGTTGAAAGAAGCAGCTAGAACTTTGTGGTTGTTTTGTAAAATAAAACCTTTTACATCTAAGATAATATATTTTTTGTTTGAAATTTGCTTGTAGGCTACGAGATTCAATTTAGGCAATCAGGCATTCGTTGCTTTTCTTTAATTTCTTAGTTTCTTTCAGTCAGTGAGTGACAAAGGGAAAACAGTTTAAAGAATTTAGAACTGTTGTGCTTTTTGAATTTTGACTAAACATGACAAAATATCACATCCATCTATCTCTGTTAATGTTTGGTAGTAAAATTTGTCTAATCGCTAAATTTGCAGTGGTTAACACTCTTTGGTGGCGGAAAATCATTATAAGCTCCGATGGAATCCTCAAACGTCGACATTGTAAAACCGTTAAGCTATAGCAAAACAATGTAGCAAAACAACGTAGCGAAACGTCAACATTTAGCGTTCTAAAATGTAACATTTGAGGTTTAGAAAAAAACGTCGAACATTCTAAATAATCGTGAATGTAAACGTTACACTGAACATATAATGTAACAGTTCGGAGAGAAAAAAAATCCTCACACGGAAGTTGTAACTCTCAAACACAGCTAACAGAACACGTTGGCTCCTACAGGGGGGAACGGAGAACTGAGGGGGAGTGAGAAGTTTAGGGAAGAGCCCTCTTTCCCTCAGCTGCTGACGCGGATGGGACTGTTTGTGCAACGACGCAGCGGCCCATCGAAAATCCAACAATGTTATCTGGGATTATAACTGTTTGGACCATTCTTGCGGTAGCACAATGTTACTTCTCCGAGGAAAATTATTCCGACGAGTCAAAGATGCAGTCGCCCACGGTCGTTATAGTTATAATCGCACGGAACGCCGCCCATTCTTTGCCATATTACCTCGGAGCTCTCGAGAGATTAAACTATCCCAAAGAGCGCATCTCTATCTGGTAGGTGACTTCCTTCCCTGCACTTTAACATGGCTGATAATCTTTTTACTATTTGTAGATGTCAAGAGGTCAATCTTATTTGCATTTCATCACCTCCTCCCCATGAGTTGCAGACTTTCCCCCAAAAGCAGACCCCCTTCCCCCTAACTAATAACGTTCAGAATGTGTTCGTTTATTCACTTAAATTTATAATATTTTTAGTATACAATTAAATATATATATATATATATATATATATAATATATATAATAGAATATAGAAAATTTCATATAGAATATATAGAATATAGAAAATATAGAATATAGAAAATTTCAAATGGCATTTAGAGGCTTTTGCATCTGAACTCTTCATATATATATATATATATATGAAGAGTTCAGATGCAAATGCCTCTAAATGCCATTTGAAATTTTCTTCTTTAATGATGATTTTTATCAAACTTGTATATTTAAGTTCAGTAATTTCACTTAAATAACAATTAATAGGTAATCATCATTGCCATTTAAGTGAAATCACTGAACTTAAATATACAAGCTTGATAAAAATGAGGCTTTTGCATGTGAACTCTTCATATACACCAGGCAAAAAATATGACATACAGTGCGATTTAACGTTAAAAATAATTAAAAAGTCATTTATTTTGTGACTTAAACAAGAAGTCAGATGCTACATCATCTCAAATAGGATAATCTGTTATTAAATGTTAGCTCATAGTTAATTTCTATTACTCAGTATATGGGTCAATGTCAAATAAGTGTGTCTTAGATAAAGAAATGGAAATATCTTTTAAAAATGTAGTTAAAACATTGGCCTCATAGAGTTCCTCCAATTGGCCTATTGGTTTCATAGAGTTTTGAAAAACGTTTATACTAAAGTTTTCAATTTAATTACTATAAAAATGTAATGTGGTGTAACTACCAAGTAAAAAGTTATACCATAATTTCCTTTAACCTTGAATACATAACTGTAAGGTTAAGTTCACCCAAAAATGTAAATGATCCCATCGTTTACTCACCCTCAAGCCAAATCTTCTTTCAGCCAAACACATTCAGAGTGAATGGTACCTGAGATTTTGAAGCCCAAAAAGCACATCCATCCATCATAAAAGTAATCCATACGGCTCGAGGGGGTTAATAAAAGCCTTCTGAAGCAAAACGATGCGTTTTTGTAAGAAAAATATCCATATCTATTTATAAACTATAACCATCAGTTGCACCACATGACATTCTACAACCTGAAGTCACTTTTCCTTGTCATAAAAAGGGCAAATTATCCATATATGTAAAGACTTGTTGACCTCATCATGCGGTCATGAAGGTGATCACGGGTCCTCGCTATGATATCACTTCCTGTCTTACGTTGTTTATTTTTCTGCATGTCAGATGCACCACATGACTTTAATGATCTTTTGACACAATAGAATGACACCAATGTTTCTAATCAATTGCTGTCTCTCTCTATGTATTGTGTCCTGTAGGGCAGCAACAGACCACAACATTGACAACACAACAGCAATCCTGCGAGAATGGCTCACCGTCATGCAAACACAATATCACTATGTGGAGTGGAGACCTTTAGAAAAACCCACGTGAGACGATCATCACACAACATGCACGATTGGCAGATATGCAGTCCTGATTAAACCACAATTCTTAAATGCTTTTGGATGTTTGGAAGTTTATGTTCCACCAGTGAAGTTTCAGTGAAGATTCGACTGCTTGTTTTTCTGGCAGGTCCTATGCGGGCGAGCTGGGACCCAAGCACTGGACTAATGGGCGCTATGAGTATGTCATGAAGCTCAAACAGGCAGCGCTGAACTTTGCCAAGAAACGATGGGCTGACTACATTCTGGTATGACCCAGTTAAAGCATATACACACTGATTTTGGACCATTCACACCCAAATATCTATAATAAAAATATATATATAAAAAATAAATTAAAGCCAGGTTCAATTCTTATTGGGGTCACAATAGAAATTGTACTGAAATTTACTAGAATATTTTTTGCGAATATCTTGTTTTATTTATAAAGCACTATTAAAACAACAGGACGTTGACCGATGTGCTGTACAATCATAGGTCAAATAAAATGATCAACAATAACACCATAACATGACACATACAATCAACACCAGACAGATTCAAATACATAAAATATATTAGAGCCCCTTTCTAAGTTAACCAGTTGGATTAAACGATTACAATGTTGCTTCAAAGAACCTAATGAAGATGCTAAGTTATTACAACGATTTGGAGTTGGTCTTTTTTAGTCTGGTCATAGAAACTAAGTTTTCTGACTGATTGGCCTTAGTGTACTAGGTAGTTTATGCACTTGAAGAATGTACACTAAATATGGAGGTGCCAGTTTGTGTATGCTTTTTAAACAAGGGACTATAATTTGAAATAAATTCTAAATTGAATTGGCAACCAATGTTTAGTTAGGCTAATATACGCATTACATGCTGTTTCATGATTACCTTTCAAAAGTTTGGCAGCAACGTTTTGCACATATTGAAGATGATAACACCCACATACAGTATATTACAGTGCTTTTTTTTTCAAAACCACTAGAAGACTGCAATGATTTAACCTTTTCAATTGATCTTAGATAGAAAAAAAGAAGAAAAAAAAGTATTTAACCACAAAATTAATCTGTTTATCAAATTTCAGATAATTATCAAACTACACCAAGATTCTTTACCTCCAATTTACAGAAGAGGGCCAAAATACCCAGATCGGAAAAAGTTTGGGTGTACGGACTGGAGCTCCAAACCATCCATGATTTAATTTGATGTAATCAAATTCAATAGTTAAGCATATAGTATAGCATATATAATGAAAACAGGAATGGGCCAATAATAGATGCTTGGGGAACCCCACTATACAATGGAAAAGATATTGACCAAAATTATTAGAAAACAACTTGTTAGAAGGACTTAAACCAATCAAGTGCCATGCCCCAAATTCCCACCATCTTTTTTAGGCAAGAAACCAGGATATCGAAATCAATGGTGTCAAACGCAGAGCTGAGGTCTAATAACACTAAAATCACAGAACTTCTACTGTGATTTGCTTTAAACCCCAATGGAAAATTTTCAAATATATAATTGTATAATATCAGAACTATTAATGACATTCTTTGTATTTATTTTGTCATCTGCAGTATTCAGACACAGACAACATCCTGACCAACCCGGACACCCTGAACCTCCTGATGGCGGAGAACAAGTCTGTTATTGCCCCCATGCTGGATTCACAGTCAGCATACTCCAACTACTGGTGTGGCATCACTCCACAGGTACAGAAGTTCAGTACAAGAGTTTCCAGCTTGGAAGTGTGTATTAGTGTGTGTACATGTGTATGTAACGCAATGAGAGATCGCTAACATATGATCTCGCTATACACCACATCAATAAAGTGGCCATATCAGCTTCCATTATTGCTTTATAATATTAAAAGCATTGGAGAAGCTATTTTGAAATTATATTTTTAAATGTATAGACTACTGGTGATTTAAATTAGTTAAACTACAGGCAAATATTAGCTAACTACATTGTGTGTACCAAAGGAGTTTTTTCAAGAAATGTGTCATTTTATGCAGTAAATATGCATTAATTTCTCAAAAATGGCAGTAAAGATATTTATAGTGTTTTAAAATATTTCTATTTCAATTAAATGTTGTTCTTATGAACTTTCTATTCATCGAAAGATATTACTGTTTTAAACATTGATAATAATGAGTTTTGTTTTTTGAGTATCAAATCGGTATATTAGAATGATTTCTGAAAGATCATGTGTCACTGGACTGGAGAAATTATGCTGAAAATTCAGCTTTGATCACAGGAACAAATTGCATATTAACATATATTTAAATAGAACACACTTCTTTTAAATTGTAAAAATAGATTTCACATTATTACTGTTTTACTGTATTTTTGTGTCAAATAAATGCAGCCTTGGTGAGCAGAAGAGACTTCTTGTAAAAACCTTATCTTTTAAAAATCTTACCGAGCCCAAACTTCTCAGCAGTAGTGAATTTATACATTATTATTGTATAATTATATACATATTATTTTTGCCATCACATATTTTGCTACTAAAATGACGCATTGGAACTTAATTTATTTGATTTTTTTTCAAAATGGGTTAATTTAAATGAATTGTCCAGACAAACTCAGAATTCTCTATGCTACATATACGAGAGCAAATATTGACAGTCAAGCTGTGTGCGCAAACAATGTGTCAAAACAAGTCCTCTATTCAGTTAAAGTGAGCATCTCCAAAAAACAAAAACATTGTTTTACCCTCAAAAGGGTCTGTTTAGATGCTGTTTACTCAAACACTTTGTTTTTTGACTATGGTGTTCAGTTTTCTCTATGTTTCAGGGCTATTATCGTCGTACCGCTGAGTACTTCCCCACAAAGCACCGTCAAAGACTGGGCTGCTATCCTGTCCCGATGGTCCACTCCACTATCCTGCTGGACCTGCGCAAACAGGGCACCAGGGAAGTGTCCTTCCACCCGCCTCACAAAGACTACTCCTGGCCCTTCGACGACATCATCGTTTTTGCCTTCTCCTGCAGGATATCAGGTACAGCGCCCCCTTCTGGATGACTCCAGCATATCTCACCTTCCTTATGCAATATGATGAGTTTAACATTTGGATTTAGTTTGGAGCGAATGAGGGGAAAATTCTTCTCTGTGTCCAACATTTTGTAGGATTGACAGTCAAATAGCATTGGAAAGAGCTGACATAGTGAATATAATTTCTGACTATATTTATTTATTTTATAAAATTCCTTTTTTAATCAGAGGTTCAGATGTATCTGTGCAACAAGGAGCGTTATGGGTATGTGAACGTACCGGCGAAGCCTCATCAAACGGTCGAGGATGATCGAATCAATTTCGTCCACCTTTACCTGGAATCTTTGAGTGAGTGACACTGACATTTACATTTTTTATTGAATGATATTTTCAGCATAACACTTTTGCAGTAGCTTAAAAATTTCCCCCTTCTTGCTTTAATGATAACAGCACTTAAGCTAGCATTTATTTTCCTATATGTGTATTGAATGTGCACTTGTAGTGTACTTCAAACTTTACACATATATATTGTACTTGTGAACTGTACTTGCAGATAATCGAATATGAAATATATATATATAAGGCTGCTTAAGTATACTTAAAGATACTACACTTTCATGACTGTTTCTGAACACACTTAAGTACCCTAAGTGCACTGTAATATTGTTAGATTGAAAGTTTTACTCAAAAATCATTATGTTTTAATAATCTTTTGTCATGATTTAAAGAAGTACACTTATTTTGATGTGTTGGCTAACACACTAAAGCACATGTGAAGTACTTTATTATAATTTTAACTGTAGCATGTTATTCAATATTACAATATTACAACGTTAATATATATAAAATTGCAACTTGATAACAAATGTGTAATTAGAAATATATTTAAATACATAACCTTCTAAATGTCTTAATCATTTGTTAACAAACAAGTGAAGAGTTCAGATGCAAAAGCCTCTAAGTGCCATTTGAAATTTTCTTCTTTAATGATGATTTTTATCAAACTTGTATATTTAAGTTCAGTAATTTCACTTGAATTGCAATGATAATTACCTATTAATTGTTATTTAAGTGAAATTACTGAACTTAAATATATAAGTTTGATAAAAATCCTCATTAAAGAAGAAAATTTCAAATGGCATTTAGAGGCTTTTGCATCTGAACTCTTCAAGTATTCATTACTTCAATGAGCTCATTGTTTCTGTCTTAAATTATTACATTGTTTAAATTAATACATTTTGCGCAAACTGTGATTTTGTATATGCACATTTCTGAAATATATAACTTAAGACAGTTTCCTCTGATAACAGATTACTCTAATATGTAATGTGGATATGGAAATTATATGTATTGGGGAAAAGTACTATACAAATAAATGTGAATTGAATTGAATAACATACAAGTTTGAATAGAAATGTCATTAAAGTATATTTTAGTTTGCAATAAAAACATTGCCCATATTTCAAAGACAATAGAAGTAATTATCACACTTTAGATTAGGGTCCAATTTTCACTATTAAATTGTCTTGCCTTTTTAGGGTTAAAGTGCATTCTGAGAAATAAAGTCACAATAACCATTTTTATATTTTACTCCGAAGTGGAAACAGGCTTTCATAGAAATGACTTCTACAAAACTTAAATGATCATAATAAATAATAAGAATGTTCTTGTGTGATTTTCAATGTTGTCTCAGACTCTTAGGACTCCATTGTATGTGAAGATTGTGCTAAGCTTGTGCTAATTAGCGATTAGCTCCTTAATCGAACAAAATCATTGTCAAGGATTTGAGTCCTAATTGATGTCATTTCTCCCACAGTCCATGGGCCGCCCATGTACGTCTCTCGTTATGTCCACGTTCCTCCCAAACAGTCCGATCTCATGGGTTTTGATGAGGTAAAGTGATACTCTGCTTTTTTTTTTTACCGTTGTTGTGAGCTACGGCAATCACTTCATTTGATAGAATAATATTTTGCATGTGTGTGTGCATATGTGTGTGTGTGTCCTTAGATCTACTTGGTAAACCTGCGCAGACGTCCAGACCGCAGGGACAGGATGTTATGGTCGTTGTATGAGCTTGAGATTGATGCTAAAGTTGTGGATGCCATAGATGGAAGGTGATTTACTCCTCTACCGATCACTACCGCAGACATCAGTGTTTATATCTGAACTATGAACTTATATCCTAGTACTTCTGTGATAATCTGAATTATTTTAACACAGAAATAATGATGCTGTGTGGTTGAAAAGACTAATCGTTGTCATTTAGAAATGAGATTGTGTGGGTGTCTGAATCAAGTTCACGATCTATTAACAATTAATCATTCAGCACTAATTTACTGTTATAAGAATCTTCATGCATTCTAGTTTATATCGATGGATAATGCAATAATTGTGTTTTGAACTGTGTGTGTATGCAGCGCTTTGAACAGCAGCGACATTAAGATTTTAGGTGTGGATCTCTTACCTGGTTACTATGACCCTTTCTCCGGGCGAACGCTGACTAAGGGAGAGGTCGGCTGCTTCCTGAGCCACTACTACATCTGGAAGGAGGTCAGTGGCCCCTAAAACTATTTAAACAAATGCCTTTTTGTTTGGTATTTTATTTATTTAAGCAGTGTCATTCAGACTGAGGTGTAAAGAGTACCTGAGTGACCATACTTGAGTTAAAGTACAGATACCTTACAGCGAAAATTACTCCATTACATTAATAATGCTAATAATACACTGGCATTAGTGTAAAGTAGCCCTGTTGATGAGTTTGGGTGAACCAGGGCAAAACCCACAAGATATAGTACACCTTTAAGGCCCCGTATGCACATTTGGAGTTGCAAAGATTTCAAAAGAAGTCTACTATGCTCATTAGGAGGAGGAATTTATTATGCAAATGTATTTAAAAACTGTAATTCATTCCAGTGATGTAAAGCTGAATATTCAGCATCATTACTCCAGTCTCCCATGTCACATGATCCTTCACAAATCATTCTGATATGATGATTTGATGATCAAGAAACATTTATTATTTATCAATATTTATCAACAGTTTTTGTAACCAAGAAAAAAAATCTAGATTTTTTTTTTGATAAATAGAAAGAACAGAATTTATTTGAAATACTGTTACTTTTGATCAATTTAATGCATATTTGGTGAATAAAATGATTAATTAAATCTTACTGACCCCAAATATTAAAATAAACTAAGCTGTTTTTAGTATGTCAAAATTATTTGTCATTTATTGCTCACAGATGGTAGACATGCAGCTAGACAAGGCGCTGATCTTTGAGGATGACATACGTTTCCAAGCCAACTTTAAGCGCCGTCTGATGCGGCTGATGGAGGAGGTGGAGCAGGCGGAGCTGGACTGGGACATCATGTGAGTGACACCTGTCTGTCACACGGTTGCCGTGGAGACTTGAGGAAACCAGAATCAGAATATTGCTTTTGTTGCAGTTATAAGGAAAACTTAAATTCGGCTTTGTCACTTTTTAACATTTTACACACTTTTGTTTTTATATTTGTATAGCATAAACTTATCATATCTTTTAAACAATTTTAAAAATCGTATTTAAAGTGCCCCTGTTATGCTTTTTCACATATAGCGGTTTGTGACAGTAAAAGGTCTGCAAAGTTTCAAAGGTCAAAGTGCTTGATAAATGGAGTTATTGTCTTGTATACTGGTTTGTAACATATTTGCATAAAACTAGCTATAATGCCAGACATATTTATTGTCTGTCTGTAAACAACATCTACTTTGACCCCCAATACTTGTAGTAGCAATTTATTACTTTAATTTACGATGCTCACTAAACAGCAGACCAATCACAACAGACTGGGTCATCTGACCAATCAGAGGTGCATTTCCCGTTCAAACCACACAACTTTGCGATGCTGTTTGCAAATGATCGTTGGAACGTTGGAAACACCGACTCGTTAAACTATGCAGATAACGACGGGACTTGCGACCATAGTTGGCTAACGATGCTTTCGGGAAACACACCTCTGAGCAGAGTTGACCAATCACAACAGACTGGGTCATCTGACCAATCAGAGCAGAGTAGACCAATCACAACAGACTGGGTCATCTGACCAATCAGAGCAGAGTAGGCTCTCAAAAAGGTTGAGTTTAGAGAGATTGAATCCTTGATCAAACCGTCAGACATTTTGTAAAAAAGAGATGTTGCAATGTATATTATGAGAATTTTATACCTCCAAGACAAAAATCGGAGCCTTTAAAATAACATAATAGGGGCACTTTAAAATAGGCATGGATTATCCAGCTGTACAACTCCTGACAGATGATATAGCGCCCCATCAGGAGGCTTTACTGTTGTGGGACCTGTTGCAGATACCTGGGCAGGAAAAAGGTGAACCCTGGAGAGGAGTTGGCAGTGGAGAATGTGAGGAGTCTGGTGCACGCCGATTACTCCTACTGGACACTGTCTTACGCCATCTCTCTCCAGGGAGCTCAGAAGCTCCTCAACGCCGAACCCATATCCAAGATGCTTCCTGTGGATGAGTTCCTACCCATCATGTATGACAAGCACCCAAAGTGAGTGTGACAGTCAAGTCTCTAGAGAATAAACTTTAAATGTTAAAACGATTTGTGGGGTGTTGTAAACCCCTTATAGAAGAAGTGATGTTTCTAATTTTAGTTGACAAAGTTTGCGTTCTCAGCATAAAGGCATATGGACACTTGGATTTTCTCCTTGATTATATGTTAAACAAGTCTAGTTCATAATGAAACGTTAGTTGTCTAGTGAAGTTACAGTCCAGAAACATATTTGCGGAGCAGGATTGCTCACCACAAATGTGTGCTTTGATTTGGAGAGTTTTATTCTAAAAACTCTCTACATAGTTTCTTCACTATGTAATTGTACAAGTCATTTGAGTGTTATGACCAGAGCGTTGAGACTTAAGCCAAGAAAGAAACTCCGATCTTGAGCTGGCAATAGCTTTGAGTCCTCTGCGTGACTGGTTGTTTGTGCTGTGGGTTGGCATGATGCCATCCCTTTTCCTCTGTCTGTTTCCTCTCCATCTCTGACTCTTACTCATTCTGCTCGGCACGTCCCGCCTGAAGCTCTCATCCCCACAGAGACAGATCAGAGCGGCATTCTCCTCGCGTTTTTCAGTCTTTCCATCGATCCACGGCTCTCCCGGTAGGGACCGGCGTGCTGCTACTGCCCCGCTGGCGGCTAACCCGTTAAACGCCCTGCTCTGCCCTGCCCTGGTTTCTCCGTTCCGCATTCCAGCGAAATTAGCACTACTTTAGCCGGCGCTTTCTTCGCTCTCCTTCCAGATCTGACAAAGCCATGGGCCGTCTGCCAGCTGGCCCAGGAAATGCGTACCCTCAGTACATGAAGTACCTCTACAGGCTTTTGCTGAAAGTAATTGATACATTATTCTTTTATTGGGGTAAAGTCAAGCAGCACAAGCCCTAAAGTTATTCGCCCTTCTGGATCCAAAAGAGACATTAAATAGATAAACGGTGACCTCTTTCTTTAAAAAGGTTGTTATGTAACCATTACTAGTATATTTTTTTAAATTGTGATAAAATAGGAATTTATACACATACATATTCCAGCCGATCCCTATTATATTATATTATTTTTTATTGCTCATACTTAGGTTTAGGAATATAATATGAATGTATATTTAGATTTATACATTTTGCTTATACAGTATAAATATTATATTATTAAATATGAATATATATTTTTTTCATTTTTTATTGCTCATACTTAGGTTTAGGAATAAAATATGAATGTCTATGTTATATATATATATATATAACACATATATATATTTTTGCACAGCCCTAATATATATATATATATATATATATTAGGGCTGTGCAAAAATTAATTGCGATTAATTGCATCCAAAATAAAAGTCTGTGTTTACATAATATATTTGTGTGTGCTGTATATAATTATTTTGTATATATAAATACACACACATGCATGTATATATTTAAGAAAATGTGTTATTCATATATAAAATATTTATATTTATATAATATAGATTATGTATTTATATATATATACAGAATTTAAGCGCAAATAATTCTTAAATATATACATGCATGTGTGTGTATTAATATATACAAAATAATTATACACAGCACACACAAATATTTTATGTAAACACAGACTTTTATTTTGGATGCGATTAATCGCAATTCATTTTGCACAGCCCTAATATATATATATATATATATATATATATATATCGTATGCACAATTGATTATATTATATAAATATAATATTAAATGGTAATGCTAATAGTACTACAACCTGTTTTGCCTTGTAAATATTATATTATACTTCAAGTTAGGGATATTTAATATAAAATTATATATATATATATATATATATATATATATATATATATATATATATATATATATATTCTTTACTTTTCCCTTAATCCTCCCTCTTCTGGCTTATTCTACTCTGAGAAATGCCTGCATTTTGTATTTTGAGCACTTCTTGCATTGTTTTTGCCTCTTCACGAACGTAAATGTAGTAATAATAGCATTAATATGTAATTATATAATATTTATACAACAAAATAAATTATATATAGTGTATACTATATATATATATATATATATATATATATATACACACACACACTCCCATTTATGTTATATGTCAATTGCTATTCTATTATAACATCGCTGTTTTTCACCCATCAATAGTGAGGACTACAAATCCCATTTTCCCAATCGGAATCTGATGGCGTACTCCACACACCCTCTTCTGGTGCAGCCCTGCCATTACGCCGGGGACCCGGAGTGGGTAAGTGACACCGAGACCTCTACGTTGTGGGACGATGACAACGTGCGCACGGACTGGAGGGGGTCCCATAAAACTCTGAAAGGTTCGCAGCCACCGGCCGGTCTGCAGAGCGCCACCTACAAGGACGAGTTGTGAAGTACCTGTACAGACCCAAAGCATCAGAAACGGGTGGAGAGGTTAGAATGAGTGCGCAGCTCTTTATGAGGGGACACGTCACTCATCAGGGAGACCTCAAAACTGTGGACGAGACGAGCGAGACCTGGGACCAAACATTAGGTGGACACTTTCACTCCACAACAACAAAAATCGATTTTTAAATCAGTATTTTTCTTGTTTTCCAGTCTAAATATCTTCAACAAGATACATTTTCTTGTTAAGTAAAAGAAAAAAGATATTTAATTGCAAGCTATTTAGACGTCTTCAGATGAAATACCTTAAATTATTTATTTTTTTTAAACAAAAAATGGATAAATGGATTTTTTGTGGATAACAAGTTATCTGGATAACAAGACCCTGTAAAGGCAATATGGTACAAGGACTCTTATATTTGACCTCAGTTCAAGAGGGAGAATGTTATGTATTTTAGGAGAGGGTTTTCATCCATTTCTTTGGTTATTTTTTTTCTTTCTTAACTATATATTAAGCAATCACCATGGCACTGCTGCAGGTGATAGGTGTCTGGGAGAAAAGACCAAATGAGTCGGGTCAAAAATCTGAAAAAACAAAACAAAACAAGGAAATCCCTCACACTATCAATAGACCATTTCACAAGATGTAAACAACACTGGTCCAGAAGCACTTCCTGTTTCAGTTTGTAACTGTTTTCTTTATTTCACATGTAAAGAAAACATCTTAAAGATGTTTGTTTAACTTTTTGATTCAGTTTTAAATGTTCTGTTGGTTGTATTTTATCCCAGCTTTTATGTAGTGTTAAAAAACTGAAACAGGAAGTGCTTCTGGACCAGTGTTGTCTACATTTTGTGAAATGGTCTATACTTGCAAACGAGTTTCAAAATGGCAACACTTCGGTCTCATGACCTTCTTTGTATATGCCTGATCAAGATCATGAGACCAAAATGTTGCCAATAAAATTTTGATACTCATTTGCAGGTATTGATAGTGAGGGATTGCCTTGTTGTTGTTTTTTTTTTTTTTTTTAACTATGCAAAAATATCATTTTTTGAAGGGGTGCATTAGAATTTTATTACTGGATTGTATTTAAAGTTTAAACTGCGGTCGTGGGACTATCATGCTCAGACAATCCAACAAACAGAGCTTGTATATTTGAAATGATTTGTGTGGTGAACTTTCATTCTGTTTTTACTGATCCCACCATGTTCATTTGTTCTTATTTATTTCTCTTCCCTGTCTTATTTCCTTCTCTAATTCTCCAAAGTGAACAGTGGGACCAAATGAAATGACATTACATTAGTGTGCATGGCTGTTCTCCTAAACATTGTTGTTTTTGAAATAAAAATGTTTTTGAAAAATTACCCATTTGGATGTCAGTAACATACCTTTTTTTAAGGAACAAGACCTACTTCACATATCGGTCAATGGGCTATATGCACGCATAAGTTCCGCATTTGACGCAAGGATGCTCGTCCATTTCCGGTTGTGGAGATTTAAGCGGAGGAAAACGGGATTGTGGCAGAGTCTTCAAAATTTACTGTCCTCCCGTGTTTGAAATGAAATCTACATACGTTTAGATGTAATTGTATAGTTATGTTTATTTAATATAATTTTAAAAGAAGCATAAACACAATGAGGGGTGTCTGTTTTTGTGACTAATGTTTTTTTAGTATAACCATGGAGTATAAAATTCAATATAAATTCTCTGTATTGCATTGGACTCTACGATCGGCGGAAGTTATCGAGCATCCTACACCTTCACCGGAAATACTGCCGTGCATAGAGCCCATTGGCTTTATGCACAGCTGCACTACTTCCTGAACTTCAGCCAGCTCCTTGTTTCCTGTCTGCGATTATTGGCCAAACTTGATTAATTCATGTGTGCCTGATTGTTGTTGCCATGACTAACGTTACTAAGGTCAAGCACACCTGAATTAATCAATTTGTCCAATAATGGCAGACAGGAAACAAGGAGCAGGCTGAAGTTCAGGAAGTAGTTAAAGCCAATTAAATTGGTCAATAGAAATAATAATTAATGTGAATAAATATGGGTTTTTATTGATAAAAGTGAAATAATTTGTCAGAGACAGAGAGAATAGGGGTATATAAGCAGAGGTAGTAACTACTTAAGCCTAGAATAAAATATTAGACTACCTCACCTTAACACATTCTGGAGGTGATATCAATTCTGCTGCATCTCTATCGCCATCTTTTGGTTATAGTACAGAATTACAACCACAATTTAGGTCTTTGCCTATCCAAATACCTACACTTTTGGTTTTTGCACTTGTCTAGCCTTCTTAAAGGGATAGTTCACCCAAAAAATGAAAATCTTTGACAAAATTTTCTCACCGTAAAGTTGTTTCAAACCTTTTTGAATGTATTTCTTCCGTTGAACACAAAATAAGATATTTTGAAGAATGTTGGTAACCAAACAGCCAGTCCATGAACAATAATATGACTAATGGCTACAGACAGTCAACTGTCTGGATACCAAAATTTAAAAAAAAAAATCTTTTTTGTTTAACAGAAGAAAGAAACATACATGTTTGGAACCACTTGAGGGTGAGCAATGATGACAGAATTTTTATTTAGGGGTAAACTATCCCTTTAAATGACTAATTTATGCCAGGAATGTGGCCATAGTGTTCAAGGCATGAGGACTGCAAGGGTGTGTCTCGATCATCTCTCTAGGTCAGTAGTCAGGGCCATAATCGCAAAATCCTGACAATGAAACTTAGCTGAAGGCATTGCCCTTCGTGACCCCAGCGAACCCTGCTTCATAAGAACAGCAAAATGCCATCGCATCTGCAGTTTATTCTCAAATGACACAATCAATGGGTGAGCTTATTGCATAGAAACAGCAGTTTAAAATGTCTCATCAGATGGGTTGGGTCCTCTGTCTGCGTAGTATATGATCCAAGTCAAACTGTTGGCTTTATACCCAATGTTGTAGTGCTCTGATATCACAGTTGTTTGTAGACTAAAATTTGGTATGAACATTTGAAGAAGCAGTTTGTAATCCCTTAAATATAATTTTAGAACCGTTTAAAGTATCTGAATGAATGAATATAGCAATGTTTGGGTTGCCACTGCCGTCACTGATAAGCTTTTGTCATTGATTCATCCAGTGTGTTGTCATATTTTCCCGACGGAGGTGGGGCTCTCTAAGCTTTTTCTGATTGGTTGTTTCAGATAGGGAAGGTTTTGTGAGGTCAGCGACTCAGTGTCCATGTGTGTGGCTGAAACAGGGAGTTTTCACGCTATATCAAGGATGTTTTGTGCATGTAGAAATAGGTCAGCCAATAATGGTCAAAGTTCATCTGGAAAACTTGTTATTCTGTTTGAATTGTAAGACACTATGTATAAACACCTTCAAAATCCCATTTTAGTAAACGCATGGAGGTCCATTTCTGCCACATAAGAAAAAAAATTGTATTTTGTAAATCACATTACGACATAAAAAGTCAAACTGATGAGATGAAAAGATTTAAATAATCACATAAAAGTCCTCATTATGAGAAGCTATGTTGAAATTCTGACTTAAAAATGTATAATTATGATGAAAAAGAATTATGACAAGTAAAAGTCAAAATTGTGACTTAAAGTCAGAATCATGAGAAATATTATAATTATAACAGAATATTTCAACTTTGTAATATCACTGTCATTATTATGACTTTTTATGTAACGGCATGTAAAAAATTCCTAAAATGTATTTTTTCACGAAATAAGAATAATCAGATACCATGTGCTTAATTTCATGAATACTGACACCCATTTTGTATAGCATATTCATGTTTGTGTTCTATAATGCATGTTCAGAAATCCTGTTAGGAGCCCCTTCCTGTTATCCTCATCCATTCTCAATATTTTCCAGCAGCAGTGAAGCCTGTAACACTAGCAGATGTCTGAGATCAAGCTTTCTGCTCTAATTGTGATCTACTCTGAGGATAAACTGACAGCTGAGTCTCAGCATGCCATCAAACACGTAAACCTGTACTGTATATGTATAAATCAACAAAATCAATATAAAACCATAAGGTTTGAAACCCACATATGAGTTTTAAGATTAATCTTTGATCATTGTGCATTTAAATTATTAAACTTGTACATTTCTTGTAGAAAATGCTTAAAATCAAGTACTTATGATTATATTGTACACACTTACATTAAGAAAATAATTATAAAATTAAACATTATATATATATATATATATATATATATATATTTCCATTATATAATTATAATATAATAGTATATATGTATATATATAAATTATTTTATTATTTTAATATTTAATAAAAAATATTATTTAATATTTTAATATATATAAATAATAATCAAATTGATAAAACATTAAATATAAGAATTATTTTATTATTTCATTATTTAATAAAAAAATATAATGTAATATTTTAATATATATAAAATAATAAAATTGATATAACATTAAATTACATTTCTTACTCTCATTAACCCAACATACCATTGGTTCCCCCGTCACACTCACACAGTCCTGCTGTCGGTGGGTGGAGAGTTTTCGCTAGGGTTAGCGTGTCTAATTGGCAGCTTGCAATGCAACCAATGGATCTGGGCTGCAGTGTGCACTAACAGTACACAGCACCAGCAAAAATCATTTGTGTGTGTGTGTTTTCTTTCCTTATTAGTGGACTTATTCATCTTGACAGGTAAGCAATGCATGTGTTGTTATGGAGCTGTCTGGAAAAACTATCTCAAAACCTATTGAGCTGCCTAGAGTAACTTAGGCAATATTTTTTGGCTTGACAGAAACCGCTCTAAGGTTCTTAAGAGTAAGTTGACCCGAGAACGACCACTTATAACCCACTTTAAACGTTTCACACTTATAATTTTGAATCTAAATTGCGGAACCCCCACAGTACCGCAATCAATATCAACGCAAATGTAACTAACATGCTACAAATGTGATGTCGGCCTGAGGGAACTCCTCGAAATCTTCGTCAGACACGTTGTAGCTGTGTTTGTGTTTCGGCTCAGCAGTTCTGAAGTTCGCCACACACACAGCTGTGCTCGTCCATGCTCAGTCAGCAAACAGCCATATTTGAGCTCCGGTTGCTCTGTTTACGAGCATAACGTTATCTCAACAGCAGTCTCAAGGAGGACTTCTGCTCTTTTACTAAGTTTTATGTACAGTAGGTGAGCGACACTGATGTGAAGATAGCCTACTACTGACCAATCACTTCACACGCTGATTGTTGTTGTTGTTGTTGTTGTTGTTTTTTTGCCTTGTTTGTTTTTTAGACATTTACAATGTTTTGCACGTTGTTATTATTTAGTTTAATATCATTGCACAAATGCTTCAGCATAAAACAAGCTTTTTCATTACGTTCTGCAAAGACAAGTTGGTCATTATTGCATTATTTTCAGGCACACGTTTGTTGACCAATGAGTAGCCTTGTCTGTAAAACATTTCAGATGGCAAAGCTTAACTAAAACTCTTATTAGTTTAGATAAGCTGACTCACATGGTGCTCACAGCAAAGAATGTTAAGAAATATACTGATGAAATTATACATTTAAATGAGATATATGGATAGGCCTAATAAAGTTTAAAATTACTTAGTGCTTGGATTAAGTTTACACTTTGCAATAAGGTCCCATTTGTTAACTTTAGTTAATGCATTAACTAAAACTAACTGAGCAATCCATTTGTTACAGTATTTATTAATCTCTGTTAACGTTAATTAATAAAAATACAACTGTTCATTGTTAGTTCATGTCACCTCAGGTCCATTAAATAATGTTAAATGAATAAAGATGAATAAATGTTTTAGAATGGCTTTTAATTGTTAGTTAATGTCAAATTATGTAGTTAATAAATGCAACCCTGTTGTAAGTAGTTACCATATTGTTATTTTTAAAAAGCCAAAAATTTCAGCTGTATATCAAAACTCCAAGTGTATTTTATTTAAAGTAAACTTTTTTAATGGGTAGACCATTTATTTTATGTAGAAAACTTAAAAAGTGATCGTCGTAACAAATAAAAGTGGGCCCAGTACTGAGCCCTGAGGGACTCCGTTTCTATCAACATTATATAATAAGAGTGCGTGTTTATGGTCTTGTGTTGTTGCAGGGGCCATGGCCTTCTTGGGAACAGTGGTGCGGAGGGTGACGGCATGCCATCAGCACTTCTCGCCCCTCTGCCGCGCCACCACCCGCTGCTACACCTCCCAGTCTACACACACCACAGAGAAGAGTGTCCCTTATGAGAAAACCCTCAAACAGGAGGATGGCATCAGTGGGCCCACCAAACCACTGCCAAAGTCTGCAGATGTTGTGGTGATAGGAGGAGGAAGCCTGGGTTGCCAGACCCTCTACCACCTGTGTAAAATGGGCATGACCAATGTGGTTTTGCTGGAGAGGGACAGATTGACTGCAGGCACCACCTGGCACACGGCGGGTATTGCATTACGTTTACTTTGTGATTAGAGACTTGATCCAGTTTCTTTCTGCAACCAAAAACTGCAAAAAGTAAAGGAAGATGCACATCAGTTTTTAACTTTAATTGAACAATGTGTAAGGTAAAACTGAATCAAGGTAGCAACTCCAATTTACTATACCACTTTTACAGTTTAGTTTAAGAGTTTAGTCCATGAATAGGCTTACATAACTGGTTGTATAAAGATTACGGGCGTAGTAGTCTGTAAAATACAGATGAGCCCCAGCTTGTCTTTTGAATATTTTTTCTTTGTTTGAATTAGGTACTACATATTTTTATGTTTCCACAGGTCTTTTGTGGCAGTTAAGACCAAGTGATACTGAGGTGGAACTCTTGGCTCACACTCGCAACGTGATCAGCTCAGAGCTGGAGGAGGAGACGGGACTCGAGACGGGCTGGATCCAAAATGGAGGCCTGTTCATCGCTTCCAACAAGCAGCGACTTGACGAGTACAAGCGCCTCATGTCGGTATGGCATAATGGCACGAATGCTAAACCAAACATCTTGGCAAGATAGAAATGGGACTGCACAGGCAAATTACAAAGACAAAAAAAAAAGTCCAGAGCGTTTGCAACAAAAAATGTTTTTCTGTCAAAATTGCTCAAAGATTCATTCGTTTGTAAATTGTCCACTGGAATCCAATATGCTAATTCAATTCATAATGAGTGCAGGGATTGACTAATCAGAATCAAGAATTTCAAAGAGGCATGTGTTAATAATGAATGAAATGTAAAACATAATCTAATAAGTGGATACTCACACATTTTGCTTTTCAGTTGGGTAAAGTGTACGGCATTGAGTCATACGTCCTGTCGCCGGCTGAGACTAAAGACCTGTATCCTCTGATGAATGTGAAAGATCTTTATGGCACACTCTATGTGCCTAAAGACGGCACCATGGACCCAGCTGGCACCTGCACCACCCTCTCCAGAGCGGCCACGGCACGGGGTGCCACTGTATGCCTCCACTCTTCAATGGATTATTGACTACTTTAGTTACGATTGACTGCATGAACTATATTGAAACATGATTATTATTGATTTCAGGTGATCGAGAACTGTCCAGTGACAGGTGTCCAGGTTAAGGTGGATGATTTTGGTGTGAAGAGAGTGAAAGCTGTAGAAACTGCTCATGGGACCATCCAAACTCCATGTGTGGTGAATTGTGCAGGTCAGAAAGATGCAGACTTCACCAGCAGAGGGCAGTCTGTGATAGTGAAATAGCATTTAACCACATGTGTTGCTGTCAAAGCAAACCTTTTGACCAGTCACCTTACCTCTTAGTCTTTTAAATATTTAAAACACACATACATGCATTTATATATATATATATATATATATATATATATATATATATATACTGTATATATATAAATGGGCCTATAACACTTATTTGTTAATGATTTTACTAATTTCTATGGTCTCTTTAATAAATATCATAATCAAATTTCATCAACTGTCTGTTTTCATGCCAATACAGCATAATCCTGTCACTTATACTGTGTTTTTTTAGGTGTCTGGGCCACTAAGCTAGGTAAAATGGCAGGTGTCAATGTTCCATTGGTAGCCATGCATCATGCTTATGTTGTCACAGAAAGAATCGAGGGAATTCAGGTAAGCCATTAAATGTGGAGACTGTCCATTTCAGTGTAGTATTACACATCACAAACCAGAAATCATAATAAATCATGTCTTTGCTCTTGGTTGTAGCCTAAAGTATCTGTGGTGGACATAACATGCATAAAATGCCCCTACCACCTCACTGGGGTCTTGAGTAATCACACCTTTGTGCTTGGCTATGCAAACAGCAAACACTAGAGTCTTTGCAGAAGGCGGCGCCATGACTTCAGATAAATCAACACATTTAACCCTTGTGCACATGGTCCTTAACATTCCACGCACTGAAAAACAGCAGGGAAACTTAAAATCACACCATTAAGGGGAGAGATGCACATGATACAAAAACAGTGAGGCATTTTGCATGATTTTTTTCATACAGTGATGCATGCTGGGAAACAGTCCAACATTTTAACAGCCGGTTAATGTGCTGCAATTGGGTTGAGACATATTGAAAATGAAGTAATTATTATTCTTTTTAGAGCAAACATCTTGGTTTAAGGTTTTTAATCAAGTTAATCCAAATTTAGTTGTAGGCAAAATGGGCCTTTCTATTAAAACGGGTTAAATTGCAGTTTCTATTTTAAAATATAATGACTTTTTTAATTTTTTGCCATGAAAATAACCAATGCTTGTGTGGCATAACAAAAAACAAATTAATTAAGATTATTGTTTATTGTGCCTTATTAAAAAACTGCTATTTGCTGGCTGCAATTAATGTTCTACACCTGTGAAAAGTAGGTCAGGGCTCAACAAAGAGGATGGGCTGATGACCAGTTTGACAGAGTTTCAGGGCACATGTGCTGCATTGATACTACATTTTACATCTTGTGTACAGTGTTGTGCCTGAACGCGTTCATTGAACGATAGTTTATCAACGCGTTCATATTGTGGGGCGAACTGAACGTACTGTATTACTGCCTGATGAACGCTACTGTAGACTCGTTCATTCTGGTGTCTGTGAAACGCACGCTCTCTCAGTTTAACTTCATTTAATAGGGTGCCAGATTTCTATAGAGGCTTCCAGGCGAAAACCCGGCTAAAACACACCATAAACAGGCCTTTAAATGTGAGAAGGTCCTTGCTGCAGAACACGAAATCCAGATCCAACTCCTCCCACCTTACATATACCTAAACCTACCTATCTCCGCCCCCTGATCCCTAACCCCACCCCTAATCCTACCTATCTCCACCCCTTAGATCTGGATCCAACTCCGCCCCCTGGATCTCATGTACTGCAATGAGGTGCTACTGTAATATGTAGAAAAAAAATCCAATCTGGCAACACAAGCCACCAGTGTCGCACCGCTGCATTCGTCATCAAAACAAAAAGCAGCATGTAGTCGACAAAGCATCAAGCAGGCGTCGTATGATCATTTAAACGAGTTTTATGACAAGATCGGTGAGGATCGGAAAAATCTTACATTTCTGTGCAAACTTTGCCCGTCGATAAAATAATTGTTGTCTGTGGTTGTATAATATAAAACAAAATTTAAATAGCTTGCAGCAACTATGAACTAGTTTGTTTTAAAATTTGTGAACTGAACTTTTAACTAGTTCATGTAGAAAGTGAACTTTCCCAACGCAAGTTGTGTATATATGTTTTTGTGCCTTTACGATGCCTATTGAACGCTGTGTTCTTGATTTGTGCTAATTATGTAATGTAACCAAGGAAACCAAAGGAATTGTACTAATTTAAATGTGTTATCAAGGAAACCAAGGATAATGTGACAGCATCAGTTAGAATGCTGTGGAAATTATAAACAGATCAGTAATGCTTCACACTAGATTACTGTTTCCCAGCAGTTTATAGCTGTCATAGTTACATTTATATGTATTTCCTTGTAATATTATTAAAAATGTATTAATAGTATTTAAAATTTGTATTTAATAAAATAAAAATTATTTAAATTAATAACAGAATTGAATAACTACATAATGAAAGGTTCAGCCATGAAACTATATTCGTGTTCTGATTGGTTCGTTCAATGTAATGTTCTCAACCAACTAATTTCACGTGTTCATTACCATTTCCCTTTGTAACCATAGCATCCAAACAAATAAACTAACTTTGCGCAACCTGGATTCTTAATCTACCCCTTTCTAGCAGCAGCAGCATGTGTCTAATAAATGTATGTTCCGAACAAAAAATTCTGCACTCGCTTTAGGTGGTTTTTAGTCAACTAGGTGATTATAGCACATTGAAAATATACATAACTGGAAATAAATGAGTTATGCTATTTCAAAACGGAAGTGCGTCACGGAGCTCAGTACAAGTAGTCCATTTGGGCCGTCGTGCTCTATTCTGCAGCAGCCATGGCATAAGCACTTAGCTCAGAGCCTTCCTCTGGATTATGCAACCCTGTGTGTGTGTGTGTGTGTGTGTGTGTGTGTGTGTGTGTGTGAGAGAGAGAGAGAGAGAGAGAGAGAGTGCGCGCTTGTAGTTTGATGCATGGTTGATGACAGCTATGTTACTCCTCACAGAATGACCAATTTGTCATCACTGAATCTCAAGTAATGAAATGTTTGTCATCCACATGATGTAATTGTGAAATGGATAGATCTTTTGCTTCTGAATGGACTGTGAAACTGCAAAACAAATATTAAGCCCTCAAACTAACATTAACATACTATGGAAGCTTGTTTCTGCATCGGAATAAAACAAAAAAAAAGTTAATTTTGACCTTTTATCTCGCAATGCTGACTTTGTTCGGGTTTTTTCCACAATGTCTCACATATTAACATTGCTACAGTACATTTGTTACAATATGTATTATTCTTTGTTAATGCTAGTTAATAAAAATACAGTTTTTACAGTGCATTAACTAATGTTAACTAGTACAACTTGATTTTAATTATTAAATGTATTTGTAAATGTTGAAATTAGCATGCTGTAGAAGTGCAGTTCATTATTAATGTTAACTAATGTAGGTCATTAATACAACCTTATAGCTATGTTTCGAAGAGTCGAAGAGAACAAAATCGTTACTATAAGACGTTTAATATTTTTGGTCGGAAATAAGCTTTCATAATTACACAGGAGAGTGGAAGTATCACTGTACACATGGAGTCATGTTGGGTATAGTTTCACCATATTTGCTCCTACAAAATGAATATAATGAGCTTTTTTTAATATGTCTTTTTCCACTAGAATATGCCCAACGTCAGGGACCATGATGCATCCGTCTACCTCCGTCTCCAAGGTGACGCTCTTTCTGTGGGAGGCTACGAACAGAACCCTATATTCTGGGATGATGTAAGTTGAAATCACAGTTTCCAAAAGAGAAAAATATGAATCTGAGATATAAAAGGTGTTTTTCTTTTCCATAGTTGTTTATTTTGTATATTTGCTGTGTTTGGTTTGAGTTCCACAATCTAGATACCAGGATGTTCCCATTTACCTCTTCATTTGCTGTGCGTTCAAGTGATTTGGTATAAATAAAATGGGTGCATAGAGTGATTTGATATTTTTTTTCCTCAGTTCCCACTGTTTAGAGCTATTGTACAAAATGAGGGGCAAAAAGTACATTATGTTTTTGAATTGATGTTTTATCAAATTATTTATCTTTCTCATTAGGGACTAAAAAAGAATCATATTGGTTTTCGACTGAAATTATTATTTTAGTTTTTTTATATTATTGTTTGATATTGTGCATGTTCATTTCTGCCTATTTTTACCTATAGATTGACTGTTAGATGATAGAAAAGTTCATCTTTATAAACATTTTATTTCAGTTAGTTGTCAAAGCCACATTTCTACCTTTTGGTTAAGTGTAAGTTGCAGCTAAATTTGTGTTTCAGTGAATGACACACACACACACACACACAGTTTAGTCTAGGGCTGCACGATTTAACAAGATTAAATAGAAAACGCGATTTTGCTTAGTGCAATTTTTTTTTTTTCAAATGGCAAAGGCCACAATTTAATTATATAAATATGCGGTTTGTGTTTCGTAGCATGACAGTTGTAACAGTGAGGGTCTCAGAGAGACTCTTTTCATTATTAAGTGGCTCGGTGTGCATTATTAATAAGAAGGAACTCGTTGGCTCCAATCACTGCGCTGTTTTCTACATGAGATTGCATTACACCAGAGAATTCAAGTGTCACGAGAGGCTGTTTCAGGTGTGTTCATTCATCTGTCGTCTGTTCAACTTAGCGCTGTTGTCTTTTCAGACTCATAAAGAGGGTTACCTACCAATACATAAAACGCATTTCACACGTACACACACGGAACGAGCATGAGAGCGTTTTCTGCGCTGAACACCGCGATGAGTTGAACAATCCACAGTGCCACTAATAAACCATAAACAGATTAAACAAGAACAAGGCATTTAAAGTCATATGGAACAACAAGTTTAGCAACACTCACAGCATGGATTACAGTTCATATCCGGACCAGAGTGAGCGTGTTTTAAGTTTTATGGACATATTTCATATACTCTTTATCATCTGTAAATAAAGAAATGAAATCGTAAATATTAGGATTGAAATTTTACAGTTGTACTATAAAATAACATTATTAGTTTCATTAAATACTCAATGTCTGTCATAAGATTAGGCATACTGTAACATTTTCTAATTTCAAATTGGTTGGTTTTGAGATTATAGATTATACTAGAGATGAGATTATACTTGTTTAGGTGGGTCCTGGAATGGAAAGGTTTGGGAACCCCCGGTCTGGAGGAAAGGCAGAAAGGGTTTTGCTTTTGCTCATGCTGTACTACATCTACCTTTAATATGGCAAAAGAGCTAAACGTTTCTCATTAAATGTCTTTTAAATCTCAGTATAGACATTTTATATTTGCCTACTGTATAGACCAGTGTTTTACTATAATATTATAGTTTTTGTTAATGTTTTGAAGGCTATTCTATTTTTAGATTTTTTAGTTTCAGTTAAAGTTTTATTTATTTTTATTTATTTTTCAGTTTTTACACGTTTTTAGTTATTTTACTACAATTTAAAACAAAAACGAGAAGGGTTGCCTCGGCAGTTAGCTGAAATAAAATTATTTTTCAGATGATCTGAAATAGTATAATTTATGCCAAGATAATCATTTCAAACAGTCGTGTCCTCATCACGCTTTCATAAATTTGGTCTTAAAAACGGTTATTGGCAAATTAAATAATTATGACTGTAAGGCTGAAACTGAAAAAAACACAAGCTAAGTGTCTTTATAAGCTTTTATTCTTGCTAAGAAGGTCAATTCTGACATGCAGAGTGTTCTGGAGTAAACGAGACGCTCAGCAAAGTTACACTCGCACATTTATAGATCTCATCCCCTTTAGTCAACGGGCAAGGGCTTCGTATAAAGAGAAAAACAACTCTTTAGTTGGTGTTATCTGCAGCGGAGACACCTTGAGTGAAAACAAAGCTGCGGCGCGACTATTTTCAAGGCAACTTGAGCACAAACAAGGCTGCAGATAACTGTTCAAGGCTAAGCACAAACATGTGTTCATCACAGATTAAACTAGAGCTTCCTTTATGGAAGACAAAAATTTATTTAAATGGTTTGCTACAGTATGTTCAAACAACATCTTATGTTCGTATGGTTTGATATAATTTGCTATGGTCAAACTTTTCCATGACAGCATTTAATGCAATTTTGTGTAAAAACTTTCTCACATTTTGCATTCGAGTCAAATAAGTCAAAAAGAGATTTAAATTAAACTTATGAGACTAAAGTGACTGTAAGGGAAATAGGTCAATTTAGCTCAAAGGAGATTATTATTTGATTGTATAGGGAATTTAAAAAAAAAGTCACTGATTTTGCTGCCGATCAAATGAATCGTCCAGTGCTCAATTGAATGGGCCGTGTAACTATCAACTCTGTAGAGGATATTAATATCCAAACTATAGTGGAAACACTGTTTATTAGCATGCTAACAAGATCAGCAGTTTAAGACATTAAATTCATAAGCACATAACTCAAGAACACTTCTTTTTAAATACGAACGAGACTCTATTGGTTATTCGAACACATAAAACGAATATCTAACACGCACACAATCACACGATTGCAGAAAGAAAGAAAGTGAGGGAAGAATTTAAGAAGTTTCAAGAGAGATCATGAAATCCCAAGTTTCTTGTATATGCCATAGTATATGCACTTTATAAGGCATGACCTGAACAAACCATCAATCATTAATTTAGCGTTTGCATCAGTTTGAATCTAAAGGCGTTACTTGCGCTTTAATTGTTTGTGTCTTTGAATGTGGATCCCGGAAGGCCTGGTTTGCTGAAATGGGTTTCTCAGGTTCATTAATTGAGGCCTTTTCGTTTCTGGAGTGACGCCTTGGGAAGCCAATCACGTTCTGGTGTGCTGGCGGTTGCGGATTAATGAAAACAGAGTCTTTCTCTTAGCTTAAAGTCCCCCTGTGGTGAAAACCAAGCTTTATATGTCTATGTAGTGTTTTAATTTGCTTTAAGACAAACTATGTGCAAAATCATAAGTCAAAAGCATTGCTTAGTATATTCTCCTTAAAACTACAGTTCGCAGTTTGAATTTGCAGTTGTTTCTGATGTCACAAACTACCTTGTAACCAATCAGATCAACGTGTGATCGTCAACGAGTGGATCTCTGAGCTCAGTGAGTGAGTGGAGGCGGCGCTCATTTGCATATTCATCGAACAGCATATACTAAATGAGATGCAAGGATGTTAGAGTTACATTTAAGCTATTTTAAGGCATGACAGATTTTTTTTCCAAGGAAAAAACTTTCAAATATATAATTTTGGTGATCAATGATAAGTTGTTATAACTATCAAGTGGTGTTATAACTCAATTAATGAACCTGAGAAACCCATTTCAGCAAACCAGGCCTTCTGGGATCCACAAATGTGTCCCTGATCAAGACACTTAACCCCTAGTTGCTCCAGAGGCGTGCGACCTCTGACATATATAGCAATTGAAAGTCGATTTGGATAATAGCATCAGCTATATGAATAACTGTAAAAAATGTAAATGTAAAATGTAGGGATCGACCGATATGGATGTTTTAGTGCCGATACCGATTTTTTTTCCCCATCAGCCTTAGATGCTGACCGATACGGGCTGCCGATTTTCTTGAGCCGATATTTGGAGCCGATACATTTTGCCCGCTAAATTTACTTCATAAAAATGACATGATGTTAACAAATGTTACAGGTCTCGATTTAACAAAAGTAACATTTATTTAACTTTAAAAAAACAATATTTTGTAAAAACGTGAGGTAGAACAAGAACAAGTAGATAAACAATGTACTTCATTTTAAAAGTAACTTAAAAAGTAAATTTTTACTTAAAAAGTACATTTTTCTGTGCCGGGAAAAACTATTGGCGAACGCAGCAGTCGCGTATCGGCCGATTCCGATACACGTAAAAAACGCAAATATCGGCCCGATATATCGGTCGATCACTAGTAAAATGTAAGTTTTCAGGGATAAAATGGTTGACCGCAGGGGGACTTGAAGTTTGATGTTTGAGGTGGGCACAGACTATAGAGTCATTGACTGAAGCTTTGCGGTAAAACTTAACGAGACTAAAACGAGACTCTCGATGGAAAAGAAAAGAAACCTCTGTCTCATCTAATTTGATAGTTATAACAATTGCATGAATTATGTGGAATCTAAGCATAATAGTCACATACATAGTTTGTTACTTAATAAAGAATTATGCAGTTGAACAATGTTTGATTATAAGTCCATCTAGCATTGTTTTGGAATTATCGGATGCATTTTGATATGTAAAGACGGTCTCTGGATTTTAGAGACAGTTTTGTAGTCCAGTGTTTAAGGGAAGGTCAAACAGAGATCTTTGAGATGGTCTGTTTTAAGTCTCTGTCTTAGATAATAAAACAATGCTTGGCGTTAACTCCAGATTTTCCTTGTGCGAGTCAAGATCAAGAGTGCCAAGAGAGAAAAGAGTGCCATCTCCAAACCAATCCGTCTTTTTAAAGCCTAACGTTGACATCTTAAGTGTTCGTTCGCTAGTTGTGATTATCTCTTACAAGTTCTTTGTCTTATATGTAGAAGATTTAGTCAGTTTCATTCGTCACAAAAGGAAAGTTCCCATAGTGTGCACAGTATACTTAGTACATACTGCAGAAATAAGTAATGCCATTCCGAACGTAGTGTGTGTGTGAGCATGTGAGCGTGTCTATCTGCTGATATTCCAGTGTGATGATGTCTGGAGATCACACTTCCCTAAGATATTGATCCGCTGTTTCATAGTGCAAGTGTGAGGTGACACAGGGTGAATTAAATAAGAGAGTAGAGTTCCCTTTGACCAGATTTACACTGCATTTCCTTTATAATCATCTCCAGCCAGCAGTATTCTGTAACAAAACTCTCTTATTTAATTCACCCTGTGTCTCCTCACACTTTCACTATGAAACAGCGGATCAATATCTTAGGGATGTGTGAACATTTGAGGAGTGTGTAAGTAGAAACGGAGCTGGTCTGAAACTTTTAATGAGACAGTGTGAAGCCTGGCCTGTTCTCAGCACATGCAGCCTCTACAGTTTTTATTTTTAAACTTCAGTCTTTTCCACACCGGCCACATATTCTCTCAATTTTTTTGCGATCAGCATTTCATCAGCTGTCGGATTGCTCACACCGTCTGCTGCTTCTTTCCATCCCACGGTTTCGAGGTTCATTGACATTTCCCTGTGGCAATGAGAAAAGACAGTGACAAGCAGAGAGGATTTTGCTTAAGTAAAATTACAAATTGAGTTTTCTTGGAAGCATACTTGTTGTAAAAAGTGAAGGTTGAGTCGTGCAGAAGGTGGGAGGGGGGAGGGGTGTTGATTTTTGCTCCTTAAAATCAACATGCAATAAAAACGTTCTCATATTCTCAACATTAAACATTCTTAATAAATGTCCCAGGTCTTATTATGCACTATTCATCATTCAGTGCACATTATTCAAAAATATACGTTTGTTTTCATAATGAATACTGGAGTTGCTCTCAAATTCCTGCAAAGAAGAAAATTGACTTCAATAAGCTGATTATTGTCAAATGATCAATCAAGCTTTACAAAGCATCCCAGAAGATTTATTAATTACAGCTTATTTTTATTTTTATTTTTAATTCTGTCAATTAAAAGGCGGGAGGGAGTGTTTCAAATATAATAATACAAATAATATATATATATATATATAAATCCTCAGGGCATCACTATTATTATAAGTGACTATAATTTTGGATAATTTCTGCCAAATTACTTTTAAAATTTCAAACACATAGATACATTGAACATACATTAAAAAATAATGCACATCTGAGAAAACGAACAGTGGCTTAAGTTGTTAAGGATTGGTCAGTGATGTTTTTAAGGCGGGGCTTAGTGAAGGGTTAATAGGACACCAGCAGTTTAACTTGATTGGTGTTTTTACCTGAGTGAAGTTATCATCCAGTAAAAGACCTTCCTCCTGAATCATTGATGTATGATTTATGGCAGCAGTGAGCTCACCAGGCCACTCCATTATTGAGTATGTGTATAAAATCGTGTATTTGTTCTCTGAACCTGTAGGTGTCTGATAAGTTTGCCTTCAGCTTGTTTGATCTGGACTGGGACGTCTTTATGCAACACATCGACGGAGCCGTTAACAGAGTGCCTGCTCTGGAGCAAACTGGAATCAAATCCACTGTCTGTGGTCCAGGTACATATAAACACACACACACACACACACACAGACAAATGAATCAGATGCTCGTTTTACAACATTATGTTCTTAATACATTTAAAAGAATTGGCTTATAAGACTAATTTGTTCAGGAATTGAGCTACATTGGTCAGGTTTTTGGCTCTAAAAATGTCTGACTGCATAAGAGTTTTTAAGGAAATTCTTGTCATGGTTTCTGTTTCTGACTCACGAACAATTAGCAGCTCATAAGAGTCGTCTGTTCAGAAATCATGCTGCATGTGTTTGAATCAAAAGAGCTGGCTCATAAGAACCATCTGTTCGGGATTCACTTGACTCCAACCTGCAGTGTGGGTATAAACATAGAAGTGGAGGCACGCACCAGTTGCCTTTTGCTTCGGAGCCGATAAGTCCCCGGAGTCAGCGGTGGTCCAGCAGAAGTGGCGTGGGGACTACTTCCTCCATTCCCTCCTTCAGTGAACGGTGGGTTTGCATACGCAACCAGGACGTTCCCTTTCATTTGAGAACATCATACGTTGGTGACGCCAACTGAATGTGGATCTAATGAAAACGCCACTAGTGCTACCACCTTCCAGTTCCTAGACAAAAGCCCAACCTGAGAAATGGGAGAGTCCAGGAATCGAACCTTGTCCGCTTGTCTCATATCCGCCAGGTTGAGTCAGAGCTGGTGCTTCTGGACCACAAGTGTGGACATCGCTGCACCGATCGTGCAAGCTGCAACCTTCGTGCCCCGGAGGGCGAGGTCGGTTGAAGTGTGGAGCTCACCCATGAGCTCACGGTCCAGACTACCCTTGTGCATGTTCATGAATGCCTGGGCCTGATGGACCGGAAGCGGTTTGCCCACAAGCTTTGTAAGCCTTGCCCGTGACAGCGGACGAGAACTTACAGGCTTTAGAGGGGTGACAAGGATCACCTCTCCATGAGGCAGCGGCCGCCGGACACAGTTGCATCACGACTGGAGAGATAGCCTCGTAATCCTTCACTGCTCCCTCAGAGTAGTGAGGGGGGAGGAGCTACTTAGGCGGTTTCTGGCAAAGAAAGGTTTCGTCCACGCCCTCGTAAGTTCCTCATGCACTTCAGGAAAGAAAGGCACCGGGGCGGCGGTGCCCCGAGAAACCAATCATCCAACCGAGACGGCTTGGGACGCGGTGGAGGGTTCCACATGAGCCCTGACGCCTCGGCGGCCTTTTTCAGCATAGCTGACATTTCTGGACCTGGTTCGGGCAACGTTGTTCTCCCAGAGGAATGCAGCTCAGCCGAGTCGTCATTTCCAGAGTCCAGATCCCATTCTGATGCTGCAATAGACATACAGGCTGAACGGAATGAAACGGCTGGTCGGTCCACTACAGAGGGACCAGAACGTTCAATGGGGAGCTCCACTGGTTGCGGTGTGTAGGTGCAGTGAGGGATCACAGCGTTTTACCGGGCAGATTACCCCTCTCTGTAATCCTCAGATCACCTAGCTCAGACGCAACCCCAGTCCTCCTCTGGTTAGGTAGCCCAGAAGAAATACTAGGGCGGGGACTGCACCCACGCTTTTGACATTGGCAAATCTCGATCTCAACACCGAGATGGTCATATCCCTGCAATGGGAACATGACTCCTCTATGAAAGCTACCTCAGCGTGCTGTAAGCCCAAACACGATACAGCTTTTGTGACCGTCATAGGGGGAAAGCACCTAACCACACTCAGAAATGCATGGATGAATTGACATCTTGAGCAAGACACACTCACACCCTTTTAGGAAATGGGACAACTGGTGCGTGCGTCCACTTTCGTGTTTATAACCGTGCTGCGGGGCGGAGCGTGTAGTCACGCACGCCAATGTTGAATTGGCTTGATTAAATGGTAGTAGCTCCCTATGCGTGATCCCCATTCAGTCGATGTCGACTACATCTGACGTTTTCGAATAAAAGGAAACCAGTTCATAACAATCATTCATTGAGGAATCAAATTCACTGATCATGCACACGTGAGTCATTTGTTTCTTTGCAGATTTTCATTGTAGTGCAAAGTTTTAGGCTATTTCTATAGTCAATCCAGTACTTCTAGTATTTCATCAACTCACTATAGTGACCTTTTGACCGAGTTTCATCTCGCTGTGCTCTGCCAATGATTTTTATATATTGGCTAACTAGACCGCCAGTCAAATGACACTGCGCTCTGATTGGCTGATCTGTCGCAGCTCCGGCTTTCCCCAGAGATTCAGTCAACCTTTACTGGCTGTAATAAAGGATGACAGGTGTGAAATGCCGCTAACACACTGTAGTGTCTGTCGGTCACTTGCAGACGAGTTTCGGGTCAGTGGATAAGCACTCCTCAAATCATTTCAAGAGTGCTATGAACGACTCCATTCACCCACTCATCAGCTATTAAAAAGGAGATGTTGAGCATATGTGTAGTTCAGGCCTGCTGTATTGGACTTTTGTATGAATCACATTTAACACATGATAATTATAATTTTTTGGTGTGAATTGCGCTCATTAACTGCATCCATTTTAGTCAAGAACTACACTTGAAAATCACGATGACTTGATTGAAGGGCACCTGTACGCAGTGCTATTTTCATAATGATTTCAGAATAAATAGTCCTTGTGAAAGTGCGTCTCTTTGACCTCCCGTGACGTGAGCCACTATATCGTCAACATTGGGCAGAGGTCTTGATCCACTAAATATTGGAAAACTGATGACTGAATTTCCTTAATTATCTGGTTGCACATTCAACGAATAGTATGATTACTGATATACTTTGACATCTGGATGTGATTTAATTGTGTTTCCTCCTTGAGCCAGTTGTTCAAAACATTTAATCTGGATCAAAATGATCCGTATTTGGAAATCCCATTTTTTCCTATCTAGGATCAGGTAATCCATCTTACTTTTATGCCGGTTTTTCAAAGCAACATTGGACTGGATCACCCTGATCCAGATACACAGTTTTCAAGATTACCAAATCCAGATTACCAGTGCTCTAAATGGGACAACATATCACAATGTGGGCTACCATCTATGTAAAGAACAGGTAGAAGAGCCAACATGGGGTCACTGTATGTGTTTCTTATTTTGAGACAAAACACAAATGGGGACAAGATAATTTTTATTTTATTTTGACTTTACTATACTGAATAGCTTAATTGTTAGCCTGTGTCTACTTTATCACTGTTACAACGGTTACACAAGTCAAGTGTAAAACATAAGTAAAAGTATACACACTAAATGATACAAATGTGTTATTTGACTAATTTTAAAGTGTTACTACATTTTCTTCCTGAAATCCACCTTGAAATCCTACCCCCTGTTGGGATCAGGATAATCCTGTTTTTTTGGATCAAAGTTATCCAAATTCCCCTGACAAGTTTTGAACAACCCAAACTGAAGGTTTGATCCAGATTAAAACTAGGATTGGATTCCCTGATCTAATCTGATTTCAGATTCCTTCTTTCCCTTTTGAACAACCCATTTTCAAGATTTGATCCAATCCGATAACCAAAATCCGATCAGTTTACCTTTGAACAACTGGCCCGTAGTTACAGACTGCAGTTTAATCATTTTCATTAATCATTTTAATCATTTAAATCCTCTAATGCTCACCAAGGCTGGATTTATTTGATCAAAATCACAGTAAAAAAAAACAGTACGATTGTGAAATATTATTATTATTTAAAATAACTGTATTCTATGTGAATATATTTCAAAGTGTATTTAATTCCTGTGATGCAAAGCTGATTTTTTAGCATCATTACGCCAGTCTTCAGTGTCACATGATCCTTCAGAAATGGTTCTGTTAATATTGAGGATATGTTTGAGTGAGTGTCTGATCCGCTGAAGGCAGTCAGAGCGCTTGGGTCATTCCTCAGAGGCCGTCGCTGTCTGTGTGTGGTGTGACGGATGAGTAAGAGGGAAGACGGATAAATAAAATATAGCTGCATCCTCACCCTTTCCTTTTGCTCTCTATCGTTCTCACAAAGAGCAGTTGATGTTCTGGAAAACACTTTCTCATGTGGAGTAATGGAAAAGGTGTGTCCCTTTTTCTTCATCTCTCTTTTTCTGTCTCACCTCTCAATCTCTCTTGCTCTCGTGGCCTCAGTTTCTCTTCACACTCGTTCTCTCCGTCTTCGATGCTTTTGAGGGTCATCCCACAATATCTTACCACTGAAAGCTTTGACTATTACGAATAGACCATTAAGTGAGCGCTCAGTAGCAATGCATTTTTAAAGAGCTTTTCAGAAAGATCTGATCTGACCCATCGGCAGTACCATGTGTCATATGTTTCCCACCTCTCCCACTTATTTTTTATTACCTTTTGTACGGTCAGTAATTTATTTTTTCGTGAAGTACAGGAAACGTTATAAAAATGCATTCAACTGACATTATAGGGGCTTTAAAAGAAATAAACAGTCTTTTGCATGTCCGCGACAAACTTTTGAGTTACAACGTCCAGTTTTTGTCTACCTTCTATTACTATTTACTAGCACAAATCAAATCATTCACACACCCAGGAACCCAGACTATCCTCTCCCACAGCCAACAACCCTCTCTTCTCATTCACTACACTAACCGAGGAAGAAGTATCTAAGCTTCTCCTCTCCAGTCATCCTACCACCTGGCCTCTTGATCCCATCCCATCACATCTTCTCCAAGCAATCTCTCCTACATTTCTTCCAGCTCTCACACACATCATCAACTCATCCCTCCACACTGGCATTTTCCCTACAGCATTTAAGCAGGCTCGGGTAACTGCAAAAACACTTGAATGAGTTGCTTTCAACCAAGTATCATCTTTCCTGTCCCTGAACAATCAGCTGGATGTCAACCAATCAGGCTTCAAGAAAGGGCATTCAACCGAGACTGCATTGCTGTCGGTCACCGAAGCCCTGCGGATCGCAAAAGCTGCTTCTAAATCATCAGTTCTCATCCTCTTGGATCTGTCTGCTTCATTCGACACTGTGAATCATTGGATCCTTCTGTCCACTCTCTCATCACTGGGCATTACAGGTACTCCTCTCCACTGGTTTGAGTCCTATCTCACAGATAGGTCCTTCAGGCTCACATGGAGAGGTGAGGTATCCAAAGCATATCAATTGAACACAGGGGTTCCCCAGGGCTCAGTTCTTGGACCGCTCCTCTTCTCCATTTACACCACATCATTGGGACCCATCATACAGGCACATGGTTTCTCTTACCTTTCCTATGCCGATGACACCCAAGCTCTACCTCTCATTTTAACCAGATGATCCCACAGTACCTGCACGAATCTCAAGCTGTCTGGCAGACATTTCGGCATGGATGAAGGAACATCACCTGCAGCTCAACCTGGCTAAGACTGAGCTTCTCATCCTCCCTGCCTACCCGTCTCTACAGCACGACTTCACTATCCAGCTAGATTCTTCCTTAATCACCCCTTCAAGGTCAATCAGAAATCTTGGAGTAACCTTTGATGATCGGCTGACCTTCGCAGACCACATTTCAAAGACAGCTAGATCATGCAGGTTTGCTATGCACAAAATCAGGAAGATCAGGCCTTTCCTAACTGAGCATTTCTAGGCTTGATTACTGCAATGCTCTTCTGGCTGGACTTCCATCATGTGCAATTAAACCTCTACAAATGATCCAGAATGCTGCCTCTCGTCTGGTCTTCAATGAGCCCAAAAGGGCCCACGCCACTCGCTGCTCGTATCAAGTTCAAGGTGTTGACACTTGCGTACAGATTGACCACAGGATCAGCTCCCAGTCTACATCCCTAGTAGAAGCCTACGATCAGTCAATGAGCGACGGCTCGTGGTAACATCACAGAGAGCCACAAAATCACTTTCCAGAGCATTCTCATTCACGGTACCATGCTGATGGAATGATCTCCCCACCCTCATCCGGAATGCAGAATCCCTGCCAGCATTCAAAAGACAACTGAAAACTCACCTCTTTCGTGAGCACTTAACATAAAAAAATAAAAAAATAAAATTGTGTATAGTTAAGTTTCATCACATGAAGTTCATCAACACAAACACACACTTCTATTCAAATGTTTGGGTCAGTAAGATAAGATTTTAGCCAAAGCTGCATTTATTTGTAAAGAAATCAGAAGTCTAGTATGTTGACTTGATGATCAAGAAACTTTTTTTTAAATCAATATTGAGAACAGTTGTGCTGCTTTATATTTTTGTGAAAACCATGATACATTTTTTTTTTCTTCAGGATTCTTTGTTGAATAGAAGGTTCAAACGAACAGCATTTATTTGAAATAGAAATGTAACATTGTAAATGTCTTTACTGTAAATTTTGCATTTGCGAACTTGCATAAAGTTTGTTTCTGTCCCGATGTTTATTAGGATGGACCACGTTTCTGTATACTTAAAGGAGTAGTTCACAAAAACTTTTTGCTGATAATTTACTCACCCCCATGTCATCCAAGATGTCATTCTTTCTTCAGTTGAAAAGAAATTAAGGTTTTTGATGAAAACATTTCAGGATTTTTCTCCATATAATGGACTTCAATGGGAACCAAATGGTTCAAGGTCCAAAAGACCATTTCAATGCAAACTGTTCAAAGGGCTTTAAACAACACCAGACGATGAATAAGGGTCTTATCAAGCGAAACGATCGCTCATAAAAAAAAAAAAAGTTTACGTTTTATAAGCTCAAATGGTCATCTTGCTCTGTTCTGTGATGCACGTTCGTGACTCTCCTGTTCAAACTCGTTCATCAAAATGAACAAACCTTTTTCCGAGTCAATTTGCTCATTTCGTTTGTTGAATCAACCAAATGACACGAAAAAGATTTGTTCATTTTGATAAGCGAGTTCGAACAGGAGAGTCACGAGCATCCCAGAACAGAGCAAGGCGAGCATTTGAGCTTATAAAACTTAAACTTTGTTATTTATTTTTTTTAAATGAGCGATCGTTTCGCTTGATAAGACCCTTATTCATCGTCTGGAATCGTTTAAAGTCATTTGAACAGTTTGCTGTTTGCTCTAAAAGTGTATTTTGGACCTTGAACCGTTTGGTTCCCAGTAAAGTGCATTACATGGAGAAAAATCCTGGAATGTTTTCATCAAAAACCTTAATTTCTTTTTCGACTGAAGAAAGAAAGACATGGACATCTTGGATGACATGGGGGTGAGTAAATTATCAGCAAAAGTTTTTTTTAAAAAAGTGAACTACTCCTTTAATATATAAAGATGCTTGGTTTATGCCGTAAATCAAGTTTCCATCTATGATCTGGGAAGACTGGAGAGTTTTACATTGAGAATGTTAGAGTATGCCAATGTACTCCATTGATCTCTTTGATTTCAGAATATAAGGTTTCTTCCTATAGTTTTACATTTAAAATAATACAGTCACAGAAACCAGATTAATAGTGTATTTTTACACTCTTTTCCCCTACAGAATCCTTCACTGCGGACCATAAGCCTCTGATGGGTGAAGCTCCCGAAGTGAGAGGCTTTTTCCTTGGCTGTGGCTTCAACAGTGCAGGTAGGTCATGGAGCACACACACACAAACATACGCACGCATACGACCACACACACACACACACACACACACACACACACACACACCTTTCTCTTCCACAGATGACCAGTGCCAAATGAATTATTTAACCCAGAAACTCAGCAGGGATCACATGCAAAATTCAGTCTCACCCACTCTTCATGTACACACCACCTACTCAAGATCAACGCAACTTGATCTCTGATCCCTGTGTGTCCAGAGATCCTGTGCAGTGTACATTCCTTCACTAGAGAATATCCTGGGCTGTAGAGCTGCACAATTCTGGATACATTGAGAATTACACATTTTTTTGTTTTAGAGATCACGATTCTCCCACGATTCTGCATAGACAACTGAACAAAATAACATGCAATTTACTAGAGGTTCTGACAAAATGCCAATTGTTGCAATCTATTTAAAAAAATATGTTAATTTGAATTATTATTAAAAATGACAGATGCATTTAAGTCACTTGTCATGTAAGCCACGTTGTTACTTTCAAAAGGTGATTTACTCTATTTCTATCACTACCAGACATCAGTGTTTATATCCGAACTATAAACTTTTATCCCAGTACTTCTGTGATCATCTAAAATACTGTAACAGAAATAATGACACTATTTGTGAAGCTGTTTCATACCTATACACAACTGTTCTCTCTGTCAGTGGCAGCGCCAACGCAAATCTCCCCAGTGATCCGTTTAATAGACAGCCAAATGGTTGTTATTTAGAAATAAAATATTCCTTGTATTCGCGTGTATGCTTGAATGGAGATCACAAACTTTTCAAAATGAATCGTGCTGTTTCCCTGGGCTGCGACCTTGGTTCCTGTGAGCATTTTAACTAGATTTTATATTGTATTTTTGATCTTATTATTTGTACTGTACCTATATCGCCTAGCACTAATTACATTACATCCAAGTACAAGATTAAAAGAAGGCATTTTGCGTTGGTATTTTTGGATGCAGATGGCTCGTGGTTTTGAAGGTCAGATGAAACTGGAGTAATGCTGATTGTGCTCAGCGTGGGCCGGGTCACCTTGCAGGCCTCAGACATGCTGACGGACAACAGGCCGTGATCGCGTGAACGGATCGGAATACATAGCTATAGGAATCACAGTCAGATATTAGATGCATGCTTGCTTCTTTATGACACATTGATTCCTGACCTCAGCATGCAAAACTCATTTCCTGGAAAGAAAGGGTACAAGAGGCTGTGATTGGTTACGTTATTCGATATACAGAACCAGTCGAAATTTGAACATTTTTTTACTGATACCAAACATGTGTGAACACAAAAGATGATATTCTGAAGAGTGTTTCTGCTAAATCTTCTCAATAAGGTCATGCAGATTTGGAATGAAGTCAGTCAATACATTATGACACTATTATATTTTTAGTTAATTTCTATTAATGACGAACCATTATCATTATATTATCCATAAACCATTCCATCTTGGAAGAAGCATTGAAATCTGTGATGAATTATTTTGATTTTTCTCTTGAAGAAAAACGGTACTTTCTAATTTGAGATACATTCACCCTATGAATGTCAAAACGGAAATGAAAAGTGCTTAAAGTGGGTGTTAATCTGGTACTTAAGGAATAAGAGGTTGATCAGGGATTCTCCTTGAGTGTGATTGCATCAGAACCGTTGGATATTATTATTGTGAGTGCATGTGTGTGTGTGTCTGTGTGCGCACACCAGGGCATAGGATTCCATCAGTATGCATGACCACAGATGTCGTCCTTCCCCGCTGCTCCCCATTTGTTTTCAGTCTGGTTTTTCACCTTTTCTCCATTAACCTGTTCAGTGCTACCATCACACCATTGGGCTGGGACAGAGAAATATGCAAGTGGAAGTTGAGTGGAAGAGTTTTAGGATGACTAGTTAAATGTCCGGACTGTTGATATGTACCTGGTGTGTGTGTATGTGTGTGGTAGGAGTAGTTGTTAATCTGAGGCAGATGGTGGCCCTTTGGTGATGTGATTGCTAAGAGCCGCTATCCTTCTGGAGAAAACACACAGGCTCTTACCGTGTCCGAATTTGCAAACTTCCCTACTAGTGTATAATAGACGAAAAGCAGTACATAAAATGAGTAGTGTGTCCAAATTCGTTGCGTTTATTATTGATCCACTGAAATTTCTGCAAAATTTAGCAGAAAAAATCTGTCATGAAAATATTTTTTTGTTGCAGTTTAAGTTGAAATATAAGCATGTTATTTAAAAAGTAAAAAAAAAAAAAAATGCCATATGTGAAATTTAGGTATTTTGTGTGACTGTTGGTTATTAAATACATTTATTATTTTATTATTTAATAAACTTTATTTTCAGTTTTGGTTTTCTGCTAAATTGGGATTTGGTTTGGGATTTTATGTAAAATATTTATTTTGGTGCATCAAAAATTACCCCGATGGCCTTCTTCCGGCTTGATTGTGAAGTGCACATGTTGTGAATGGTGGTGAAGCAGCGCAACTGACGCTGTAAGTCACATGACAATGGGTGTATCTGAAATCACCCCCTGTAACCTCAGTCACTGTTCCTTGTAGTCATGGGCAAAAGTTCTGTCAGAGACGTGTTTACTGCTTCAGTTGTGCTGTTGATTTACGTTGTTTCTGTATTATTGTGTAGGGTGATCAGAAGCATTTTTTAATAATTGCAAAAATTACAACACTTTAAAGGGATAGTTCACTTTGAAATTAATTTTTGGGATGTTTTAACTTACCTCAAGGGCATCCAAGATGTAGGTGTCTTTGTTTCCGCAGTATTTTCAATTTTGATATTTTTAGGTCAAACCGTTTATGTCTATCAGTCATATAATGGAGGTCTATGGTCACCACCTCAAAGAGCATGCACAGAGAAGTCCAAATTAAACATGATTACTGACTTGTAAATGTACAGTAAGTGTGTGAGAAAACGAACAGTATTTATATAGTTTTTACCTCTTGTAACCACAAGATATCAAAATTGAAACTACTGCGGAAACAAAGACACCTACATCTCGGATGCCCTTGAGGTAAGCCAAAACATACCAAAAATTAATTTCAAAGTGAACTATCCCTTTAAATTAAATAACCCAAATTTCACAGTTTTTTGGCCCTGCCACAAAATTACCTGGTATCATTTTACTAATTTTATCATCAGCACATGGGAAAGTGTGAATAATCACTTTTCAGGTGAAATCGCTCTATCATTCTGACTGGATTATAAGAGCTGACTGATTGCTGTAAAAGGAGGGAAGAAGTGCTTCCAATCATTGCGTTCTTGTGTTAGCAACTGTTACCTCCCAAAAAAGACGTGCAGCCATCATGGCTTTGCATCAAAATGGCCACAGATGCAATGATATTCTACCTAAAAGAACTATTCACTAGATCATCAATGACTTCAACTGCTTTGGGAAATCCCAGAGTCTCCACCAAGTGCCAAGACATCTCCTTCTGAGGAATCCGCTACGGAAGCGTGTCTCACCAGTGCAGAGCTGCTCAATGTTGGCAGCAGGTGTGTGTTCGATTGTCTGGAGTAGAAAAGGTGAACTCTATTATGAGTCCTATGTCGTGCCAGTGCCAACAGTGAAGCATCCAGAGACCATCCATGTGTGGGTTTGCTTTTCATCCAAGGAAATGTGCTCTCTCTCAATTCTGTCCAAAAACACTGCCATTAATAATGAGTGGTATCAAAACATCCTGCAAGAGCAACTCCTCCCAATGATCCTGGAGCAATTTGGTAATGATCCATGCATTTTCCTGCATAATGGCTCACCATTTCACAAGGAAATGTGATAATGAAGTGGCTCGGAGGTCATTACATTTAAATTTTCGATCCCTGGCCTGGCAACTCCCTGGGTTTTAATACCATAGAAAACCTGTGGCCGATTCTCAAAAGGTGAAAGTACAAGCAGAAGTCCAAAAATTGTGAACTCCGAGCCCTAATAAGGCAAGAATGGATCACCATCAGTCAGGATTTTTTTTCCGCTAGTCGGATTTCGCACGATATGAGAGAATACTCTCCCTCAAGGTTGTCGATGTAGCTCGAAATATACAATTTAAAGCCCTTCTCTTTTTACTCTAATGTGACAGCTAACTGCCTCACAGTGTTGTTAACATCATTCACGTTAACCGCAGAAACTTTTTGTAAACAGCGAGTGTAATTTGACACTATCTCCACCTAATGCACAACCGGCTTCTGACGCAGCACCGGATGTACTGTAACTGGGCGTGCTGAGACAAACCCGTAAGTGATCGTGCATAGAGCCTATTGAGCTGCATTATAAGATTGAATGAGTGCACTCAATAATGTTCTCTATGGTTTCTGACATAAATAGTTCCCTCAAATAATGCGGGAACTAATATAAGGGTATGGGGCCAATGATAAATGGATGATGTAGTTCTTCTGGACTAATAAATGAAGTTTTATTAATAACTAAGTTCGGGAGGAGCACGTTCAGATAATTAACACGAGTGGACGGCAATCAGCAACCAATGATAAAAGGGTATATATAGACTCAGCAGTCTTACCTCGATCCATTGACAGTTTGCAGCATCCCTCCTCCACCCCTTCTCCACACTCCTAGTCCTGCACACTCCTCTTTCTAAAAAAATCACTTGCATACGGGGGGAGTACTCTGGGTTCGGGCAGAATTCCGAGCTCGGAGCCCTCCCTCCGGACAGCACGCCAAATACGCATTGAATCTTACTCACTCAAAATGATATGTAAGTGTGAACTCGTGAAATATAATTACGCTATATAAAGCATAATTTTATTTTAATGGTCGCATGAAATTTCAGATGAAGCTTCTGTTTCAAAACCTAATGAGCTGCCTACATTGACAGCATTTTAAGGTAGGCAAAAAGTACATTCACTTTCACATTAAGGGCACTTTTACACAACAGTTTTTCGAGTACACACTACAGCGTTGTCAAAACAACTAAATTCACTGTATTATTCATGCCAGGCCAGTAGGTGGCGAAATCATTTTGTAAAATCCATTTTTAGGTTTTCAGGCCCCCAAAATGCCGTGTTGTGTAATTGAACAGCCAAAACACATTAAAAGTTTTACGTGTAAACGGTCCCTTAGGTACTATCTTTGATGAGAAAACAATCCTATAATACATCACAACAAAATTAGTGGGTGGAAAATCACTCAAGATGGTCTAAAAAAGAGAGAAATGTTCATTATTTAATTAATAGAATAAGTACTGACTAAAAATTATTCAGTGTAATGAAAAAATCTATTAGTTGCTAGCTTAGCAACATGTTAGCATCAAAGGCTTTTGGAATCAGTTGTGAGTTGAGCTTTGCTGTGGGCTTCGTTTGATTTGTTGCCTATGTAGAGCGATTCGAATCGGTTCCCTCATGAGGCTCCACTCTTAAGACCCCAATATAGCCTACTTGAGACACAGCTCTTTTTTGCTCTTCGTTCAGGGGTAAAAAGGAGTAAATAGCTGTGAAATGGTACACTGTTAGCAAACATCCTGAAGCTGCCCTTGCTTGTTGCTGAGAGTGGCGTTTAGAGGATTATGCAAAAATATGCTGTGCGCGTTTCTCTCAATAACACAACAAAAATGACAAATGACTGTGGTGAGAGAAGATTTACCCCCTGTCTGACCTTCGGACTGAGTGAACAAATAAACCTGAAAAGATTTCCAAGTCAAAGAATGCCCCAGAGCTACACCTACCTATTACATCACTGTCATGGACCAATGGCATTCAGAAGAGGTTTAAGCAAAGTTTTACAGAAACAAACTCCAAAAGACCGTATTTTGTTCGAAATTACATCACATGCATTCGTTCTTAAATTTCGCTTGAAGTGTATCAGGGCCTTTAGCGGCTGTCTTAAAAGGCAGCTGCCTATGTTGGCGTTAAACACTAGGGCAGCTCTCTAGGTTTTGGAACAGAACCATGTACTTTCATGCACCTACACACACATTGATGTGATCCGCATGTCTCATATAGCACTCTGAAGTTTCCTTCTCTCTCAACCTCCTTCTCTCTTTCATTTTATTCCCCCTTGTTTTCTTTCTCATCTCCCCTGACATTTGCAGAAATACTGCTAGTGATTCGGTTGGTGCTTTGATGAAGAAAGAGAACTGCTGTGTGTGTTCATGTGTGTGTGTGTCCTGAGAGAAAAATATAAATGGGAAAGTCTATTCACATGGTAGCACTAACTCTTATCCCGGCCCCAGTAGTTGAGCTGTAGCAAACCACTGACCAAAGACGGAGTTAATGGTTGTTGATCTTCTGCAGTCGTTGGGGAAGGTCATGGTGCTGCACCCTTCATCAAGGACATCTGTAGGCTCAGACACACCACCTATGGACTGTTTGATGCATATTTTTTGTTGTTTGCTAATGAGGATTTGCACTAGATTTTACACACTGCACATTTTAACACAGAAGCCTGAAAGACTTTCTTGAATGTCATAAGCTGTCATCATATTATTTATCTCATGGTTGACTTGATTAGTTGACCTATTAGGCCCCTTTTTACAAGATGTAATATTGTAATATTGTCCACATACACATTGAAAAGACAAGTGTAAACGCTCTTCTGGTGGATAGGACACATGCCTTTGGTGTGAGAGACCTGGGTTCGAATCCACTGTGAGACACCAATGTGTCCCTGAGCAAGACACTTAACCCCTAGTTACTCCAGAGGCGTACGACCTCCGACATATATAGCAATTGTAAGTCGCTTTGGAGAAAAGCGTCAGCTAAATGAATACATGTAAATGTTATCTGATCGGCGTGTCCAGGTTCGTTGGAAGTCGAGGACGCGTTGTGTTCCGATCTCAGTGTAATGTAAACACAATCCAGCCATCGTGTCTGCATTCATTGGTGGATGTCTCACAAACCCCGCCTACAGTCATTATTCCCCCTCCTCTCCCCAGGAAGTCCTGCACGTAGCTGTGTGGTTTTGCGATACAGTCGAGTGCGAAGTACATCGCAAATGTTCTGAAATGTTTGCCTTCGCACCCAAAAGTTGCAGAATCATTCATTTCCTGTAAAGAACGTGCATTTTTCCCACCACAGCTGGCAACGTTCTCAGACCCATATATTTCTTTATATCGTTTTCATTACAGCATCTATACTCATTTTTAGTAGCCTACTTGCAGCCTCTTCATCCACTGAACGCACCTTTTTTCTGATTGGCTTATGATCCGATCTGCTTGTTTGGATCACGGTGATCGCATGTTAAAGGAGTAGTTCACTTTTAAAAAAAAACTTTTGCTGATAATTTACTCACCCCCATGTCATCCCAGATGTCCATGTCTTTCTTTCTTCAGTCGAAAAGAAATTAAGGTTTTTGATGAAAACATTCCAGGATTTTGTCCATATAAAGGACTTCAATGGGAACCAAATGGTTCAAGGTTTCAGTGCAGCTTCAAAGGGCTTTAAACGACACCAGACGATGAATACGGCTCTTATCTAGCAAACCGATCGGCCATTTAGAAAATAAATAAAAAAGTTTAAGTTTTATAAGCAAAAATGCTTGCCTTGATCTGTTGTGTGATGAGCGTTCGTAACTGTCCTGTTCAAACTTGTTTATCAAAATGAACAAATCTTGTTTTGAGTCATGATTCGAAGGGTCCTATAAGACCCTTATTCATCGTCTGGTGTCGTTTAAAGCCCTTTGAAGCTGCACTGAAACTCTCATTTGGACCTTGAACCGTTTGGTTCCCAATGAAGTCCATTATATGGAGAAAATCCTGGAATGTTTTAATCAAAAACCTTAATTTCTTTTCGACTGAAGAAAGAAAGACATGGACATCTTGGATGACATGGGGGTGAGTAAATTATCAGCAAAAGTGTTTTTAAAAGTGAACTACACAATAGGGTGGCGTACAGCACACCGTTGACAAATACATATGTTCAAAAGCAATCTAAAAGTGTATTTTGCATAATATGTATTTTTTTGTTGGGAAATGTCCCAATTTGGGATACAGGATGCAAATTTCCAGGGAAATATTCATGTTATTTTGGTCGCATTTGTGAGTTGATAAAAATGTAAATGGTTGTGTGAAATAGGCACATAATTGGGGGTCATATAATCGATATTATATGGTATATAATATCGCCATATAAACATTAGCAACTGCGTCAAATTGCATATTTTTTGCTTAGTTTGGGCCTTTCAATAAAAAGTCAGATGTATCAACACAATAAAATCATGGTTCAAAACACATTTCTTGTCATTCTTTTGCATTTCACTTTTTAAACGCTGCATGTTCTGAATGATTGGCACCTATACACCATGGTAGTGTCTTTCTGCTTTGTCATGAGAGCTCTAGAATACTTCATCCGGCATGAGGGATACGGTGTGTGTTTGAGACATAACTCAAGGTTGCCATTACTCAGCGACTCTGTGGTTGCTGGCTAATGTTAATGAAGTCATCAGCCAGCTAATGAAGCAAAAGTCCTTTAGAGACACCACGGCCTCTCAATACGGCTCTTACACTCCAAGATCCTTTCGCCCATCCGTTTCACTCCTCTTTTATGTGTCTCTCACTTCACAATGTCCTTCATTCCTCCTTGGTATTCCTCTACTTCTGTTCATTATTCTTCTCTTGCCTGCTCCGAGCTCATGAAGATTGATTCAGGCTGACAGCACAACTCTACCGGGTAACGTTCATGGTGAATTGATTGGCAACTCTCAGTCAGAATGTTTCTAGAGAGGTACTTTGTTAAACGGTGCGGTTTGTTGCTTAGGGTCTTACATAAGTTTGACTGATTGTCCGAAGTAGGATAAAGGATGTAGTGGGATGATGATTGACATATGCTCTGTGATCTGATTGGCAGGTATGATGTTGGGGGGAGGATGCGGCAAAGAGCTGGCTCACTGGATCATTCATGGGCGTCCCGAGAAAGACATGTACGGATACGATATCAGGTATGTTTAGTGTGGGCAAGTGCTCCGGTGTGTACTACTTTATGTACGCTATGTGTTTGGCTGGCCAATGGGAGCTAATTTACTTGATGATTTAAACCAATAACCCATGACTGGGTTACTGATGATTTGTGAATCTTTTTGACTGATTTACTAAAGGAACTGGTTCATAAGAGTTATTAGTTCACAATTTAGACTACATTTAACACATCTAAACAAATTAAAACTGAAGAATAGGTATGACTTAGTGCAATTATCAAATTGCAAAGCTACATTTCATTTACATAATGTTCATTTACATGAGCTGAGCTTATATGCTCTGAGTTTGGATCACTTATAACGTGCATTTGTAACGTAACTACTGTATCTTCCCAAACTTAATGAGAAGCACTTATAAACCAGCTGTTGTCAGCTATAGAGAAGCTCTAAGGGCTTCTGGCGGTTTTCTGCCAATGGGTAATGTTTGAAAATAAAGAAATCAAGAAAGCCATTAATATTAGTATTGCTTTTTTTCATTTTACATATACTGTGTTAGACTAAACTGGAAAGGGTCACAGCACTTACATATTGTTGCCTGATTGTTAGTTTAACTGCTTCTATTGCTCTCCTCATTTGTAAGTCGCTTTGGATTTTATAAAAAACATGTTTTTTAAATATAAAAATGTTATTTTTATTTAGTAGTAATATGAATATTGTTTTAGAGTACTATTATTGTTATTATCATCATTATTTTATAGTCAAAATTCTGAAGACATACAAACAAGCACAGCCATTTTTTTTTTAATTTTTAAATTTTTTGCATTTTAAATTGCAATTTTGAATAGATTAGACTTCTAAAAATCGTGCACACCAGTGGAAAAATTAAGACATTCAAGAACTGTTAACCAAACTAAACATCATGAAGATGAAGCTCTAGAGCCCTCAGGTTGATAGGTTTTTTACATGCAGTCTCCAAACAATCACATCACTACTGCGTGGCTCAAGCTGATTGGCCACTGCTGTTCCTGCAGCCAATGAGATTGCTCGTTCAACATTTAAATAGTCTGGTTCACTGTTAGCTGCAAGCTAGTAGGCAGTTTTACCCTCTACCTCCCCCAGCTCCACCTGCCTAGATCTGCTATGGGGTTTGTGTATGTCTATTCATGCAGGAGCAGCAACATATCTTACATGCTCACAGCAGTTTGTCTGTGTATCTGTTAGCAGTAACAAGTCCATACTTTTAACAAGTCCAAGTCAGCAGAACTGATATCTTTCTAACTATTTTATGGTATTTAAAATATATTATGATAAATACATTGCCTGTTACATATACGTGCAACATTTACAGCATGTAAATACATTAAATGTGTGTGTATACATATATATTACCTGTCTAGCGTTGTACGTATGCTGAAATATAATTAAATAATGGTTTGTATAAAAAATAAAAAAATAAACATCTATTATGTGTCATTGTGTAGTGCGTTGGTGATTTATCAGTGCGTTGGTTTTTTCACAGTGCATTGTGGTACTTTTAAGGGAGCGAACTTTTTATTGCGCTGGTAGGATTTTGCGATTGAAACAATGACTGTTTGTGTGTGCGTATCTCCCTTTGTCTGTATCTCAGGCGGTTCCACCATTCCCTGACCGAAAACAATCGCTGGATCAGAGAGCGAAGTCACGAGTCATACGCCAAAAACTATTCAGTAGTTTTTCCCTTCGATGAACCTTTGGCCAGCCGCAACATGAGGAAAGATCCCTTCCACCAGGTTCTGCCCTTCTCTTGCATCTCTCTATCCTCTTATCAACCACTGACTCGAGACGTCTTTGTTTTGCTTTAATCATATATCATTTCCTTTACATGCATGTGCATTAGACAAGTGGTTCTCAACCGTACTAATGCTCCTTTGTCTTCTTCTTGCTCTTTCTGTCTCAGTGTCCTGCTTTCACACCCGTCTTCCAATCAGTTTGTAATTGCTTGTATTGAGACGAAAAAATTCCCACAAGCCTGATCCGAGAACAAGTTGCGTTAATTACATCAAAACATCATCCTTTTAAGTGTAAATCATTATTTAACTTGAGAAATTTCACAACTTGGCTACTTAGCTTACACTTTGCTAGCCAAAAGTGTTATGTGTTAATCTATTAGCCAGTGTTTTGCTGCCAGCATCTGTGGGGCTGCTCAAAAGACTTGTTGCTAAGCTACTGCTAAAAAGATGATGTTTAAGTGTTTCCAAAAATACCACTTTGTTCTGGCTAGGCTCCAGGCGTGAAGCCGCACAAGAAGGCTTCATCCTAGTGAATAATAGCCTGCTGAAATATAGATAGCTAGCAATAATAACACTCTACGTTCATTTAGACCACTGCGTCTCACTAAGATGACTATAAATTAGACATTCCTCTTAAATATTTCATCTCTTTCCAGCTTGGAAATCTTAATCCAGCAAAGGGATGTGATACTGATAACTTGGTTAAAAAGACACCTGCCTTTCATCTAATCTCAAAAGTGAACTTTTCACCCTTCATTTATATCAATATGTAAAAATGTTGAATATTATTTTGCGTGTTAGAGGAAATGTTCACCTGAAAATGTGAGTTCTGTCATCATTTACTCACTCTCATTTCCTTACAAACCTGAATGACTTTTTTTTTCTTTTCTGTAGAATTTGAAGAATGTTTAGGCTGTTCTTTTTCCATATAATGAAGCATTTTTTTGGTTTTGTACAATTGATATATAATCGCTAATGCAATACGGCTTAATGCAACCACTAATCGTCAAGGTTGTGATTTAATTAAGTAAATGTATGCACAATTTTGATCATGAGCTGTGAACTCTGAAACTGACAAACTGCCAAAATAAAATCTCAATGGTTTATCATTTGAAAATAAAGAAATTTAGTATAATAATTTAAAAGGATCGTTCACTTTGAAATTATTTTTTTATATATGTTTTAGTTTACCTCAAGAGCATCCAAGATGTAGGTGTCTTTGTTTCCACAGTATTTTCAATTTTGACATTTTTCGGTCAAACCGTTGTTGTCTATCAGTCAGTCATATAATGGAGATCTATGGTCACCACCTCAAAGAGCAAGTCCAAATTAAACATGATTTAATGACTAAATGTAAGTACACATTAATGGCCTAAGACACGAAATGAGCGGTTTGTGTGAGAAAACGAACAGTTTTTATATCGTTTTTACCTCTTGTAACCACAGCCACGTCCAACTGATCTGAAGGCACACGCGCTTCGGTCTGCGCATGCGCTGGTAGTGATCGCTTGCGCGTGTACGTCACTCATTGTTTACACAGAGATTTCGGAAGTTTTACCTTTCACTGTGAAGATCTAAACATATTTAGATATACAGGAAATCGCAATGGAAGACGATTTCGATATATCTTAATATGTTTAGATCTTAAAACTTCCAAAATCTCTGTGTAAACAATGAGTGACGTACATGCGTGAGAGATCACTTCCTGGCCTTTCTACCGCATGCGCAGACAGAAGCGCCCGCTCCCTCACAGTATAATAGACGTGACTGTGATTACAAGAGGTAAAAACTATATAAATACTGTTCGTTTTCTCACACAAACCGCTCGTTTCGTGTCTTAGGCCATCAATATGTACTTACATTTAAGAGTCAGTAAATCATTTTTAATCTGGACTTCTCTGTGCATGCTCTTTGAGGAAGACCCCATATACCTCCATTATATGACTGACAGACAAGAACGGTTTGACCTAAAAAATATCAAAATTGAAAATACTGTGGAAACAAAGACACCTACATCTTGGATGTCTTTTTTAAAAACTTTTAAAAACGAATTTTATGGTGATTTGGTCATTTTTGGAGGTTGCCCCTTTTGTGTTCTACCAGAGATTTTGACCAACACAACGTTGAATAAACGATGACAGAATTTTTGGATGAACCATCCCTTAAATTCACAAGCTTTCTGTCACTGACACCACATGAATGTAAATGCTCAAGAAATCAATTGTGCAAACCTTGACCTCATGCAGATCCTTGTCAGGTTTGTTTTTACCTCTAGAAAGAAACCTTTCCATTTCTTCTCAATTCGATTAACACCTATTTTACCACATACTTGTTTAAATTCCTCTGTTAAGTAATAGCATGGACAAGCGTGTACACTAGTGGCTCATTGGCATGGGAACAGTGGCTGAATTAATTCATGTGTACTGTATTTTTAGCCTGGGCCTGTTAAAGAACACTAACATTATCATTATCAAAAAACAATAAATAATAGCGTTTCATGCTGGATAAGACAAGCTGCTGTGCGTGACTCATGGAAAGCTCGTCAGCTCATGCTTTAGTCCAGGAGAATAATGTATGGACTTCAAAAACCCTGGAGAAGGAAGGCGAATTGCCTAGCAACCAGTGTTTCTCTGGCCTGGGAGATGGAAAGCGTGAATCTGGTGCTGTGTGGGGGGCCGGGAGGAGGGTGGACCAGTTCCTTCTTTTTGTGTTAGAGCTCAAAAATAGCTGGAGAAATCGTGATGGGCTTTTTGGGGCGGTGGAAAACAAAAGCATGAGGGAGGGATGCTACGCCGAACTCTCGATTCTGCCTAAACTGACATTTCTGCTCATAATCTGTGTTTGATGAGGGTGTTCATCAGTGGTAGGGGTGTTACCTACATGGTTAGGGACCCCACACCTATGCATAACTTATCCTGCTCTGTTTGGGCTACAGACTCATTTTGTATTGTCATAGTTTCTATAGTATGTATATGTATCTTGGCCAGGACTCCCTAAGAGAAGAGTTACTGTAACCCAATGGGACTTTTCCTGGTCAGCCCAGTCTCATCCCAAGACGTCATATAACTGAGGTCTTGGGACGTCTTTTGACCATACGTCAACATCCACCTTTTTTAGGGTACCCTTAAACATCGGTTAGATGACGTTATCGGATCCTACCCCAGATCTAAACCTAAACCTACCCCTAAACCTATCCCGTCACCAAGTTGTATGACGGCCCGGGATCGTCATGTAACCGACGTTTAAGGGTACCCTAAAAGGGCGGATGTTGACGTATGGTCAAAAGACGTCCCAAGACGTCAGTTATATGACTTATTGGGATGAGACTGTGTTATCCGTTAAATTAAGGTTAAATAAAATATAATGTAAAAAATGACTACCCTTTCTTTGTGCTCGGACAGAGAAATTCACGTTTATTTATCATTCGTGTTTTCTTCATCTGACTTTTGAGAGCTCCAGGGCTTTCATGAGAACTTAGGTGTACCTCCATTTTTTGTATTCCCTCCCACAGAGAGTCCGATCAACAGAGGGTTATTAATAATGCAGTGTTGTTAAGAGTAGATTTATCACTGAAGATTGTATCATACTTTTTCTACTTTTAAGCAGCGTTATGGTAAACATACTATGGCAGCAGCTTTCTCATTTGTACGTGATGGCGTTTTGCTTTGGGAAAGTGGGGCGGAACTGACAGAACGACGGTTTACTCACAATTGTTTCCCCTCCTTTTGGGCCCAAAGACTGTGTTCGTTGTCATCCAGTGGGAAATGTTGATTACAGATTTTCCGTCGCGGTGTTCTCTCCATATTTATGATTCTTTTCTGTCTTTAGTCACTGCCTACAACATGCTGGATCCTTCACTGGAAAACAAAATATTTTATGTTTGATGGTTGTGTTATTTAACAGGTGCTACAGGAGCAGGGCTGTGTGTTTCAAGAGAGACACGGCTGGGAGAGACCTGGATGGTTCAACCGAGATGGACCTGCTCAAGTGAGTTTTCAACACACACACACAGATAAAGATACATACACACATACTGTATATGCGCAAGCACAAACACAGGCTCACACAGATGTACGCAGACACACATACACACAGATATGCATTATTACCTCAGTATAGGACAAAAATCGCATGTTGATGGTTGATTGATTTGTCTGCTAAATTGGTGTTTGCAATGGCCTTTCCTCAGGTTCTAGATTATGATTACTACGGAGCCTATGACGTCCCCAAGAACACTGTGAACAAATACAGCCAGATACTTGGCAAAGAGTACACTTTTGACTTCCCTCCACATCATGATGTGGTGAGCAACATCTGTAGATGTTTTAAGAGAGTGTTTGTTTCCAGTTCCACTTTATTTAATCTTTATATATATATATATATATATATATTAGGGCTGTGCAAAAATTAATTGCGATTAATCGCATCCAAAATAAAAGTCTGTGTTTACATAATATATTTGTGTGTGCTGTATATAATTATTTTGTATATATAAATACCTATGCATGCATGTATATATTTAAGAATTATTTGCACTTAAATTCTGTATATATATATACATAATCTATATTATATAAATGTTTTATATATAAATATCACATTTTCTTAAATATATACATGCATGTGTGTATTTATATATACAAAATAATTATATACAGCTATAATAATTATAAGAATTATAATAATATACATATATTATGTAAACACAGACTTTTATTTTGGATGCGATTAATCGCAATTAATTTTTGCACAGCCCTAATATATATATTACAATTTACATTTTTTGTTTGAACCCAGATTCGGCACGAGTGTCTGACCTGTAGGAATGCTGTAGCTGTGTTTGATATGTCTTACTTTGGTAAGTTTTACTTGACTGGGCCGGATGCAAAGAAGGCTGCTGATTGGCTGTTTACAGCGGATGTCAACAAAGCTCCAGGTGAGAATCTCTGTGATCCCTGTCTCCCATCCATCCACACTGAGCGTATCTATTTTCACTCTTTTTCTTGTCTTCACATATAATATCTAGTCAGGAACATTGTTTTTTCTGAGCACATACTTCCAGTGGTAAACTTTTCTGAAGTGTAATTATCTTGACTGATTGTGTGTTTCAGGCTCCACAGTCTACACCTGCATGTTAAACAAGAGGGGTGGAGTTGAGTCTGACCTCACCGTCAGTCGTTTGGAGCCAAGCCCCGCCCACCTCCCACTGACACCCCAGTCTAACGGTAAACACATGTGATGTATTCTGTTCAGGGTCACAGAACGGCTGCGTAAGGCATTGAAACAGGACGTTGCGAGCATCTCATCAGCATGTTAGGAGGAAGTCATGAGTTTATATTCACATCGTGTGTGTGTGTATGTGTGTTCTGAAGGTGATGCGTACTACCTGGCCATTGGAGGTGGTGTGGCGCAGCACAACTGGAGCCACATCCAGTCAACGCTGCAGGACCAAGGTTTCCGCTGCACACTAATAGACCACACTGAGGACATGGGCATGATCAGCATTCAGGGACCCAAGAGGTTGGTACAAGCACACACACACACACCATCACACACTTATAAACACATTATTAAAACTTGATAGCTATCATCCTTGGTGTGAATGGTCATTAGCCAGGATCATGGCGAATGGCATCCCAGAATGCTTTGCAAGAAGTTCAGGAAATCTATCCTAGATGGTGGTCAAAGTGGGATAAATGTTGTTGATTATGAATAATTGATCAATACTGGAAAGTACTGATTAAAAAATGAAAATAGTCTATTTGACTTTGTTTCTGTATGCTAGTGTGCACCAACACACAAGCAAGTGCTACCAAACAGCACAATTCCACACAAAAGATTGGACCTCCTCTCTAGGCCTCCCTACAGGTGCCTGCTTAAAACCCTCTGCCTACCTGGCCACGCCCTCTTGCCACCTCACCGGCTACAAGTAATTGAATAATAAAATGAGAACTTACTTCTATGTTTACCCTGTTCGTTACGTGTCACAATTGGCGGTAACACTTTATTTCGATAGTCCACTTTAGACATTCTACTAACTGTAAGTAACTTTTCAACTACATGTCAACTAACTGTCATTAGAGTATTAGTAGACTGTCAGCTTAATATCTGCAAACACTTTATTTTGTTGGTCCCCCAACAGACATTCAACTGACTATGAGTAACTTGGCGACTACAAGTAAACTTAATCGCCTAACACAAAGCCTAACACCTAACCATAACCTAACAGTTTACTGACAGTCTACTATAATATACTAATACTCTAATGAGAGTTAGTTGACATGTAGTTGAAAAGTTGCTTATAATTAGTAGAATGTCTAAAGTGACTATCGAAATAAAGTGTAACCCAATTGGCTAGAATTTTGAGGGGATTTATGACCCTATGCAATATTTATAAAAATGATAAGCTATTTTCCCCATTGAAAATAATACACATTGCCGTGTCTATTTTGCACTCTTGATATTTTAGAGTGTCACCCCTTAATTGCTGTGCTTTTTTCGTATTTCCCACGCCACTCATTTCTTATCTTGGTTATTTTTAACTGCGAAGGAGCCGAGTGTGATTTTTTTTTCTTTCTTCATTTTCTTTAACATATCCGAATCATGCTGCTGCATACAGTAATAACATCCACTGTCTGTCATCTCTCGCCTGAAACCATTCCACATGCTGTCTCTCTCACCTCTGCCCTGAAAACAGATGAAAAAAAGAGCCATAAGTCTAATATTATACAACAGTCAGTCACTCAATATAAAGTGTGTCTCAGAGGTGTATTAAGGAAAGATGAAGAGATACAGGAAAGAATATTTAATGTTCTCCGGGGGGGTTGTTTAAGCTGCATAATTTAAATTACATTTAAATTAACAGCATAACTGTCACATATTATTGATGTGACCTAGAATAATTAAGCCATGATTCAGACCAAATTATTTGTGGTGAAATGTTGGATTTTATTTGTTTGTTTTGACTGTTCAAATTGTTCTTGTTATATATATTTTATTTAAACTCAAGTCAAGTCCACTTATGTGAATCAAAATTTTCTTTGCATCACAAATATTGTTGTATTTCTTACATTTTGCTATTTTTCCACCCTCCCTATTTCCCAGTCCCTTATGTATGGAAGCTTGTTTCCGCCGTAGAATGAAAAATATAAAAGGTAATTGCGTCTTTTTATCTCACAATTCTGACTTTTTTTCTCACAATTGCAAAATGGAAAGTCAAAACTGCGTGATATAAAGTCGTTATTGCGACATATAAAGTCAGAATTGCGTGATATAAAGTCAGAATTGCAAGACATAAAGTCAGAATTGTGAGATAAAGTCGTAATTGTGAGATATAAAGTCAGAATTGCGTGATATGAAGTCAGAATTGTGTGATATAAAGTCGTAATTGCGAGATATAAAGTCAGAATTGCGAGATATAAAGTCGTTATTGCGAGATATAAAGTCAGAATTGCGTGATAAAGTCGCAATTGCGAGATATAAATTCAGAATTGCGTGATATAAAGTCACAATCGCGAGATATAACGTCAGAATTGCGTGATATAAAGTCACAATCGCGAGATATAACATCAGAATTGCGTGATATAAAGTCAGAATTGCGTGATAAAGTCGCAATTGCGAGATATAAAGTCAGAATTGCGAGTTATAAAGTCAGAATTGCGAGATATTGAAATTCTGACTTTATAACACGCAATTCTGACTTTATAACACGCAATTGCGACTATCACGCAATTCTTACTTTTTATCACGGAATTCTGAGAAATAAAGTTAGAATTGCGAGATATAAACTCGCAATTGTGAGAAAAAAGTCAGAATTGTTAGATAAAAAGTCACAATTATTTATTTTATTTTTTTATTCAGGAAACAAGCTTCCATACTTATTTATTTATTTATTTATTTGACAGGGACAATGCAAACAAACATAGTGTCAAGATCAAACATGTCACTGAAGTGTTGCATATAAAGTTTATAGCTATAGCTAATTTTCAACTCCTGTCCCTGGAAGGGCTTTTATACACAATAAAATTTACATGATTAGCTACTTCAACAAAAAAAACAAAAAAAACTTATGCTCTTATGAGATGGACTTTTATTTTGTTTTCATCCCTGTCTGCTGTCTTTTATGCAGACAGTCGCTCAGAACAAGCGGTTCTTGCTGCTTTGTATCGTAAAGGATCTTTTTTGACTCGGAGTTCTGAAACTGTTCTTTTTCAAAAGATCAAGAGAAATGAGATGTTCCATTATATGAGCCCTTTAAAGCACTTCTCCTTTGCTCATCAAAAGAGTGTGCCCTTCGCCTGTGTCCTTCAATCCTTTTCCTTGTGTCCAGATGAAAGCTAGATGAAAGAGTTAGCAGCTTTGTGAAATCTCCCTCTTCATCCTCCTTTCCTTCACTGGTCTCCTCATGGCTTAGGAGAGGGCAGTGATTCTGTCACATCTAATTTAATGATAATGATTTTCACACAGGGTGCCCTGAAAACCTCTTTTTATTTAACTTATTGTTAATCATGTCATGGGGTGGTGGTTAAATATACAGTTTTATATCATAGTAAAAAAAAGAAAAAGTAAGTTGAATGAGACAGCCCATGTGTAGACACAGCTGATGACTCGTCTCTGAGTAATGATGTTCTAGTGTGATTTTATAGCTAGCCTTGTCCTCATGAGAGACCTTCTCAATATTTTTTCTCAGATTTTAACATTGTGTTGAAATCCCAAGTACAACATGTTCTAGGAACAACATGTTGATTCAAGGAACTCTCGTTGTTTGTGAATATCCAGACATTATTTCGGGGTGACGGTCAAGCCCGGGAAGCTCATAAGATGCAGTGTATTTGGGTGAAGATGTTCTGAGCCACATTCTGTCTGAAAGGCTGTTGTGTGCGTGTTGAAATGATCCCTGTGTCATATCCTTGTCAGGACGAGAGCGAGATTCATGCAGTGTTAGCAGAGCAAGGTTATATTGCAGTGTGCTTCTATTGAAGTGTGAATGTGTGCTTTGACATGCTTCCAGAGCTGCGTTCGCGACGCCCCGAAGCCACTGTGAGCTTGACCGAAGGCTGATGATTTTCAAGTCTGATGATTGAATCAGCTGATGCATGTTATAATAGGACATTTTTTAGCCAAAACAGGCAGATTGTGTTTTTTTTTTATACAAAGAACATTTTAATGAACATGAAAATTATAATTCATGGCATTTATTCGCCCTTATGTCTGTCGGTCTGGACTGCCTTCTCTGGGACATAAAAGCAGTTATTTATAGCAGAGTGTCCAAGCTGTTAAACAGTGAAAGTGAATGGTGCTCAAGTCAACCAAGATTTTCAAGACAACTTTAATTTTAGTCTGCTCCTCACATAAAACTATTGTCCCTCTTAAAGGAGTAGTTCACTTTTAAAAAAAACTTTTAATTATAATTTACTCACCCCCATGTCATCCAAGATGTCCATGTCATTCTTTCTTCTGTCGAAAAAAAAAATTAAGTTTTTTTGATGAAAACATTCCAGGATTTTTCTCCATATAATGGACTTCAATGGGAACCAAACGGTTCAAGGTCCAAAAGACAGTTTCTGTCTAAAACGCAAACTGTTCAAAGGACTTTAAACGATTCCAGACGATGAATAAGGGTCTTATCAAGCGAAACAATCGCTCATTTAAAAAAATAATAATATTTTTTTTTTTATAAGCTCAACTGGTCGCCTTGCTCTGTTCTGTGATGCATGTTCGTGACTCTCCTGTTTGAACTCTTTCATCAAAATGAACGAATCTTTTTTCATGTCATTTGTTTGATTCAATGAAATGAATGAATTGATTCTGGAAAAGATTTGTTCATTTTGATGAACGAGTTCGAACAGGAGAGTCACGAACGCGCATCACAGAACGGAGCAAGGCGACCATTTGAGCTTATAAAACTTAAATTTTGTTATTTAATTATTTTTTTTAAATGAGCAATCGCTTTGCTTGATAAGACCCTTATTCATCGTCTGGAATCGTTTAAAGCCCTTTCAACAGTTTGCACTGAAACTTTCTTTTGGACCTTGAACCGTTTGGTTCCCATTGAAGTCCATTATATGGAGAAAAATCCTGGAATGTTTTCATCAAAAACCTTAATTTATTTTCGAATGAAGAAAGAAAGACATGGATATCTTGGATGACATTGGGGTGAGTAAATTATCAGTTATATAATAAATTATAAGTTTTTTATAACACTTGGAATACTGTATAGTGTAAAAGCCACATTGATTACTTTTTTGCTGTTATTTTTGGAGCTTGACTGCCTCAGTCCCCATCCACTTTTATTGTATGGAAGAGAGAAGCCTAAACATTCAACAGAATTTCTCTTTTTGTTCCACATATAAATGAAATTATATTTCATTTTTAATGTATTTTAAAGTTGTCTACCCAAAGCTGCCGTTATTTGATAAAAAATCAAGGTAAAAGGCATATTGTGAAATATAATTACAATTTAAAATAAGTTCTCTTTTGTAATATATTTTAAAATGTAATTTATTTCTGATATGCAAAGCTGAATTTTCAGCATCATTACTCCAGTCTTCATGATCCTTCAGAGATGATTTGATGCTCCAGAAACATTTATTATTATTATCAATGTTGAAAACTGTTGTCCCCAGCAATAATAATAATAAATGTTTTTTTCAGCATTCTTATGACTGTAAAGTTCAAAAGAACAGCATTTATTTGAAATGGAAATTAATGTGGGTTTGAATATATAATGTGTGTATAGAAACATACGCAAGAATGTATACACATATATATTTAAAACTGTCATTCTCTAGAACTTAAAGGTTAATCTCTTCATTTAAATGTAACATTATGCTTAAATATTGAGTACATTTAATGCACGACTAGATTCTCAGAGCGTTTTGGTTGAGCGCTCGCTTCATTTCTCTTCGTTTGTGCTCTGTGGTGAAAAGTGATTTCATTAAGACTATATCTGATCCTTGCTTAACTGACACTGCTAAAGGAGAGTCAGAGTGCCTAATTAGATTCTCTCTCTCTCACACACACACACACACACACACACACACACACACTGTATAATTAGAGTGGTTGTTGGCCTTGTGCTTCAGTGAACAGAGTGATGTTTGAGTGGGTGGAGGGAAGGACACGTTCCTTTAAACACACACACACACACACACACACACACACAATGCAGTTCTTCAAATACATGGCAATCCACCTTCATTATTTCCATTCTCATGCTCTCCCCTGACTCCATTCTTCCTCCTTCACCTTTATCAACCCTTTTTACTGGTCCTCACTCTGTACACACTGATCTCATGTTTCTTTGTCTGTTGCTGGAATAGAACTGTACTGTGAGATACATGTATGAAGCCAAACACACACTCTTGCACTTGAGCAAACATCCGTCAGGCCTCCTTCTGCTTTTGTTAACACACATGCTAATGCAAAACAGGCCAAGCTGTTCCTGTCACCCCAAATGATGCTGCGAGAACAAGTCCATCGCACCCACACTCACACACACACACTCGCAGGAAAAGAGCAGGTCAGGCAAGGGCCGCGGGTTGAAAATAGAAAGGAACACTGATGGAGAGAGTAAATGGGAGAGAGACTGATGGCTGACCTGATGAAATGGAGACAGTAGAAATGGCATTTTCATGCACTCCATTAAGAATATATAATAAAAATAATAACCATAATGTTATGTTATGTTAATTTGCATACACACTTTATTCAACACTTTTCAACTTTTTTTTTTTTTTGCCTTTTGTGAAATGTTTTCTCTACAATAAATGCCATTTGGTGTTATCTATATATATATATATATATATATATATATATATATATAATGCAATGACATTTAATACATTTTAAGTCTGGCTTAAGGGCCACTGTATTTATTCTGTATTCAATGTATTTATTTTACTAATTAATCTTTTTTTTTAATAATGTAAAATACTTTAAAATATTCTTTTATTATAAATTAAAGTCATATTATTTTAAACCTAACCAAACCTCTTGTGAAATGTTTTGGTTATATATATATATATATATATAGTATTTTATTAATTTTCAAATTAAATAAATGTTATTTACATTTTTTTATTGACTTTTAAATAATTATGAAAGTGAGAAAGAGTGGTAGAATGTGAGTTCTCATGAAAATGCCTCTCATGACCTTTCCTCTGCTTCATTTCATTAATTTTTTAAAACTGGTGTAAAGTTGATACTGATTTATGAAGTATTGATTTTGTAGGTATGGTTGTTTAATTGTAAAGCGTGTGATTTGTGTGTTGACAGCCGTGAGCTTCTGCAGGAAGTGTTGGACTCCGACCTCAGTAATGATGCTTTTCCCTTCTCCACACACAAGATAGTGAACGCAGCCGGACACAAGGTAACACTCCTTCCTTCTCCCTGTCCTCCATCTTTGTGCAGCCCAATCTCAGTCACACACACTTGCTCATGCTCTAATTAGTGCTTCTTGCACATTCATTTACTTAATTAGTTCTGGAAAAAATAACGTGTTATAATGTTTTAATGCATCTACCGTACATGCCCCACCCCAGACCTACATAGGTCCTCTTACTGTATATATCACACATCTCACTGCGAGATGTCTCTCCCCTACACTCTAAAAATGCTGGGTTGTTTTACCCAAAAACAACAAATATGGGTTTTGGGTCAAATATGGACAAACTCAATCATTGGGTTAAAAATGTAATTTAAAATGTATTCCAATGGCTGGGTTTGTCCATATTTGACCCAAAATTGGGTTAAAACATCCCAGTATTATTTATTATATATATATAAAAGCTAGGAGATATAATATATATATATATATATATATATATATATATATATATTCGCTAGGAGACATACATAAAAAACATATTTCTTTGGGAGGTAGGTTAAATAATAAAATAACTGTATCTGGTATTTGGATGGCTGACTCGATATGTTCATGTACTCAATATGACTTGAGTGATTCAGTGCCAGTCCAGAGGAATGCCGGAAAATTGTCCACAGGACAAGCAAGGTCCCGACAACTGCATTTAAAAATCCATTTATTTAAAATTATTCAGTTTGATAAATAGACAGCATAGGCCAATTATTAACAGCTCTCCCAAATCATAAGTTTGGTATGCTATTAGATATTGATAATGTAAACAACCTTGTATCGTTTACAGTAGCAGTTAAAATGTTGTCTGCATTGGTTATTGATTAGTTTTGCATGAATTCTGAAAATTTTCAGTTGTTCTCTGGGAAGCACCTGTCCACTATTACTCACTAATTCGTTAATCGTGTTTTTTTTTTTTTTTAGTTAGTAGTTTCTACATTGTTAACTTTTTCAGTAGTTCTCTGGGTAGCATTAAAAAATAGTAGTCATTGATTAGTTAATAGTGAACCACCACTTTCATCTGTGTGCTGCTATTACTTACTAGTAGCTTCTTGTTAGTTAATAACTAGATTGTTACTGTTATACTCAGTGTTTCTTGTGTAGGTATTCAATAACGAAGGAACCGTATTCTAAGGTATAACCTACTTCCTTTCTATTGCGGAACATAAAAGACACTTCTCAGATTATCTTCTTTTTTTGGTCCACAGAAGAAAGTAAGTCAAACAGGTTTGAAAGCACATGAGGGAGAGTAAATGATGACAGAATTTCATTTTTGGGTGAACTATCCCTATCCCTTTGGGTGAACTATATTAATGCCATGAGATTAAAGGGTCTTAACCATTTAAGACCCTTTAATCTCATGGCATTAATTATGCAATTGTAATCGCAGTGTAATTGTTTTCTCTTACCTTTTTTTCTTCGTTTTACACGATAATGACTTCGAATAATTTTTTTGAGGGGTAATCGCTCAGCCAAAATGTATGTGTTTAATTTGCAATAATTTAATGAATTATTCAGCACATTATGTAATTAATTCTATTAAATACTTGAATCGCCTGACAGCCCTAATAAAAACTAAAATAACAATGAATCTTATGGACGCATCCTATATGCATGTATACGTGTGCTTGTGTTTGTGCACATCAGATGGTCTACTTCCGCTCTTGTGATTCTCACCTCACCCAATCACACTCTTTCTCCCACTCACCTCATGCATGACAATACAGTCGCCAAATAGTTTATACTTTATAGCATATATAGGTTATAGAATCAAGCACCATTACACAGTTATTTATGCATACATTAGACGTTACATATATTTCCTTTATAACCAAAGGCTCACAGCAGGGCCCCCGACTCAAATAACCTGGGGGCCCCTGGCCAGGTGCTGTCCTCTATCAGTGGCCTGTTGAACAGAACAATACATACAAGAGTTTTTTACAACCATGAATACAAGCTAAGCAAGGAGAGGCTTCAGTGAACATAAAATCTAACAAGAATCATTCGTTCATTTAAAAGATTTGCTCAAAAATATGAGTATGCATTTTATAATCGCAGATAAATATACAATCTTTCATTAAAAAAGTCATTGGTAAATGTAAAATTTGCAAATGAATTGATTGTTTTCTATTATCGAATTGCATCTTGAATAAATATGTTGATAAATGATTTCTTGGGTGATTAGATTTTATTTTATTTTATTTTTTTCTCAATTTCTTAAAAGATAATTAATGAAAGTTCAAAAGAGCAGCATTATTTGAAATATAGAAATCACTTTTGATCAAAGTATTGATTTTAAAATATCTAATTGACCCCAAATGCAGTTTTTGTGTCAGGGCAAATCATACATCAGATATAACTTGTAACAAAGTAAAATTCCAAATACTGATTGTTTCAAACTAAACTCGCACAAAGATTTGATGCCATGAACATTGCATACAGCAAATCCATTGGCTAGTTCTTCCTGAAAGCGCTGCTGGGAAAAATACCAACTGTGTTCCTGCCGAACTGATAAAAGCCTGTGCAGTTTGACATAAATTACATAAAGCCAGCCAATCAGATTGTGACCACCAATTTCTGCCAGCTTTTGGCTGAATATGCATGAGGCGATCTGTGAACAGTCTGCAGATGGGTTATCTAAGGCTAAAACTAGTGTATTGTGGGTAACAGGGTACCAATCTAACAGTGCCTTGAATTGGATGGCAGAAATGCTTCCCTGTATCTCCCTGCAGGTTACAGTTGCGAACAAAGTGCTTGTTTCTGGCTGATAATGGTGTCCTTCACATGATCTCAGGCCTGGCACAATGATCACAGCACACACACACACACACACACTCGGGTGCGTCTGTTACTGCTGCAGGTTCTGGAGACCGGCCAGCCTATTATCTAAGTGACTGTTTAGCGCTGTTGATACTGTATCCTGATCCCTGGTTGGGTGTTAATGTGTGTTCGGTGTTCAGCCCAGTTTAATGAACAGTTGAGCTTTCTGGAGGGTGAAGTCAGTCGAGGCTGGACAGATACGCCAGGAAGAACATGAGATCACCGCATTTGTCACATGGAAATCTTTTAACATGGAATTTCGACACTAGAATTTGCTTTAAATTACACTACCGTTCAAAAATTTGGGGTTTGTAAAATTTGTTTTGAAAGAAATGCTTTTTTTCAGCAATGACACATTGAATTGATCAGTGATTACATTGTTACAAATGATTTTTTAATTTCAAATGCTGTTCTTTTGAATTTTCTATTCATCAAAGAATCCTGACAAAATGTCACCGCAATAATTTCAAGCAGCACAAAATTGTTTTCAACATTGAGAATAATGAGAAATTAAATCATATTAGAAAGATTTCTGAAGGATCATGTGACACAATTCAGCTAAAAATCACAGGAATAAATTAGCGTTTAAAATATATTACGATTGAAAACTTTAAATTGTAATATTTTTACTGCATTGTTATTGTATTTTTGATCAAATAAAAGCAGCCTTGGTAAGCAGAAGAGACTTCTTTCTGAAACATTACAAAATGTTGCCAACCGCAAAATTTGTTCGTATGGAAACAGCTTATTCAGGTATCCAAAATGTAACAATTTTAACATGACATTTTATTATTCGTGAATAATAATATGGTACTATTATACTTCAGATATATTAAGCTTACACTGTTTTCTAGTTTTGTTTCATTTCTAGTCTCATCTGTCTTGGTTTTAACACCCTTTATAAGGATTATTATATTTTTTTTAAATGACCACCTGACACGTACGTTATCCCTCTTATTGCATGACTACTTAGAAAATAAAAAAAGAATGGACGTTAAATATTTGGGTTGAAATCATTTTATCTTTTTTTTTATAGATTTGCTCAAAGCTTCCACTAAGAAAACGAGTCCATTCCTTATACATACAAATTGACTCAATATCCAGAACTTCACATATTATAAAGTTGCATTTTTTTCATCGTGTGTGTGTAGGTGAGGGCCATGCGTCTGTCATTCGTGGGTGAGATGGGCTGGGAGCTTCATATCCCGAAAGAGTCCTGTCTGCCCGTCTACCACTCCATCATGGCCGCCGGTGCCAGATACGGCATCTGTAATGCTGGATACAGGGCCATTGACTCCCTGAGCATTGAGAAAGGTATGCTTTAGTGCCATTACTATCACTATCAATATTCTTTTGACTTTGGCTAGTAAGCAAATGGCTTGCGACCATCCAACACAATCACTTACATTTTCTTCTAATCATCTAGTTCAATGGCAAAAGATGTTTTCACAATCCCTCGTGCATTATGAGATGTGTTTCTCCAGGTGACGTCGTAAAATTTTGCTTTTAGTGTGTCAAGATTGATTTACTCTGGGATCCTGTTGATACAAAATTTTGAGCCACAAAGAGTTTCACTCAACAGATCTCGATTGATTGTTTAGAGTCCTGTAGATGCATTTTTGATTCACACAGCATAAAACATCATTGTATAGCTCTCCAATAGAGCCACATATATAATTCATTCTTAGTGCTGCTTTCAATACTGCTTTAAACTGAACCGCACCAGAAACAGTGAAAGCACACATGCTGCCGGAGGTCAGGTGGAGATAACAGTTCAGATGGACTGTAGGTTGGTAGGTGTCCCTTATGCATTTAGCACTTCCTGGAATTAAAGGGTGAAGTAGACAGCCGGACACAATACAAACTCATTACTGGAGCCGTGCACTTCAGCACTTTCACTGCACTCTTGAGACTCAAGTCAGCTTCACTGTGTGTTCTCTATGTAGTTCATATCTGCTTGACAGTATTCGCACTCTACCTGAGTTCATGACTAAGTATGATGAAGAAATAAGTCCATCTCTGTTTTGGGGAAAGCATCAGCGTGCTAGTAATAATGGATAGGGTTTTTAATGTTTTTGGTTCAATGACGTGATGCTCTTTAGAGCTATTAATTATTAAAAAATATTTTTAAAAAGCAATTCATACAGACAATGGCATGAATGCACTTTTTATGATGAACATTTTTTCAAATTCTGAATTAAAATGAATATATATATATATATATATATATATATTTCATGGATCTAGGATAATATGCATCCTGATGAAGTTCCCTTGGCTTCTGGAATTAAAATAGCCTCACATTCTCACATACCCTTCACCATACCTAGAGATTGGCATGGGGTACTTTCCATAATATCATCTCTCAATGCAAATAAAACTAGCTATTGGGCTAACTGAAATAAAACCATGTCAATCTCTGGGTATGGTGAAGGGTGTGTGATGATGTGGGGCTATTTAAATTCCACATGCCAAGGGAACTTTACTTTTTTAATTAAGGCATTAAGCTCAATTTCCAATTTCTCTTTAGCTTGGGAGTGTTCACTTATGCTAAGCACTGTGTTGTAATTTTATAAAAATGATAGATCAATTTTATAGAAATCAAAATTATTATTTCATAAAAAGTAATTTAAGGTTTGTTGGAAAATATCGATAAGTTATTGTTTTATAGCCTACATTAGCATTCAAAAGTTTGGGGTCGGTAAGAATAATTTTTTTTTTTTTATATAGTATTACTGTGCATTATAATGATTTAAAATGTGTATTCATTACTCCAGTCTGCGGTGTCACATGATCCTTCAGAAATCATTCTAATATGATTTGATGCTCAAGAAACATTTATTTTTATTATCAATGTTGGAAATCAAATAAATGTCATCTATGTTTTTCTTTTTTGTGTAAACTGTGATGCATTATCGGATTCAAGCATTTATTTGAAGTAGAAATCTTTTTTGTCACCTTGATCCATTTAAAGTGTCTTTGCTGAATAAAAGTCAACAACAACAAAAATAGTACTGACCCCAAACCTTTGAGCAGTAGTGTACATGAGGGAAGTCATTCTGTTAGAATTAATAAATCAAACTTTTTTGTTCATTTTTATAATATGATATATAAAACCAACATTAATACAAAGATTCCATTTTCAATCGTTTTATTATTATTAAACTGTCTGTCTCTATCAGGTTACAGGCATTGGCATGCAGATCTGCGTCCTGATGACACTCCACTGGAGGCGGGACTTGCATTCACCTGTAAGATGAAGACCTCCATTCCATTCCTGGGTCGGAAGGCATTGGAGGCCCAAAAGGCTGAGGGTTTGCGCAGACGAATCGTCTGTTTCACAGTTGATGAGTGAGTGTGGAATATGTTGAGTATAATAACAGGAGTGTTAAGGTGCATTACGCGATTTCTGAGAAATGCTCTAGAAAATGGATCGGACCAACCAGCACAACACACTAGAAGCCAATCAGCACTGTGTCCAATAATGATGGGGGAGGGGAAGAGAGCCAATCAGCAGGAGGGGGCGTGTCCAATCATGATGGGGGAGAGGAAAGATAGAGCCAATGATCAGTAGGGGGGTGTCTTATCGTGATGGTGGAGGGGAAGAGAGCCAATCAGCAGTGGGGGCGTGTCCAATGATGATGGGGGTGGTGGAAGAGAGAGCCAATCATCAGTAGGGGGCGTGTCTTATCGTGATGGGCAGGGGAAGAGAGCTAATCAGCTGTGGGGGGGGGGTGTCCAATTATTAATGGGGAGGGGGAAGAGAGAGCTAATCATCAGTAGGGGGCGTGTCTTATCGTGACAGGGAGGGTAAGAGAGCCAATCAGCAGTAGGGGGCGTGTCCAATCATGATGGGGGTGGTGGAAGAGAGCCAATCATCAGTAGGGGGCGTGTCTTATCGTGATGGGGCAGGGGAAGAGAGCCAATTAGCTGTGGGGGGGGGTGTCCAATTATTAACGGGGAGGGGGAAGAGAGAGAGATAATTATCAGTATGGGGCGTGTCTTGTTGTGATCGGGGAGGGGAAGAGAGCCAATCAGCAGTAGGGAGAGTGTCCAATCCTGATGGGAAGGGGGAAGATCGAGCTAATCAGAAGTAGGGGGCATGTCCAATCATGATAGGGGAGGGGGAAGATGGAGCCAATCATCAGTAGGGGGCGTGTCTTATCATGATGGGGAGGGGAAGAGAGAGCCAATCCACAGTAGGGGGCATGTCCAATCATGATGGGGGAGGTGGAACGGAGAGCCAATCAGCAGTGGGGGGCATGTCCAATCATGATGGGGGAGGGGAACAGTCCATTCATGATGGAGAGGGGGAAGATAGAGCCAATCATCAGTAGGGGGCGTGTCTTATCGTGATGGGGGAGGGGAAAAGAGCCAATCAGCTGTGGGGGGCATGTCCAATCATGATGGGGGAGGGGAAGAGAGCCAATCATCAGTAGGGGGCATGTCCATTCATGTGTTGTCGTGACGGGGGAGGGGAAGAGGAAGAGGGCGATTTGAAGAAAGAGAAAATGGCTGAGAAAAAAAGTTCAGGACCCGCATTAATATTAGAAAAGCTTTCCAGCGCTGGAGAGACTGAAGTGGGAAGGCCTGAAAAGAGGAAGCAAGGTTATGTTGTTTCTGCTTCACATGGGAGTAACATTGGTTTTTGCTTTTTCACAGAACCAAGATACCGGTATGCTGTTGTTGTAATGTTAGCTAAAGTAACATGAGTGTCATTGTCATTGAGTGTCATTTTCACAAAGCATTATTTTGGTTAGTTTCAAAGAGTGTTTCTCAGAAATCACTTACTGCACCTTTAATGGACACTTGACTTTGATCATTTGTGTGGTTATTGCTCTGCTTTACTTGAAAATATCACGACAACAGTGAAAATGACGCATCGACTGAGCGGATGCAGACTCCTGAATGTGATCTTGTAGGGTTAAAATTCAAAGCATAGCAGCAGGCTATTATGTTGGCTGTCAGTGTTTTCATAGCCTCAGGTATCTGGCAAGTTTTCTGACATTTATTTACAGTCTGGCTTAAAAGTGAATAATTGCTGTAATGCCAAACTAATGCTATAATATGTCACCTCATATTTGCCTGATAAGGTTTTTCAAGGAGATTTTGCCCACCACTTTTCATGATGGTCTGTTTAGAGCTTTACTAAATATTTCAGCAGTCTAATGTTTTACGTATTGCTCAAACAACTTTATCCAACACACTTTGTAGAAATTGATTGTAGAATTTTATGATCATCATAAAACATTTTAGAAGTTAAAATCAAACAGCCAGATCTACAAATCGGCCCTAGATCTGGCATAAAGTTTTTCATGTTATTTAGGGATCCTCATTTGATCAGATCTAATGTGTTGTTTGTCTTTCCTGCAGGAAAGTGCCAATGTTTGGTCTGGAAGCTATTTTCCGCAACGGCGTTCCTGTGGGCCACCTGCGGCGCTCCGAATTTGGGTTTGCCATTGACAAGACTATTGGCTATGGTTATATTCGCAACCCAGACGGTGGTGTGGTAAGTACTGTGCGATACCTGTCTCTTTCTAAATCTAGTGAGCTGTTTATCTATTTATCTATAAATAGATGTTTATCTGTTTAGCATTTTATGGCTGCATAGGAACTCTTCCAAAATGAGGATGTTTCTAAAAGTCAGACGCAACATCATCTGTTGTGAAATCTTTCATCCCAAATGAAAAATTCTTGCCCTTGTGAAAGTCATACAAGCATAAGTATGTCTGTGCTTCTCAACTGTATGTGACTCGTGAGCTTCACAACATACTTGCGTCACAACATTCTTCACATGAACGCTCGTAGGACAGTAGACCGGAAGCATAGATTTGTTTTCTAAAAATCTTTATTTGTATTTATCTGAAGAAAGTTATATACATCAGGGATTTCTTGAGGGCGTTTCACTTTGGCAAGCTGTTTCGAAATGAACTCCAAACAAACTTCGTTTTGGCCTGATTTAGTTTGAAATGACGCCACACCAGTTTGTTCTTCGATTCCGCTTGAAGTATATCAGGGCTGTAACTCTACTGAAATCAAGTGTAAATTCTTTGCACACTCCGAAATTGTCGTCAGAAATTTACGCTTGTTAAAAAATAAATACGACCTCACGTTTTCAATCACGTTTGAACACTGCCTCCGAAAACTTTCGTCCGTCTTAAAAAAAATTCGGATCCCGTCTGCATTTTTCGCATGTATGAAGAATACGAAAAAATGCATACGAAAATTTCGGACTCAGTGTGCAAGAGACTTAAGTCTTGTTTTTTGAAAAATGTATCAATTAAGTGAGTTTATGCTAATAGGGTATGAAAAATAAATATAATTCAAAGGGAAAAATAGATTCTTTTTCTGCAGATATTTTTTCTTGTATTAAAGGTTGTGATCACATTCATCGAATCTTTCCTAACAATCCGCTAGCTGCCCACCCCATAAGCAGGCTGAAATTTTAATTCGTTTTTCAGAAGACTTGACATCTCAATGTCAAAGTCAAGGTATATGTATTCTTATAATCTTATATAATTTTGCTTCTCAAGTAAATGTATCCTGATTTAAGATTGTTTAAATATTTGTACTGGGAAAACAAGACAAAATACTGAGAAAGAACATTTTTCTTTTTTGCAGCTACAGTAGTGCTACAAAATGTGGGTTTAACGACTCTTTTACTCACACAGTCAGATCAGACATCAAAATATGAGAATGGGTCATTATCAACATGATATTTTAAGTATAACTGAACTTGAGCTTGGGCAAGTACTTTTAAGAGATAAGTATTAAGACACTCCACTAATTCGGGTCTTTTGGCGCATACGCACTCATTTGTCCTTTTCTGCTTTTATGATTCAGGGTGAGTCATGCGAGTTACTTCTCATATAGGGTCATTTAAAGAGCGAGGATTAGATGAAGGGTTCTGTGTGTGTGTGTGTGTGTGTGTGTGTGTGTGTGTGTGTCGTGCTCTCTGCTGAGCTCATACTGCCATTATTGTCAAGTGCTCATTTGCATTAATCCAGTATCAAACAATGGGCAACGTTGGGTGCTATGACCTAAACATCGTTTGATCACTGCAAATAACACATTATTAAACGACCTTTACCATAAGTAACAATGAAAAGAAATAAAATGTTATATATAATGTGATATTAATTTATTAAATAATGAAGAAAGGCAGGTTTCAACATTTTTTTTTACATTTAAACTATAAAATTAAAAAAATAAATAATACATTTATTAAACTTAGAAAATCAACAACAGTTTTATGAATGAACTCTCAAGGTTTTTCAACCATGAATATGTATCATTTTATGTAATACTAATTAAATTAACTACAGCACCATTAATTAAACATTTTAGGTTGAAAATACTAAAAATATAAAGGTTTGTGAGAGCTTGACATTAATGAGTGTCTGTCTGTGTGTGATGGTCTAGACTAGAGGAAGGAAGACTGTGTGTGCGTGCGCGTGTTGTGTGTATGTGTGTGTCTGTGTTGTAATGCTTAGACACACTCTGAAGTCCGTGCTCTACAAGTATGACACGATACAGGGGGATGTGTAGTTAATGCTAACTGACAGACAGCGAGATGAGGAGGGACAGATGGGGAGGTAGAACTGAGACATCTCCATTCCACAGCGAGGAAGACGATAGCAGACACATCACTGGGCATAATGTCACAAAAGTATTATTCATGGAAGAGAGACGTTGACTTCATCCATAAGACTTTGTTGTTACTAGTTTTAAGTTTCCATGTGACTTCCTTTCTACCGTGAATTTAGAAAAATCTCCTTGTCGTTCCATTACTATTCCATGTAGTGACTGGAAGTGAAGAGTTTTCAAGCTTCAAAAGCCACTGTGAGAGTTCATACTGGTCAGTGTGCAGTATTAAGAGTTTTATATTTTTATCTTTCAGTTATCACTTTTCCTTTCTTGAATTCTCTTAAAGCTACACTGTGTAACTCCTTTAGTTTATTCTTAGCTAAAAACACTTCTTTCAAAGACATATGTGCTCATTAATGTATATTTACTTTGTTCAAGTAATAAAGTATTCTCGTGAGTGTATAATATGCCATTGAAAATACATACGGGTAAGGGGTTCTAATTTCGGTCTTGAAAGTACCCTCCATCTTGAAAGTACATTAGCCAAAGAGGGACATACCCGTTAATTCAAGCTTCGCCTTTCGCGTTTACGTTTGAGTTAACACTCATGGACGAGGTCGGAACTGGAAGCCATGTTAATCTTGGACTACATTGGCCACCGTAGGATTTAAAACGAAATCGGAATTGAGAGGAACAGAAACTAATATTCACTGGATGGTCATATACCTTTTTACAGCTAGATGGGGGTAAAAATCACACAGTGTGGCTTTAAAGTTACCAATGTCAATATTTTAAGTGAAGTGACATCTTAGACTTTGGTTTAAATATCTTAAACCTTTGTCACACAAAGCGATCGTGACCAGGGCTTCAATCGTCTCTTTTTGTGTTTCTCTGAAGAAACTAAAACTTTAATAGAGGGTTAGAAGGGCATATTAATATTTTGTACTACCGTACCTTTAAATACACATAGGCAGGAGTATGTGGAGCTCAAGACACCGCTCTCTGTATTAATAACATGAGCAAACAGTGTTTTCATCTGTACAAGGAGCACAGCATTTGCGCTTTAGTTACTGTAGCCACTGCGTACTGTCTTATTCTCAGTGCCAATCAGTGGACATCTTCCAATGTGTCCATTAATGCTGCAATGTGCCCACTTAAAGAGGTCAGGCTAGTTTTCCAGCGAATGCGTCTTGATCTCGACTCCACATGGAAATCCCTGCAGCTTCTTCAGATTTAATTAAAAAGAGATGCAACCCCTGACAGAGAGCGAGCAGGAGGGGAGAGATAGAAAGAGAGGGAGGTGAGGAGAGCAGACCTCATTTGCATTGCATGATTTGACATTGATATGAATGAAAAAATAAAAGCCTTTTAGTTTTAATCACATATCCATTTTACTGAAATGTGTCTGTGTTCAATGGCCCGCAGGTGAGCCCTGATTTCGTCCGCAGTGGCGACTTCACGCTGGAGAGGATGGGCGTCACATACAGAGCTACAGCTCACTTGAAATCACCATTTGACCCCGAAAACAAGCGCATTAAGGGCATCTACGGCTCTCCACAAGCACACAAGGCCAGAGCGTAATCGATCCAGACCTTTATCCAACACATCAGCATCAGCATTCCTGGACAAAAAAAAATGACTGTTTCTTCTGGATTTATACTTACTGTCTTAAAGGGATGATCCGCCATTACGGATCATAGAAGGACAAAGTACTAATGTGAATTTTCAAAAATAAAATAAACTGGTTATTCACTGTAATCGTGTTCAGCATCTTCCTGTGCCTTAAAGTTCATCGTTTCCAAAAAGAAATCTTTCAGAAAATAATATTTTAGTGAGTACACCATCATGAGCCTGACTCACTTATTTGTGCTGGTTTGAATATTTGTGACTTTTTTCATTGAATAGCTGTGCATGTCAAATTTAACAATAGGGATAATGTTTGCCAAATGGAATTAAATAAAGATATTGTCTTGATTTGAAGGTCTGTTTTGTGTACATGTTACAAATCATCTTTTACGCTGTATTTTCCTGACAGAACGAGAGAAACCGAACGTGATTTCTGCATGTTGGGCAATTAATTAAATTCATATTTTATAGTATTTACCTATTTTCCACATAGTAATAATTAATAATAGTAAAAACTCTTTCTTATGTCTGATTTTGAAGCCGACTGCTGTTTAACTTTTTTTGTTGTTTAAATGAAAAGTGAAAATCTAATACATTTGAAAGAATTAAACCAAATTTTGTCATATTGTGAAATCTGTATCTCGTATTTTTCTGTCTTATAGGAAGACATACACTACCATTCAAAACTTTTAGTAAGGGTCAGTAAGATTTTTTTAATAGTAATTTATACTTTTATTTATTAAAGATACATAAAACTGATCGAAGAGTGACAGTAAAGCCATTTATAATAATGTTTAAACTTTATAGTCTTCAAAAAAAGCATATTGTTTTCGACAAAAATATGAAGCAGCACAAATGTTTTCAACATTGATAATAATGCTATCAAGTCATCATTTTAGGATCATGTGACCCTGAAGACTGGAGTAATGATGCTGAAAATTATTTTAAATTTTAAAAAACCTCTTGACCCCAAACTTGAACGGCAGTGTAGATCTTCACTGTAAAAAAATATATATATTTTCAAGATTCGTTATTACAATATTTTTTCGTTTGTCGAATCAACTTAAATAATTTATTTAGTTCAGATAACTTATTATTTTGAGTTTCTGATGATTAAATCAGTCTCCTTCATTGTATTAACTCACTTTTTCCAATTTTAACGCAACCAGGTTACTTACTTAATTTTTTTAATTAAATTACTTACTTAATTTTTTAAGTTAAACCAACAATATTTTTTTTTTCCCGGATGCATACTGTACAGCATATTGCTTTGGAAAAATATCCCACAATGCATTGCACTCAAAGAACTGTATTTAATACCAACTTCTTGATTAATTTCATTGGACTGTTTAGAAGCTTTTACACAAAACAAAATAATTGTAAATGATTTTTATTTCTGAGAAAACTGTACGCCACCCATGGAATTAAGCATGCATTTTTAACCTGCTACTATTTGAAGTGTCCATCATTGCATAATGTGGACTATTTTACTCTCTTCTAAGTAGACAGTATTCAGTATATACTTCACAATAGTTACATTTTAAGTGTAGTGCACCTTTGTCCATATAAATGCTGTTTTTTTTTTACATACTGCACCTTCTCAAAGAAACATTAATGTCAATAGTCTACAAACAAAACAGTACTTTAGTGATTGATTGTATGTGATAAGTTTAAGCACGTCTCCTCCGTAGTGCACGGGCTGCTGTGTGAGTGTTGAGTGGTAAAGGTTGAGCTCAGCAGGAGGCAGATGCATGTCTGGGCATCAGACTCTGCTCTCAGGCCTGACCTCTGTAGGGTTGTCACTCGCTCGAGGGTTTAATTCACACGGGTACGGGGCTCTCTGGAGCTCTGCCGTCACCACCGGTATCTCCTGTTTCTCCCATTGGCCCTAAGAGAAAAGACTTGAGCGTTAATATGTAAAGAATTTCAGTTCAACCTGAGGTGGCATTTTCTCATTAGGTACGGTTACATTGACTCATTTTTGTCAATCCAAATGAATCCAATTTCAAAGTTGTTTATATGAATGTACAGTTTTTAATTTTATTCATAATGTTACCCAAGCTTTCGAGGACCGATATTGTTTGAATCCCTGTTCAAATGTATTCATTTCTTTTTCATTTCAAAATTTTTACAGATTTAATTTAAAACTGTTGCAGAAATGGACTTTAATTCAGCACGGATGCATTAAATCGATCACACGTGACAGAAAATACATTTAGAATGGTCTTTTTATTTGTTTCTATTTCAAATAAATGCTGTTCTTTTGAACTTTGTAAGATTCCTTAAAAAATGTATCAGTACTGTTTATACAAAATTGTAAAGCAGCACAACTCCTTTTCAACTCTCAATGATAACTTACATACAAATTTGCGTTTATGTCATAAGTAATATGTATGTACATGACACACTATGCAAGTGTGGCAGTCAAATTTAAGATTTTCTTTATTGATTTTCGATTTTATATATATATATATATATATATATATATATATACAAAGTATATATATATAAAATTTCCGGATCTGATTTCAGCTTTTTGTTTGTTGAAATACTTTGTATAATATTCTGAATGTGTCTTTGAAACATAATGAAGGTGCTTTAAAAACTTGCAACAAAGAACTCAGGAAAAAAAAACTGTAAGAGCCTGGAAAAAGTAATGCAAACGTAATGTAACATTACTTAGTTACTTTTTTATGGAAAGTAATGCAATTAGTAACTTTTTAAGGGAGTATCGCAATATTGTTACAATGTTGTAAAAGTTGCTTTCCCCAATATTGGCCATTACCCTCCACTTATTCACGATGGTAAAATGAATGTATGAATTTATCCACACTAAACAAATAACTGCCAATATATAAGAAGAACTTTGTAGATTTTTAAGAAATATTGCTAAATCTCACTCTGTTCTTCACTTATCTCAGTTTTGATTAGAATACACCATGAAGTTGGGTGGTTCACATGAGGTATAGCCACAAAAGTTTCAATATACACATCCGAATCTAAAAATTCTGCATAAGCATATGGTCTCGTATTACCCTCAGTTGGAAATGAATGGCTTCCAGTTTGTCTGAGATAGTGAAATGGTGGCTTAAATGTTGTGCTTACGGGGAAGAGCTCAGCGGTGGATTGGTTGCAGTGCATTGAGATGGGGGAAGTGATGTAGAGGGAGTTCAGCACATCCCCGCTGAAGCCGTCCCAGGTAATTGAAGAGAACTGCTCTTCCACGGTAGTCTGAGGACAACTGCAACTCTCACGTCCTTGAAACCTACACAGATGACAATACAGCAAAACTTAGTTGACCTTTCCACCCCCAAAACATCTCAAGAAGGAGTAATTTGGTTGCATATAGACACAAAACCACTTTCATAATTCGTCTGACCCCACAACAATGTTGCAAAATTGCTTTTTTTAAAGCTAGAAAATGCAATTTGCCTGTGCAAAATTGGTGAATACAAATGTCATCGCCTTCCCTTTGTTTATGCATTGCTGAAGAAAACTCATTTCTGTTTTTCCGACTGAATTCGTACAGGAATTGAAAGTATTCCTCTTGTCCTCGGGCAGTTAGTCTCAAAACAAGACATTATTTTCAGGTATGCTTTTGTTGTTGTAGCCTGACTGGGTCAGAGCGGTGTGACACATAAAGGTTTTCAAGGTTTTCTTCTCATTGTTTGGTAATGGCTGTCTGGAATGTGTTAGACGCCATACAGGAAGGTCAGGTTTGGTGTTTTTGATGGTTAGTTTAGTCTGAGTAGAGGTTTTGTGGACATGTGGTGTACCTGTTGATGAGACTGAAGTATTTCTGCAGGTAATCCAGGTCAACATGGCTCTTGCACAACTCCAGCTGTGTGCGGGGATAATAATGGACGTAATTGACACACATCTCGTCCATGATCCCAAAACCACCCTGCGGAAGAGAGAAAACAAAGACATTTGATTTGAAGTGAAGTAAAATGTTTGTTTCTCTCACATAAAGCAGTGGTGTAACACACACCGCCACTGAGTGGACTCTCACTGGACCCAATCCGATGGATGAGTCTGGGTTTGGCGATTGCCAGGAGAACGGTACTTGCCTGACTGCATTGTGCAAAGTGCAGAGTGTAAAGTGTGGCTGTTTTTCAGGGGTTGGGCTTTGGCCCTGAGTTCCAGTCAAAGGAACTCTTAATGCTTCTGCATAACAAGACATTTTGGACTTTGTGGGAACAGTTTGGGGATGCCCCCTTCCTGTTCCAGCATGACTGTAGTGCGCACCAGTGCACAAAGCAAGATCCATTAAGACATGGATGAGCGCGTTTGGTGTGGAGGAACTTGACTGGCCTGCACAGAGTCCTGACCTCAACCCGATAGAACAGCTTTGGGATAAATTCGAGTGGAGACTGCGAGCCAGGCCTTGATAACAAGGTTTGATAACATAGTCAAGCAAAAGGCTACTCATATAAGTTACCCTTGTGTCTGACATTGTAAAGAGCGATATCACTGTGCAGCGTTTACCACAGTAAGTTGGCCGAGTGAATCTGTGAGCTGGCGTGAGTGGAGGCAGGGCTGATTAGCATATTCATGGATCCGCGTGTATTAAATGAAGCAAGGATGTAGAGTTACATTTAAGCTATTTTAAGGCATGAGTGGGGAAATGTCACAGGAAAATACATTTTCATGTAATTTTTGTGATCAAAAATTAGTTTTAAAGGATACAATTATTGACTACAGGGGGGCTTTAATTTGAGCAGAGCAGAGTAGACCAATAACAGACTGGGCCATCTGACCAATCACAACAGACTGGGTCATGTGACCAATCACAACAGACTGGGTCATGTGAGCATTCACAACTGACTGGGTCATGTGACCAATCACAACAGACTGGGTCATGTGCCCAATCACAACAGACTGGGTCATGTGACCAATCACAACAGACTGGGTCATGTGACCAATCACAACAGACTGGGTCATGTGACCAATCACAAAAGACTGGGTCATGTGACTATTCACAACTGACTGGGTCATGTGACCAATCACAACAGACTGGGTCATGTGACCAATCACAACAGACTGGGTCATGTGACCAATCACAAAAGACTGGGTCATGTGACTATTCACAACTGACTGGGTCATGTGACCAATCACAACAGACTGGGTCATGTGACCAATCACAAAAGACTGGGTCATGTGACCATTCACAACTGACTGGGTCATGTGACCAATCACAACAGACTGGGTCATGTGACCAATCACAACAGACTGGGTCATGTGGCCAATCACAACAGACTGGGTCATGTGACCAATCACAACAGACTGGGTCATGTGACCAATCACAAAAGACTGGGTCATGTGACCATTCACAACTGACTGGGTCATGTGACCAATCACAACAGACTGGGTCATGTGCCCAATCACAACAGACTGGGTCATGTGACCAATCACAACAGACTGGGTCATGTGACCAATCACAACAGACTGGGTCATGTGGCCAATCACAACAGACTGGGCCATCTGACCAATCACAACAGACTGGGTCATGTGACCAATCACAACAGACTGGGTCATGTGACAAATCACAACAGACTGGGCCATCTGACCAATTACAACTGACTGGGTCATGTGGCCAATCACAACAGACTGGGCCATCTGACCAATCACAA